TGACATGCTCCTCGGCTGAGGCCATCTCGTCTTTAAACTCCCACTCTGGGAATGATCGTCTGGATCTGGTTCTAATGGATCATGACCCTGAGCTTTATCTTCAAGACCTGCTGGCCTTACAGAGAGGGAATCTGCTCTCGACCTGCTGTGTTGTGTTGATCAACGGAGCTCTGACACCTGGAGCTCGAGCCCTTCTGGAGTATGTGAGGTATCTGTGGTGATGCGCGTCATCATATTATGACTAAAATAACAGGACATAATATATAGATAATATATAGCCTGCTTTCAACAACCAGATGCATTTACACTTGTCCAGTTTCGTCTGGAATACGGCCCAGACCACGTCCTCAAGTGATTTGAGCGATCGGATTCAAATCCGTCTTGAATGCGTTTCGGAGGGCAACCTGGTCTTTTCACGATCGAATAGCTATCCGATCACAGAAAACGCATGAAGTGACCAGGTGTAAACAGCCCCTTTGAATCCATCTTCTACTTTTGTGGAAAGTTGACTAAAGTTGTGTCGCTTTAGTTGTCTTCTCTGATACGGAGAATGGCGGCGAATACACTAAACCTGCAAGACAGGCACATCGCCAGGCGAGCGTGAACGCGCATGATGTCACGGCCAGTCTCGGATTCGAGCCCAAATCCCTCTTATTTATTTTACTGTACAGGATTATAGAGGCGATCGCAGTGATCAGAGAAGGGCTTATTCAGCCCATCAGGTGATTGTTTAAGCATGTATGGGTTAGAAAACGGCTATTTTTAACATGAAATGTTGCGCAATGCACCTTTAATAGATGCAGACTCAGCAACGATTTGTATTTAATTGTACAGTACAATCATAACATAGAACAGACATTATCTTCATTTCCTGTCATTAAACATTACAATATTGCTGGCCATACACTGATGAGAAAGTGCGTGTCCGGTGTGCGATACTGGAGTTGTCCTACGCGGCGCAGCACTTCTCGTCCGGTCACTCCGGTGTGCGACACCCCCCACCCCCCGCGCCCAGGAGCTTGTATGTAATCGGAGGCTCATTTTTAGTTTCTAAATGGTTTGGGTACAATGGCCCTCATTTATCAAAAGTGCGTGCACCAAATTTCCAGCGTACACCTTGCGTACACTCAAAACCACGGTGAGTTTGAGATTTATCAATATGGACGTGGGCGTACGGCACGCTCGAATCCTACACCAGCTCAGGAGGTGGTGTACGCACGTTTTGAGTTAGTGAGGAAATGCGCAGAAAAATTCCTAACACCACAAAACGCACTGACAAACTAAAAGATGATATAAATGTGAAAGATGAGATAAATGATATGACCCACTGTAAAACAAACAAACAAAAAAAACAACATAGTAATTATAAACTTCAGTGTTTATTTTTTGTGTTACGTGGACTTCAATGTTTAATTTGTGTGACTTTACCAAAGCATTTGATTTGAAAGCATATGTATTCCTTCAGTTGCGAGCCCGCTTTACCCTGACGTTTCAGGATTATCCCCGGTAGGTGCGCACGGACTGGGTTCGGTAGCCTAATGAAAGGCTTTCAATGACCAAAAAATAATTCAGACTGACAAAATAACAAAAAATACGTTCTTCTTCTTTTAAATGATAATAATAATAATACAAATAATAATAACGACATCCTTCTTCTAAATAACAATAAGCATCATTAATACAAATCATCATAATAATAAGAATAGGCTACTATTACAAATTGTCATGCAATTATTAATGTGAATGAATGGTACTTTACATCACATCATCATCATCACTATTATACATGTGATGTGATTCGAAATTGAATGCTAATTTCAAGAGACGTGCTGTAAAATAATGCTTTGTTATAGGTCATTTCGTCTCCACGTCGGAGAAGTTTCTCTTCTTTGCCGTCTTCCGTGTGTCCATGGCGTAAAATAAGGGCGTGGGGGGAGCGGAAACTTGAATATTTAGGGGCGTGTTATTCTAATGACGATCGTTTTCGGCCGCGGGATTTATCAAGGGCAGGCATTGCGTACACCTGGATTTCAAAGGTACGCACATCTTCATAAATCAGGCGGTGAGAGGAGTGTAAGCATAATCTTACGCCAAAATATACGCCCGTTTCTACGCAAGATTGATAAATGAGGGCCATTGTGATCGCGTTGAAAATAGAGGCGTTAGTAGCGTTAGAAGCTCAAACATTGCCGTGGGTCATTTAAGAAAATGACAGCTCCAAAGAGACGCCGCTTTAGTTTGAGGTGACGTTAACATTAGTGCTAACAATAATAAAGAATGATGATGATCATTATCATCACCTTATCTTTTACTACTGAAATGTAAATGTAATGTATTTCCAAATCTAAGCCCAGCAACTTACATCTGTGTCATTCTTTTAGGTGAAATGGTCCCATACATTATTTTCTTTGCACGCTTCATCCTGTCTTCTGCCCTGGCTCTAACCTCGAGTGTTTTAAGACTGAAGCCTTTACTTTTCGCAAATCTTGTGAGCGCGTGAACCCAAACGCTGTGACCTCGCGCCAAATGTTTTTGTTTTTTTTGTTACCGACTACCATCAACTTTGATCAGTTAACTTTGATACAGTCAACCATCGGTCAAACGGTCATCAGTTAACATCCCTACCTTGGACCGTTTTTCCTGCCGAAAAAATTTGCGCTGGCTCGCCTCGGCCACCACAACGTTGCGCAACATCAAATGGCAAGCGTAATAAACGCGAAACGAAACTGTGCTACTCATTATGTGCTTCACGGATCGGACCAGCAACATCTGTGCAGCGCGAGCCGATCTCTATCAAGCGACACTGTTACTACACAGTGCTAAGAGATTCAGTATAGAAAACATATGAATTCACCACTGAAGTAATAACATCGCTGCGAGATCTAGTGAGAAACATTCAAATTTCTTCGTTATTAAAGATCTCTATTAGATCAAACAGCGCTGACGTGGAAACCAGGAGAAACATTGTGCCGTGAATGAACTAGCAGTAATACTTTAATAGTTTACGTCCACAGACCAGCAACATTCACCATGGATTTAATATACACTCTTAAGGGGGTCGCACACCGCCACGTCTAGAACAATTCACAGGTATCGCACACCGGACGCGCACATTCTATTCGCACGAGCTCAGTTTTGAATCAACTCCTGGTTGAAGTCAAGAGCTGCAAGATGGGTGAGTTTAAACTGGATGTATTATTTTTTTTTTTTTATGTTAAGTGAATAAAATAGCTGATGTTTGAACGTTATTAACCAAGTAAAAGTCTCTATCACCTTGTTAAGTCTGTTATTTTGTTATAACGTTATCCGTTGTCTAGGCAACTACTTTATTGATTACTCCCTACTCCTTCATACTACTCCCTACTTCATTGATGAGTTTTTCTTCGTCCATTTCGATCCGCTGCTACGCTACAGAAATTACCTGAAGTGTGTTGTGACCTGGTAAATCCAATAGGTGGCTCTACACGACCGTGAATGTAACCACGTGAGGCAAACGTTACATCGCCTATGCATTAATATTTCGCACTGATGGGTTTTAATACTGGTACTTAATAATAATAACACAGTTAGTGTATGGTTAATATGATAGAGTAGCCTATTGAAAAATGGATTTAAAAAGGCTATGTTTGTTTTACATTTTTTCCCCAATATGACTATTCAAGGCAAGCTGTTAGGAATTAGGAAAATTAGGAATGTTAAATAGGCTTAAATGTATATTGCAGCACAGGGTGAAGTCAGTATGTACATTAACGACGATTTGAGACAAATAAATGCAATTTTAATATAAAACTATGCAAATGGCGCTCTGTGGCGCGGCAGAGTTTTGAACACGGTCCTGAGCCGTAGCTGGGCGGCGCGGACAGACGCCGAATGGCGCCGCCGGTGTGTGTACACTCATAGAGAATAATGTGTTCGAATTTTGAAGACGCGACGCTGCGCTGCGCGCCCGGTGTGCGACCCCCTTTAGAAGAAATGGTTCTATTTAGAACCAGAAATGGTTCCATCCCCCGCTTCATATATGGAACTCCAAAATGGTTCTATATAGAACCATTTTTTTTGGTAAAAGGTTCTATTGGCCAAGAATGGAACCCCAGGGTTCTATATAGAACCCAGAGGAACCCTTTTTTTAAGAGTGTCTAGAAGCTTTTAGGGGTTCCAAATACGTAGCGCTGATAGAACCTTTTAAGGTTCTATATAGAACCTTTTCTTCTAAGAGTGTAGTTACACTAACTGTAACCAGTTTGGCTGGAATAGTGAAATGCTTTCAAGTACTTCACACATCTTTTTCCAGCACTTCAAAATTCAAATATTATATAAATATTTAAATGTTATTTTTTATGTGATGACCACAACATTATTTGTTCATCATTCAAAGATGACTCCCATTTATAAACCTGAAAGTTTCAAGATGTAGGAAACCTCAAACTTATTTAAAAATATTTTTTTCTTTTAACAAATAGGAAATTTCTCTGGCTTTTCTTTCTTTCTGCTGTATCAAAAACGTACCGAACCATGACATTAAAACCGAGGTACGTACCGAACCGTGATTTTTGTGTACCGTTACACCCCTAGTAGTTATTGACACTTTTTACTCGTGTTTGTAGTTCTGAACCCTATCCTCCAAAGCGCAGTGGGTTGTGTGCAATATATGTCATTATATTGAGCGCAGTTTACACCACCAAAATCTACTGGAAATAGTAGACCATCCCGGGACTTCTGGCATACTCTTTTCAACATACAATGCTTTGCAACATTAGTCTAATCTCACATACGATGATAGTATGGACATTGGGATGCAGGGTCAGAGACTGTTATTCTAAAAGAGTCACTGAATTACTGCCTTAATTAATTTAGATAATATTTTTTGTCCATTTTTTTCTCTCCTTGAAATTGGTAAATGCTGTTTATCAATGTATGGTACTGTGCTGTAATAACCAGTAGGCATATTACTGAACTCTCACAAATATGCTTTATTCAGAAAAGTAAATGAATCCACTCACCCAGCGTCTTGATCTTCTCCTGTAACTCTGTGATTTCTTTCTCTCTCACGCTGAGTTTCTTCTCTAGTTCATCTCTGACTCTCTTCTCTGGAGCTCTCAGATACATCTGAAGTGAATAGGGTTCAGTCTTCAGGTTGTCTATACAATCTAGCACCTTTGAGATCGTTCTGGAGTTTCTATCATCCTTCAACCCGATCACACTGTACCAGCTCCCATAGAGACTCACGACCTTCTGATATTCTGTGGATGAAACACAATCTGCCACACTTTGGTCAACAGCAAGATCAGCAGTGAAAAGCACCATGAAGTGCTCATTAGAGTTAAATATTCTTTTAATCTTCTCCATTTCTGCTCTGTCTTCATTAGTCAGTGAACCGACAGGAGTAACGAGGACAAAAGCATCAACTCCAGGATCACAGAGAGACACACAGTTGAGAGTCTCCCGCATCACTTCCTCCTCTGAGAGGCGAGTGAGAGCCGGAAGCTCTATTACCGTAATCTGCCGTCCATTAATCTTCACCTGTCTCTTCACACACACTTTACTCATCTCTGTGTGAGGTTTATTCGTTATCCCTCGAAGTATTTTAGACACTGAGTTCTTGAGTGTTGTATTATATCCACACAGCACAATGTTCAGCTTTGTTTTTCCAGAAGTAGTCACTGAAACAATATTTAGAAACAGTAGACTCAGTTTAGCTTTGGTAACAAATGTGCGCTTCAACAAAACAAAATATAGATAAAACAAAATATAAATACATCCAGCTCGTCGGGAGCAGCTGGGGTTAGGTGTCTTGCTCATGGACACCTCGACACTTGGTCAGGTGGAACCGAGGATTGAACCACCAACCTTTCGGTTTGTAGACGAACGACTGAGCCACTGCCACCCTTCTTGTTTTGTTTGACATTTAATAAAATCCCTACTCATCCTTCAACAGCGACACTATGATGTTGAATGTAGTATGATTCTGGCTATAGACAAACAAAGAATGTTCATTTTGGGGTGAACAGTGACAGTCTAACAACATTAACAGTAATATAGCTGCAAGCAGCCATTATGGGGCCGAGCGCAAAAGCAGACGACAAGACATGCCAACATGGTTGGGAGTTTCAGACCAACAGCAGCAAGGAGCAATAGCCTCTATGCACAAACCCTGTTGACGTGTGTCCAAAAGAAACTCAGCCAGCTTCTTTATTTCCGCTAGTGCATTCTGCTGGCAAAGTGTATAGCAGCAAAACTTTAATAAAATTAATTTTCTCAGAAACGGAGACAACGATTTTAGAAACTGATTCGCTAGTCGGATTTCGCACGATATAAGAGATACTCACCCTCAAAGTTGTTGATGTAGCTCGAAATATATAATTTAAATAACTTCTCCTTTTTACACTAATGTGTGACAGCTAACTGCCTTAGTGTTGTTCACATCATTTACGTTAACCGCAGAAAGTTTTTGTAAACAGTGAGTGTAATTTGACACTATCTCCACCTAACGCAAAACCGGCTTCACTCAAAATGTGAAGGCATTGCAGAAATTAAGCCTAAATAGTCATTTTGGCAGCATGCCTCAAATTTGATGCTGGGGTATGCGACAGCATATACGGTATATTTTGTCTATCGATACGAAATACATACATTTTTGTTTTTCGAAACTTCTCAGGTTCCTTAGGGCATCGTACTGATGACCAATACCGACTTTCGTGACAATCCATTTATGTGTTCATAAAATACAGAATTTTAGCACATAATTCAAAATGGCTGACAGCCAGAATGGCCGACCTGGGTAAACCATAAGTTATAAGTCAAAATAGACATTTTTCATATCTTCAGACCAGTAGGTGGCGCTGCGCCGAAAAGCAGCATGTAGCCTCAGGTCATGCTTGTGATGACATGCATAGGTATCCATAATAAAGGCTAGATGTCTCACCCGCCAATGGCGGTCGACGTCCACACCTGGCGGGCATCTTGCCACAGGCTCACTCGTAACATTGTGTTTTAATGGTGCATGTACTTTTTAAATAACCATAACTTGCTCAATTTTCTAAAGATTTTCAAATGGTTTGGTTTGTTATAAACGTCAGAGATGTAGTTATGACACTACATACTTCTGAATAATAAGTGTATCAATAAATAATCATCCAGATAATTATAGCCACATTAATAACGTTTGAAAGAAACCAAACCATTTGTAAGTCTGTCAAAATTTCAACGAGATAAGTGTATTTGTGCTGATCACTCATCTTACATCAGGAACCACAGCAGAGCCCGCCAGAACGCTTACCTTTGACAAGCTGGCCGCCGGTGATGACGATAGAGACTCCACCAAAAGACATCTAGCCTTTATTATGGATTTCTATGGTGACATTAACCAAGTTTGGTCTGAATATGATAAAGCGTTGTGGAGACACAGCCTTACAAAATTACAGATCATTATGATGTATTATGTATTAATCATGTGTTAATTACAAATCAACATGAATTCCATAACTTTTTGTTGGTATGGTCTGAAGATGAGCTGTTTTACATTTTTGTAAAATCGTAGTAACGGCAATACAAAAGGCCTAGGAGGAGTTTGAAAAAGGAGCTCCTTCAGAAAATTCAAAATGGCAAAAAGACTTTGATGACGGAAAATGACATCCAATCGTCTTGATCTAAGGAATCAGATGAAAAAGGAATTTTGTTTCTTGCCCTTACTATTCAAAAGTTATTAGCTTAAACATGAGTGAAACTTTAGACAGGTAGGCGCTAGAAGGAATGAGTAAGACACACCCAAATTGGTGTATTTGATGTTGGGACTGTCCTCTATCAGAATGTCAAACCGTTACAACTTTCCCGCAAGCGATTCTATGGGCTGCCATAGACGCCCAGTCGGAAGGAGAATAAAAATAATAATAATAATAATATGAACAGGAACAGATACAATAGGTGCCCCTGATTACTCAAACTGTGTCTGAAAAATTTAAGTCTTTCTGTCGATGTCTGATACTCTTCAAAATCTATAAGTTTCTATTTAATAAATTTTTAGAAGCTTTTAAACCTAAACAAAGCAGATTAGATTTTCTCCCTGTCTCTACGACACTAACTTTCAACTCTTTCCCCGCCAGCATTTACTAAAAATGTTTCCTGCCAGCACCAGCATTTTTGACCATTTTCACAAAACTTTCATGGTCCTCAGAATTTGATCTGAATGTGCAAAGATCCGGGCCTCTGCTTTTAAAGTCCCTGTAAAGTCAAAATTAAGTATGTGTTTTGAGTTTGTCACACCACAGAAAAATTTGTTATTAGCCACCCAGCCAAATTTGAATGATAAAATAAGCTATCAAAATCTTGAAAAAATTAGCAGTTATCTCTGTTCTCAAACGCTGGGGGCGTGTCCGCTGGCTGTGCTGAAGCCACGCCCACTAGCGGGAAAGCTGTTGATGGTGATATTAGCTGATACTGCTTTCGGGACGGGAGGATGAACACTGAGGCGGGAGATAGTCGTTTCGGCCCTGTTCACCAGTAACAGCGGATTATCAGTGAATCCCAGTCGTCTCTGAGGAAAGTTTATAAAACTATCCAGTGTAAAATGATCACTACAGAGGCGGGTGTTGGGGGTGATCCTCAACTCTTCATCAAGGTTGGCTCTCTAAAAACCTCTTCTTGATGTGATCGTTTTTAGGGAATTTAAATGAAGATACCGATCTGTTTTGTACATGATGGCATTCAGGTAGTAGCCTATGCATGTCCGTGTCGAAGGCATAGTGAAGGAATACAAATTTATTAAATGTTTCATAAAGGTTTAACAGTATTTTCAACTGAAAAATGTATACAGTGTTTACCATTTTGAGACCAATAAGATTAAGCCAAGCATTCCAGGTGTCACAAATTAGCTTTTGTCTTTATGTGCTTCCTGGCCATTAAGTTCAAGATTCAGCTTTGCTTTTGTAATGGTAAAAGTGTGACCACGCTGGTCAGACTGATTAGATTAGCGCCTCTGGTAGTCTGTTGAATCATATACATTTACTTTTGTTTCAGTTTCTCCCCCCACAATGTAAACTCCTCCCCTCTAAATGTATAAATTGTAAGCCTTAGCTAGACTATCTTTGAGATGACTACAGCGATAAAGAACTTCTGCGTGAAAGAAACCTCAAAAGTCTCCTGGTCTCCTGAGTTGCTAACTTTTCTACAAGGAAAGAAAAGTTTCTTACAATAGCTAGGTAGAAAACTGTAGGCTCAGCTGTAGTAACTTGAATAGTACTGACAGTCACTCGCGATTGAGCGGTGAATGCGAATGTGTTCGGGGAGTGTTATTGTGTGTTAGGGGAGAGATCAGACTCTGTGCGTCATCAAATAGGGGCGTCTCTAGGAGCTCATGGGCTCCAGTGCGTCATCGAGCCCTGTTTTAGCCCCGCCCAAACAATCCGTAAAATTGCAATGGAGAAAAACTGTTTAACTGCACATTTCAGTACTTCACAGTTCACAGTCTTTGTAATATGTTTTAGCAATACATATGCAACATTTATAATGTGTTTAGAACTTTTTTTGTAGAATTGCCTTTACAGGGACAATAGAAAATGAAAAAAGTTTTATTCTAGCTTCATGCATTCTTTTTTATCAAAACTTCGCCTGTTTTTTTTATTTAAAGATTGTTCTCTTTCAAAAGACACAATAGCGTAATAGCACCTCCTACCGTATAACAGTGAAAACACGGAAATTCCATCAATGGCAGTGAAAAAGTTAAAGGACAAAAAATATTCTTAGAGGTACTATCCTGAAAAAAGTACTTTGACAAACCTCCTCCATCACTTGCTGTTTTTGTATTCTGTTTTCCATCCTCCTTTTTGCCATCTTCTCTGAATAAACCCCCAGATCTCCTCGGATCTTCATCCACTGATGTTCCTCCATCTTCATACATGTTACAGACGAGAAATTCTTCATGTTCTTTCTTGAGCAGCTCCTCTATTTTTCTGATCATCTCAGAGCGCCATCCTGCGTTTTTTCCATCAAACTTAAGATATCCTCCTCCACACTCCTTTGCTAAATTATGAATAGCATTATTTACAGTCTTGTAAATCATGTATGTGCGTGTGTCTTCATCAGTAGTCAGCACTATAGTGTGTTTAATGGCCTTCACACTGAAGAGGTTCAGCACAGTTTTCACTCTTCTCAGGTCCTCCTCAGTGAAGTCTTTATTCTGCAGGACGAGTAAGATCACATGAGGTCCTGGAGCAGACTGAGACACACACTCTCTCACTCTCTGTGTGATCTCATGCTGTGAGAGATGTGGCTGGAGAAGATGAGGAGTGTTGATGACTGTGAGGTGTTTCTTCTCCACCTCTCCACTGATTCTCACACTGGACTGCTGTGAATAAGATGATGAAGCTTCACTGTGAAACGCTTCTGTTCCCAGTATGATGTTTCCCACTTGGTTGTTTTCTGAGCCATTCTTTCCCAGCAGAACAATTCTCACTGAAAAAGACACACACACACACACACACACACACACACACACACACACACACACACACACACACACGTTGGGTTTTATGTTAAAGAACATGGAGACTTTCCATAGACACAATTATTTTTAAACTGTACAAACGTTATATTCTGTCCACTTACACTAACCCTAACCCTCACACACACTCACACACACATAGGCTTGCTGCAATTGTAGGAGTTACATCATGTGTTGCATCATTACAACAGTTACATCATGTGTTTTAAGATTGGATTGCTTTTAGACTACCTCTGGGAGTGGTCAAAAGTGGACTAGCTCAAAGCATTTTAGAAGCCGTTTACACCAGTGTTTAGCACTGTCTACTTATGATCCGATCGACCAACGCTTCTTAACCGTTTTACACTGTTCGATTTCTGTGCACACCCTGTATGGAGCGGGTCAAATTGACCCTATTGACCCTAATTGGATTCAATATAAGTCCTCAAAAATCACACTATGAAAACAGTGGCGGCGCCAGGGGGGAGCTAGGTGGTGCTGTAGCTCCCCCTATAATTGCCACAGCACCCACCCAGCACCCTTAAGAAATGTTTGCATTTTTTTATATTTATATTTTAAGGCCATGAATTTATAATTATATTTTAAGGCCATCAAGGCTTTGAATAATCTTTTTCATGTTGTTAAAAATGGGAATAAATAATAATAATAATAATAAAAATTATATATATATATATATAGAGCCCGTGAAGAGACGACCCGACGCCCGTGAGGAGACGACCCGGCGCCCGTGAAGGGACGACCCGGCGCCCGTGAAGGGACGACCCGACGCCCGTGAGGGGACGACCCGGCGCCCGTGAAGGGACGACCCGGCGCCCGTGAAGGGACGACCCGACGCCCGTGAGGGGACGACCCGGCGCCCGTGAGGAGACGACCCGACGCCCGTGAGGGGACGACCCGGCGCCCGTGAGGAGACGACCCGGCGCCCGTGAAGGGACGACCCGACGCCCGTGAGGGGACGACCCGGCGCCCGTGAAGGGACGACCCGACGCCCGTGAGGAGACGACCCGGCGCCCGTGAAGGGACGACCCGACGCCCGTGAGGAGACGACCCGGCGCCCGTGAAGGGACGACCCGACGCCCGTGAGGAGACGACCCGGCGCCCGTGAAGGGACGACCCGGCGCCCGTGAAGGGACGACCCGACGCCCGTGAGGGGACGACCCGGCGCCCGTGAAGGGACGACCCGGCGCCCGTGAGGGGACGACCCGACGCCCGTGAAGGGACGACCCGACGCCCGTGAGGAGACGACCCGGCGCCCGTGAAGGGACGACCCGGCGCCCGTGAGGGGACGACCCGACGCCCGTGAGGAGACGACCCGACGCCCGTGAGGGGACGACCCGGCGCCCGTGAGGGGACGACCCGGCGCCCGTGAGGGGACGACCCGGCGCCCGTGAAGGGACGACCCGACGCTCGTGAGGAGACGACCCGGCGCCCGTGAGGAGACGACCCGGCGCCCGTGAAGGGACGACCCGGCGCCCGTGAAGGGACGACCCGACGCCCGTGAGGAGACGACCCGGCGCCCGTGAAGGGACGACCCGACGCCCGTGAGGAGACGACCCGGCGCCCGTGAAGGGACGACCCGGCGCCCGTGAAGGGACGACCCGACGCCCGTGAGGGGACGACCCGGCGCCCGTGAAGGGACGACCCGGCGCCCGTGAGGGGACGACCCGACGCCCGTGAAGGGACGACCCGACGCCCGTGAGGAGACGACCCGGCGCCCGTGAAGGGACGACCCGGCGCCCGTGAGGGGACGACCCGACGCCCGTGAGGAGACGACCCGACGCCCGTGAGGGGACGACCCGGCGCCCGTGAGGGGACGACCCGGCGCCCGTGAGGGGACGACCCGGCGCCCGTGAGGGGACGACCCGGCGCCCGTGAGGGGACGACCCGACGCCCGTGAGGGGACGACCCGACGCCCGTGAGGGGACGACCCGGCGCCCGTGAGGGGACGACCCGGCGCCCGTGAAGGGACGACCCGACGCCCGTGAGGAGACGACCCGGCGCCCGTGAGGGGACGACCCGGCGCCCGTGAGGGGACGACCCGACGCCCGTGAGGAGACGACCCGACGCCCGTGAGGAGACGACCCGGCGCCCGTGAAGGGACGACCCGACGCTCGTGAGGAGACGACCCGGCGCCCGTGAAGGGACGACCCGACGCTCGTGAGGAGACGACCCGGCGCCCGTGAGGAGACGACCCGGCGCCCGTGAAGGGACGACCCGACGCCCGTGAGGAGACGACCCGGCGCCCGTGAAGGGACGACCCGACGCTCGTGAGGAGACGACCCGGCGCCCGTGAAGGGACGACCCGACGCCCGTGAGGAGACGACCCGGCGCCCGTGAGGAGACGACCCGGCGCCCGTGAAGGGACGACCCGACGCTCGTGAGGAGACGACCCGGCGCCCGTGAAGGGACGACCCGACGCCCGTGAGGAGACGACCCGGCGCCCGTGAGGAGACGACCCGGCGCCCGTGAAGGGACGACCCGACGCTCGTGAGGAGACGACCCGACGCCCGTGAGGGGACGACCCGACGCCCGTGAAGGGACGACCCGGCGCCCGTGAGGAGACGACCCGGCGCCCGTGAAGGGACGACCCGACGCCCGTGAGGAGACGACCCGACGCCCGTGAGGAGACGACCCGGCGCCCGTGAAGGGACGACCCGACGCCCGTGAGGAGACGACCCGGCGCCCGTGAAGGGACGACCCGGCGCCCGTGAAGGGACGACCCGACGCCCGTGAGGGGACGACCCGGCGCCCGTGAAGGGACGACCCGGCGCCCGTGAGGGGACGACCCGACGCCCGTGAGGGGACGACCCGGCGCCCGTGAGGGGACGACCCGACGCCCGTGAGGGACGACCCGGCGCCCGTGAAGGGACGACCCGACGCCCGTGAGGGGACGACCCGACGCCCGTGAAGGGACGACCCGACGCCCGTGAAGGGACGACCCGACGCCCGTGAGGGGACGACCCGACGCCCGTGAGGGGACGACCCGGCGCCCGTGAGGGGACGACCCGACGCCCGTGAAGGGACGACCCGACGCCCGTGAGGGGACGACCCGACGCCCGTGAGGGGACGACCCGACGCCCGTGAGGGGACGACCCGACGCCCGTGAGGGGACGACCCGACGCCCGTGAAGGGACGACCCGACGCCGTGAGGGGACGACCCGACGCCCGTGAAGGGACGACCCGGCGCCCGTGAAGGGACGACCCGACGCCCGTGAGGGGACGACCCGACGCCCGTGAGGGGACGACCCGACGCCCGTGAAGGGACGACCCGACGCCCGTGAAGGGACCACCCGACGCCCGTGAAGGAACGACCCGTATATATATATATGTGTGTGTGTGTGTATAAATTAATTTCACTTTATACCTAGTCTAAAGTATGAAATACATGTATGTACATTTTTAGAATAACAAATTTCTACATTAAACACAAATATACGCCGCCGCATTTGTGACTCTACTGTGATTAAAAGCGACACTTCTGGTTTACTTCCCACCGGAGCCTCACTTTCGATTTCAAAATGGCGGCTGCGTGAAATCAGCGTATGGTACGTTCAAGTCCTCCTGGGGAAGTTTGCACGTACGAGGTGGGAAGTCGTTTTTACGAGTTTCATCGGAGGAAGATGGCGGAGAACTTTATCTTAATTAATTACACAAAAATACAGTAAGGTTCTTAAACTCTTGTTCTAGGAAATGAAGAACAAAGAAATGTGCATCGGATGTACTTTGTTTTTTATGTTTTTAATTAATTTAAGCTACCGCCAACTTTACCGTTACATGTTGCACTGTTATTATAATGCCATCATATTCTGTGCTGGCAATTTGCTTAAATGTGCTGTAAATAAGAAAACCTTGACAATATCACTGCATAATATTTAAGTAGCCTACTGTGGTATTCCGCCATGTTTCTCAGAGACCGTTAGGTTGTGTACGCCTCCACAGAATGTCTGTAACCATACAGCCATTAATAGCAATGCCGTACGAACGGTTTTAGTTGATCATAGCTGTCTATGCCAGAGTGCAGTAAAAGTTCTGCACGGTCAAATTCAGTGACACTTTTAATGCAATACATTCCTATTAAAGTTGATAGTATTTCTTTGTTAATGATAAAGTCTAAAATATAGCCTGACTATAATGATCCAACGCTGCCATGTCTCTATCGATAGGCTATGCAATGAACACTGATCGAATGCGTTATTCTCTACATTTCATTTAGAAGTTTTTGTCTCAAAACACAAGAAGTTTTTTTCTCAAAACACGACTGCAGTCGTATTGCACAAAATGCAATATCTATTCACAAATCTAAACGTATTTTGTCAATTAGTGAACTTCAATTATAACCTGCTCAGGGAGAAGTGAACACTAGTGTATTTATACACTACAAGCTCCACAATCTGTGCTTGTGTTGATGTATGGAGTAAACAGGCCTGCATTTTTTACATTATTTTACCATTTCACATCTGATCAATCTCAACATGCTTTAAGATTGTGTAACGTTTGCGTCACTATAAGCTTAATTACATTAGCTTTGGTTTTTAAAAGTTTAAAATGCAAAGATAACATTGAGCAGAACTAATTGTGTAGCCTTTTATAGTAGTTTTTCTTCTTCCTGGTTTCAAATGCCACTTTTGAACATAAATATAAGAACGTGAAATAACTAAACGAAGTAAACCAATTGCTATTGTTGGCTAATATTTAATAAACGCTTCACAAATTATTGAGGAAACATTGCTTCGTATACTATATTTGTGCCTTAATTTGATTCTTACCTGAACTCGACGCCATTTCAACACCAGCACACTGAAATCAAAACCGAAAGAAACACTCACCTGTTCCACACCTTTAAAAAACAGAAATGAAATGACAGCTTCCTTCTTTAACTCTGATGAATAGAAATATAGGCCTACAAACATTTTCATTATGCAAAATTATTATTTAATTTGTGTGTGTGTACTGTATATATATAGGCCTACATTTAAAAAAAAAAATGAGATAAGAATTTTAGTTTCAGATTCTAGTCACGGAACACGTAAGAGGTTTGGTGTGCTTGCGTGATTCAGCCAGAGGGTGGCGCTCTCGTGTTGAATAATCTGATCCTGGATCAACTTTATCCTGAAGATCTTGAGTGCTTCTCAATACTCAAGTGAATCTTCCTCGTTTCTGCCTGTTTGTCTTCTTAATAATGATTATAAGATATTAGCCTGTGCTTTGGTTAAAAGTCTTTAGTGTGTTCTGTGTTCTGTTACTGATGAGACCCAATCAGGATTTAAGACAAAAAGACAAAAGCAAACAATACCCGACTTGTTTTAGATTTATTAGACTACAGAGAGTTGGTTAATGATGAGAGGTTTAATCTCTTGTTGATTTTTACAAAGCTTCTACAAAGTTTATTTTTCTATTTCTCAAAAATATCTGCATATTTATAATAACTCTTTACAATAATCCCAGCCGTTCCTTAAATCGGGTATTTTAGTTTTATTTTTCAAGAGGATTTGTTCAGGTTTGCTCTGTCTGTCTGAATCCCCTTATTTATTTCTTAATGTCTTTCCTCCTTTCTTCAGTACTTGTATTACTATTGCCAATCAACAAATACAGTCAAGTATTGACGACACGACCCTGTTTGTAAAAGATGACCACAGATACTAACACATATGATTTTTCTCTAAATCTTACGTTTTAAATGTGGATCTTGATAAATGTGTTAAAGCCTGTTTCTCTCTCTTCAGGATATTCCAGTTATCTCGGTGTAGAGATGATAAAGTCAGACGCAGATGAAGGAAACTCAAGGATTTACTGAGGAAGAAGGACTCTCTCTTTAATATCCCGGATTATGTGTGGATGCATGAGAGGCTGTGGTTATTCATAAACTAAACTTTCTCGACTTTACTTCCTTAAATAATACTATCAGGATAAATTAGCCTAATCTTGTTCTCTAAGGCGGGAATTCTCCCTTTCTTATTGTTATGAACTAACATCACTAAACCGTGCCGTAAATTATCACATTTTTAAGTGTTTTTGGCTTGGCGTCTAACTTATATTATATATTTTGATTGGAATAATTGTGATTTACTTGATAAAAATAAGTCTTGCACTCTACTTTCTCCGAGATTGGGCCAATAATAATATTATTTTGGTCAATTGATCAATGGTGATGAACATTTATTCCCGTCCATATATTCTAGTTTTTGAGCTAATATAATATAATATAATATAATATAATATAATATAATGCAGGTATTACAGACCTGTCACTCCACCAGAGTTTACTGTTGTAATGGATGCTTTTCCTCATGATATAATAACTCTTCTTGAAGACTCAGATCCCAGGCTTCCTCATCATCATCATCATCAGCTCATCCAAGTAAACAATATATCTTTTATTGTTGAACAATATATATATTATTATATAAGATATAAACAATATATCTTTGACTTCATATTCTGTTATCCTGTGTAGCTCTGTGTAAAATAAATGTTTATTGACTCTGTGTGTTCCTCCTGATTCTCATCTCTGGGAATAATCACACAAGTCTGTGTTTGTATCTGTGTGTGTGTGTGTGTGTGTGTGTGTGTGTGTGTGTGTGTGTGTGTGTGTGTGTGTGTGTGTGTGTGTGTGTGTGTGTGCGCACTCTCATGATCAGGTTATCTTTCTTATTCAAACATCACTGGTCATCTCCTTTACACCCGCAACTCCAAAGCCCTTAACTCTGTCTCTCTGTATCATTTCAATGATATGTTCCTGTGATTGAATTGACAGTAATAATTACCTCTGACACCGGTTTTGGTTCTTGCAATTATAATAAAAGAGGGGAAAAGATGAGGCGAGAAATGAGCAGCTTTCCTCATAAGTCATTAAACTCTTTCACACACCGCTGAATTCAGTCGGGTCAGTTTATGTCAAGGGTGTGTTTAAGTGGATGAATATATTTTGGGCACTACCACTCCTGTCCGTACAGATGAGCCGTGTGGAATGTGGGATCTGGAAAATATGACAAATCATATTTTTTATATTCTTACCCCAAAACTGATCATTTCTATTCAATATTTCAAAAAATATCTTGTGTGTAGCGCTCTAACACTCTGTTTTGACTGAGTAAGCCTCCTAACCCTCACAAACACTACAGCGTCTGGCTCACACCAGTTTGTGCTTCCTCTCTAAGATACTTGTATTGTTCATTAAAGTAATACGTACTTCGCCTATTATTGACTATTTAACTGGGTAAAATCTTAAATAAACATAAGGATTCATTAAGAACAATGAATGTGAATAAGATATGACCGCAGGCCTGTGTGAGTGTTTTCATTCATGTGTGCGCGCGCCCGTGTGTATGCGCGCGAGTCACAGAAATGCGCGTGACGTCACCGCTCTACCTGAGTTTCGGCTGAAGGTGAAACTCCCGAGCACAGATTCAAACAAACACACATGAAACGCGTTTCACACACTTTCACACGGACACACGGCGAGTGTGTGTCCACATTATCCGGTTTATGACCCATACTCTCGGACTTTAACCACGTTTATTCATAAACCGGCTCGTTTTGGCGGCAAAGGCCTCAGGATTGGCGTTTTTTTCCCCTGTTTTGACGCTTCCTGAAACCCTCAGGTGAGACTCATTAATATATATCACATTTGTTTTCAATATATTTACAGTTTTTTACTTTCATTCAAACCATTAAATGCTCTCATATATGCTATACTACCCGAATTTAAGTGTTTTAATCGACAACAAAGCGGTTTTCGTGATTTAGCATCGAATATCAAAGTCACCATCTCTTTAATTTACTGAATTTATCGCCTTATCTCTTGCTTATTTCTGATAATACGCTGAATAAATTATCATAATGAAGTATAATTATTAATATGAGCTTTATCTGGCCTGTATTTTCAGTCAAAATAAATAGTAAATGAAACGTAACCCTTATGCTGCATTAGGGACATTTTTGGTCTTTTGCAGTTTAATTTCTTTGACCATTTTGGCTGTTTTAATGCAAATGGTATGAAATTTGGCAAAATTGTGACTTTTTGGATACATGTAAAAAATGTGATCCCATTTTGCAAAATATGTATAACACACACTGTGTAGATCAAATAGTAACACTCAGCACCATAAAGACCAAAAATGGCCCATTGAAACCCATTAAAACGTTGTTTAAATCTGAGGCTGTCAGTAATACATGAAACATGATTTTTGCACAAACATCCTTTCATTTTGAAGCAAAAGCATTAAATTTGCATTATATAGTGTATTCCACCAGATGACGTCACTACATATTTATTCCCTATGGGTGGAAATGCACCTTATTTTAGGCAATAGGCAATGTTTAATAGGTGGCCATTTTTGGTCTCTAACGCGCTAAGTGGGATTTTTTGCAAAGTGGGACCGTGATAATCCAAATCTAAAGTTTTCTCTTTGTATTTAGTTTATTGATAATTGAATAATAATATTATTCATAATTTATTCATAATTCATATTACTAATAATTGAATTTTTGTGTTTTTTCCTCTTATACAAATCGATGGCTTTGCAAACAAAACTGGTAATTAAAGGGTTAAAATCCTGAAATTGAATACATTTTTGGTAGTTATGATGAGGACTGATGCTGGTTAAAAGATTTAACTTGGTAAAAGTGGAAAATAATAATAATATATAATATTTTAGGCAATGTTTAATATGTGGCCATTTTTGGTCCTTAATGCACTCAACGGTGTTAAAAATCTAATGCAGCACAAGGGTTAATCAATTAAAATGCTGCTGCTAATAATAATAAAAACATAACTATTAGTATTGTTATTAAATTTACTATATGACCAGTTATACATTTTATGCATTTTATGAAAACTTTAACACACTTTAAAAAGTCACATGCACACATTTAATGAAAAGGTAATGAATTAAAATTACAAGTAGTAAAACTAAGGAATGAACTGAAGCGATTGAAAAGTGTTTGTGTGTTAAATTGTCAGGCTGTGGTTTATTTTGCTGGACATGAGGGTCAGTTTGATCATTGATGTGTGTTTTCCAGCCGCTCGTCATGTCGTCTCACCCGCGCCGGGTCCGGCTCAAGCCCTGGCTGGTGTCTCAGGTGGAGAACGGGACGTTTCCAGGTCTGGTGTGGCTCGACCGCGAGGCCAAACGCTTCCAGATCCCGTGGAAACACGCCACGCGTCACACACCCCAACAGGAGGAGGAAAACACCATCTTTAAGGTGAGAGTCGGGGATCCTGCGGCCCGGGTACGGCACGGATCGGGACCGAGGGCCTGTAGCATGATAGTAGTTAAACAAACTCAGATATACAGGTAGTGATGCTCCGCTCATGGCCGATTCCAAAGCTTTTTTTTTATTAGCATTCTTACCGATACCAATTTCTGTATTTTTTTTTTCTTAAAGCAATAAACAAGACAGTATATAAGTTACATAACACAATGTTTATTTGGTATTCAAAAGTCAAACTGGCTGTTTGCTGTTAAACAATAACTAAACCAATAAATTAAAGCGGTAACTGTGCAGTAAAGCTCATTCAATACTTATAGATGGATAAATATAGATAAAACTAAAAATAGATAAAACTAAAATCATGTTATTCTCTAGCTCGAAAAAGGCGGTAGACAATTCTACTCTCCAGACTTTGCGTTAGTGAAAGAATATAAATATCTTGGCATCACTATCGATGATAAATTATCTTTTGGGTCTCACATAACTAATTTAAAGAAAAAATTAAGATAAAGCTTGGGTTTTATTTTAGAAACAAGCTCTGTTTTTCATGTAATGTAAGAAAGAGGTTAGTTTCTGCTACTTTCTTGTCCGTACTCGACTGTGGTGATGTGGTGCATCAATTTGCTTCTTCACAACTTCTTTCTTCTTTGGATGCTGTTTATCACAGCGCTTTAAGATTTATATCAGATTGTAAACCTTTAACTCATCATTGTATATTGTATAATAGAGTATCCTGGCCATCTTTGTCTATTAGAAGGAAAATTCATTTTTACCTAATTATTTATAAAACTATTCTGGGGTTGTTGCCTTTGTATCTAGGTTGCCTAATTCAAAAGAAAAGTGTTGGGAAATATTCCCTTCGGTCTGATAATTGTTTTACTTTCTCTGTTCCATTTGTGAGAACTGAACTGGGAAAAGGGCTTTTATGTACACAGCTCCATTTGAATGCAATTTACTTCAAACGACGAAATCGAAATTACAAACGCTGTTGCCTATGGAACATTTCAAATCTATTATGCCATCACTCGAAGTAGACTCATTGATTTGCAATTGTTTTTAAAGGAGTAGTTCACTTTTGAAAAAACTTTTGCTGATAATTTACTCACCCCCGTGTCATCCAAGATGTCCATGTCTTTCTTTCCTCAGTCGAAAATAAATTTAGGTTTTTGATGAAAACATTCCAGGATTTTTCTCCATATAATGGACTTCAATGGGGTCCAAACGGTCCAAAAGACAGTTTCAGTGCAGCTTCAAATGTCTTTAAACGACACCAGACGATGAATAAGGGTCTTATCATGTGAAACGATCGGTTATTTCAAAACTTATTCCAAAAATGTAACTTTTCTAAGGACAAATGCTAGCCTTGCTCTATTCTATGAGGCACGTTTGTGACGTCACGTAATACGTAATTACGTTCAAAAGGTCACGGGCGACGTAGCCGGAAGCACAGAATCAAAATCGTCCGACATCGTTGTTTTTCCTTTTAAATCCTTTTTTGTAAACGGTGTTTGAGTTAGTTTTCACGTTCAACCTATGCGTTCAACTTGTAAACACTGACTCTGTACTTCCGGCTACGTCGCCCGTGACCTTTTGAACGTAATTACGTATTACGTGACGTTACAAACGTGCCTCACAGAATGGAGAAAGGCTAGCATTTGTCCTTAGAAAAGTTACATTTTTGGAATAAGCTTTGAAATAAGCGATCGTTTCGCATGATAAGCCCCTTATTCATCGTCTGGTGTCGTTTAAAGACATTTGAAGCTGCACTGAAACTGTCTTTTGGACCTTGAACCGTTTGGTCCCCATTGAAGTCCATTATATGGAGAAAAATCCTGGAATGTTTTCATCAAAAACCTTAATTTCTTTTCGACTGAGGAAAGAAAGACATGGACATCTTGGATGACACGGGGGTGAGTAAATTATCAGCAAAAGTTTTTTCAAAAGTGAACTAATCCTTTAAGTGTTTTAATTGTCCATTTGTTGTTTCAAGCTGTAAGTTGTGACTGTAACTGCTGTCCATTCTTGGCCAGGACACTCCTGTGAAAGAGATTTTTAATCTCAGAGAGATTTTCCTGGTTAAATAAAGGTCAAATAAAAAAAATAAAAAAAGATGAATTTATAAAATATATGATAGATAAACATATGGATAAATTTCAATAAATATAGATGGAGCCGACACATAGCTTCAGCATTTAGCTTTTGTTTTTAAACTTGAAACTTCATAAAACTGGCCTTAAATGAAAAGATGAATTGTAACCATGTGATACTAAAGGCAACAACTGCAGTTTGTGTTTGGCAGGACTGATGCGTGCGTGTTTCCCGCCGTGACTGATGCGTGTGTGTTTGGCAGGACTGATGTGTGTGTGTGTGTTTGGCAGGCCTGGGCCGTGGAGACGGGGAAGTATCAGGAAGGCGTGGACGAGCCGGATCCGGCTAAATGGAAAGCTCAGCTGAGATGCGCTCTGAACAAGAGCCGCGAGTTCAACCTCATCTACGACGGCACCAAAGAGGTTCCCATGAACCCATTGAAGATCTACGACGTGTGTGATATTCCACAGACCATCAGTAACCCAGGTACCACACACACACACTCACTCATTTTTTTATCATTATTATTCATAAAAATACAACTTTATTTACATAATGTTATGACTTTTCTTGATTTTTCTTTAAAATATATTACTTTATTCTTGATTTGTTTAGATATTCTGATTTTATTATTGCTTATTTTCAAATATTGTGACTATTCTTGATTTAATTATTTTTTTTAATTATTATTATTGAGAAATAAAGTATGCAGTGTGCAAGTGTTTGGTGACCTGTGTGTCTCAGGTTCAGTGACCACGTATGAGACCGACGGCGATGAAGACGACGTCCCCGACACGCCTGAACCTCCTCCTCCATATCCTCCTCACGGTACTGGGATACACCGGCACACACTCGCTGTACCGCACGTGCTCTAAAGGGCTCATCGGATGCTCAATTCACTTTTATGATGTGTTTGCATCCAATCACTCTCAATAATCGAGCCGTTTGGGTTTTCTGAGCACTATGATGTCACATTGCTCATGCTCCGCCCACGAGCGCTGACGGACTTTCCCATATTAGCATATATCTCGTATTAGCATTTATTTAAAGAGACATGCACCTCATTCTCATTTAAAGAGACATGTGAACAGAGCTGTTTTTGAGGAGGTAAAAAGTGTTTTATTGAGGAATTTTAACCGTAGTGTGTCACAAACTTAACATCAAGACCCTAAAGAATCATCCCAAATTGTGTAAAATAGGCATCCGATGACCCCTTTAAAGGTGCTGTGTGTAACCTTTTCACTCTACTCATAATGTTTGCATATATGTTGAGTTCACACACTGGTTTCTCTGAATAACACTTAGCCAGTTATCTCGCTGTCAAATGTGTGTTTTGTTTTGGTTTGTGATACTGTACATTTCTCATTTTCAATGTCCATTGCACTCGTTCCTGTCGCGTGTCTCAAACTGGCGACCCGTGTGAGCGTGGAGTCTGTGGAGGCGGGGAAACGATGATATCTCTGATATGTTGATTTGGCCTGCAGTACTGATCTCCACCACTAGTCGTTCTTGCAGACTGCAGCTTTAAGTGTTGCGGCGTGTGTTGTGTCGTGCGCAGGCGTGAGTCCGGTCTGGACTCCTCCCGGGTCCGTGTCCCCGATGGCGCCGGCCAGCTGCCCTCCCCCCCCTCCCCCCGCCGAGGTGTGGCCGAAGAAGGAGCCGCTGGACGTGGAGATGCAGCCGGAGATCCCGACGCCCTCGGCCTTCGACGGCATGTTCGCCACCCCGGAGACCTGGATCAGCTCTCTGCCCAGTAACTACACACACACACACACACACACACAGTTTATTTTTTGTACAGAAATGTTTCAGGTGTACTCAACAACAAAAACCCTGATCCTCAAAGCACACCCATAATGCAGTGTGTGTGTGTGTTTGCCAGTGACGGATCTGGAGGTGCAGTTTTATTACCGCGGTAAGGAGGTGTGTCCGCCGGTGATCGTGAGCAACCCTCAGGGCTGCCGGCTCTTCTACGGGGACCTGGGGCCGATCGTGAACCAGGAGGAGCTGTTCGGGCCGGTGAGCCTGGAGCAGGTGCGCTTCCCCCCCACCGAGCACATCACCAACGACAAGCAGCGCGTCTTCACCAGCCGGCTGCTGGACGTGATGGACCGCGGCCTCATCCTGGAGGTCAACGGACACGACATCTACGCCGTGCGGCTCTGCCAGTGTAAAGTGTACTGGTCCGGCCCCTGCGCGCCCAATCCCAACGCGCCCAACCTCATCGAGCGCCAGCACAAGGTCAAGCTCTTCTGCCTGGAGTCCTTCCTCAGCGGTGAGACGCACTCCTGTGTGTGTGTGTGTGTGTATGTGTGTGTGTGGCGCGCTCTGTTCAGTTGCTCGCGGCCCAAACGCATGTACCGCTCACACTCACCGGAAAGGGCAAAGTCCGCTAAAAACGTGTCGATATTAAATTTCTCTGGACTTGTTTTCGTTTGCAATAGCCTTACTGTGCTGTAACACAGTGTGTGTGTGTGTGTGTGTGTGTGTGTGGTGACACTACTCTTGTTCACTGATTGCTCCCTGCTCTGCTCATATGATCTGATGATAATAGCTTTGTGTTTGTAGGACTACTTTATTTTAATAATCGGCTAAGAAGATCTGATTCTGCTGCATACAACTGAATGAAGAATGATATATTAATATTATTTTAATATAGGCCTATTTTCCGTCATTTTTTTGATAATTGAAATATAACTGGTTATTTTATTGGTATGTTTTTTTTTAAATTCAGATTCATCAAATTATTGAATTTAAGCCATGGGTTTAATTTCCATTAAATTTTTAATTTAATTATTGAATTAAGCCATTTTATAATACAATTATACAAAAAAAACTCTTAATTATAATAAGAAATTAATCTTTTTATTATTGTTTTTTATTTTATTTATTTTTTTATAATTTTCTGTTTTGGTTTCGGCCCAAAATGTTTTTTGTTTTGTTTGTTTTTTTGTAATTTAAGTTCTGGAAAACCCTTGAAAACATTCATGTTTATGAAGAGGTACTTGAAAAGTGCTTGACTTATTTAAATATAATGTGTATATATATATATATATAGACCATTTCACAAGATGTAAACAACTCTGGTCCAGAAACACTTCCTGTTTCAGTTTGTAACTCTTTTCTTTATTTCACATGTGAAGAAAACATCTTAAAGATGTTTGTTTAACTTTTGTTCTGTTGGTTGTATTTTATCCCAGCTTTTATGTAGTGTTAAAAAACTGAAACAGGAAGTGCTTCTGGACCAGTGTTGTTTACATCTTGTGAAATGGTCTATAATACATTTTTTTGGAAAAACACAAATACAATCTTTTCACGCAGTGAACACTGCAGCCCGTCTGATAATCCCCCATCAGACCTTTAAATCCAACATCATAAAATAATATTTATTGGACAATAATATCCATTATGAACGTTGTGTTTAATATATATATATATATATATAATATTAAATGTGTTGTACTTTGGATACCTTATGTCATTTGAGTTTTAAAAATCCTTAAAACACACTAAAGATATAGTTTGATAAGTGCGATCTGTGATTGTAGTCCTTGAAAACCCCAAAAGTCCTGGATTTGTTCTCACCATCTGTTTGTGGAGGAGCGTGAAGGTGTGTGTGATGCTGTGGTGTGTGTGTCCGCAGGGGTCATCGCACACCAGCGGGGTCAGTCCTCGTCTGAGCCGCCGCTCTACGACATCCACCTGTGTTTCGGTGAGGAGTGGCCCGACGGCAGACCCCGAGAGAGGAAGCTCATCACAGTGCAGGTGAGAGCACTGCAGTGGTGCATTATGGGCCGGAACTAGTTTTTCCCATAGGATTTTCAAAGAAAGTTTTTAAGCAGCGAGGAGAATCACAACATTACAAACTTTAAAATCAGACATCATATGTTAATATTAAAAATCTTGTAGTATAATATTAATCGCTGTTTGCTTGGTATTTTTGTAATTCAGTTTTTGCCATGAGGAGAGCCACAGATGCTAACATGCTAATAAATAAAACTACAACTACCATGAAGCATTGCGAACTACATAATCGAACTAAAAACAATGGAGAAACACAAAACTGCCCATTTAAAAATGTTTATTATATATAACAAAACAATATATTTTTAGGTTCTTGCTAAATATACATATATTTAACTATTTAAAGTCCACCTGTAGTCAATAATTGTATCCCTTAATCCCTTCTATATTTAAACTCTTTTTCCTTTAAATCTCTTGAATGTAACTCGACACCATTGCCTCCTTTAGGCAAACACATGACCTTAGTGTCCAAAGTGATTTGCATAATATTTATATATATATAAAATCGCCCTGTAGTCAATCATTGCATCCTTTATAACGACACCCTTGTGGTTCTATGAATATGCAAATGAGCCCCGCCTCCACTCACTCCCTCAGCTCAGAGATCCACTGGTTGACGATCACACGTCGTCAATTAAATTAAAAATCATCCCTAGTTATTTTATTGATATTTTACGATGTTTTTATATTTATAAATAAAATGCGTTTATAACTAGCTTCATTTTTTTTAACTTTCCAATCAGTTACAAATATAATTTTTCATATACTAGAACCAACAAATAGTTGATTATAAGACAAATTTAATGTTTGTTTTTAACAAAGCTACTCAACTGTTAGCCTAAAATTGTCTATGAAGCTAAGCTAGCCTTAGCGTGTGAACTAGCCGATCGTGTTTCCCATACTGCTATCTTCTCGTAGCTAACGGCGTTCAGCTGACCGGCTCCGCGTGTGTGTGTGTTCGCAGGTGGTGCCGGTGGTGGCGCGCATGATCAGCGAGATGTTTTCTGGCGACTGCACGCGCTCGTTCGACAGCGGGAGCGTGCGTTTGCAGATCTCCATCCCCGACATCAAAGACAACATCGTGTCGCACCTCAAGCAGCTTTACCGCCTCCTGCAGACACACCAGGGTCAGGACAACTGGCCCCTCCCACCCGGGGCCGGCCTACACCTCGCGCACACGCAGTGACCGCGCGACGGCTTTTAACCAGAACTACTCCAGACTCTCGCTGTGTGTTTCACAGCTCCTCTGAGTGTGTGTGTGTGTGTCGCGCGGTCAAAGTCTAGCGGGTGTGTGTTAATGATCAGCCACAGCAAGTGTCCGCCCAGATATTTAGCTGTTTTATCAGCGGGAACTCACCGATGCTATCGCTTCAGTTTCACACAATATCTAATGAGCTTTTAACCACGCTATTGTGTTTCACTGCTGATGTATGTTACGCTTCTAATCAAACTGTCAGGTTTATGTGGCTTTCGCACTTTTGGGGTTGAATCTCATTCGTTTTTTTTAACTGTAATATGTATTTGACATCCCATCATGTTAGATTTATCAAATAAAATGAAAAATACACAAAGTGAGTGAGTGTTTTTGATGTTTCGGGAAGACTTCTCAGTTGCTAACGCTAAACCGTGAGGATGATTAGCACAGATTAAACATTGTTTAACTCGCATCACTGGTGAGGTCGTGTTTCTGTGCCGTCTCCACCCATCTGGTCTCCTTTAAGACACACCGGCTCTGAGCTCGTGTCGGACTTTAGACCTCGTGTCCGGGTGTGTTTCCTGATCCTCCGTCCATCACGTCGGGCTATGAGCGAGGTCTTCATGATTTAACACACAGGAACCGGAGAAACCACAGAAGATCTCAACACACAGGTGAGGAAGACCGCTAATAACACATCTGATCGTGTTCAGCTGGACGTGAACTGATCTCAGGTGTGTGTACGGTTTAGACGGGCGCTATCACATATAAAGCTGTTCTGGTTGATTCGATCTTCATTAAATGATTAATCAGGAGTGTGTTAATGTTGAATCGCTGCAGTGTTTAGGGGCTTGTCGTGTCGTTCTCCGTGTCTTCGTGTCGTACGGACGGTGTTACGTTAACGCTCCACACTGTAGATTACAGAGATTCTGATTTATGAGCTCATAAACCTGTGTAATTTCCAGAAGATGATCACCTGAACATTCCTCACTTTAACTACGCAAATGAATTAAAACTATTCCTTAATACCATGAAACTCTTGGAAATACCGTGGTGTTTTTGACGTGGTAATATCATGGTTTTGCCATTGCGAATTTGTTGGAAGACCATGATATTCTGTACCATGTAAAATACCATAGTATATGAACAAATATGTACTTTATAATGTACCTTGGTATTCAATCGATACAATTGTACTTTGTTTTTGGAAGAGAGGATAATATTAGGTGTTCTTGTACCTTACGGTACTAGCGGTCGACCGATATGTTTTTTTTCACGCCGATACCGATCTTTTGAAATCCGTGTTGGCCGATTAATGCTGCCGATTTATTTTGTCCGATATTTGCTTGGTTTTTAACCTCTATTTGAAAGATAAAATGTAAAAGAAATGATAATTACTTTCTCAACAAAAACATTTTATCCTCTCAAAAAATGTCCTGAAACTATTTTTGTTTTGTTTTGTTTGTTGACGGAAAAAGACAAATGGACATAACCTAATTATCACAAAAAAGGAGGAAAAAAACTTTAAATTATTAAATTTTTTATATATAAGATTTATTATATTTAATTTAATTTAACTTCTAACAATAATGTATTTCACTAATAAACTGCTGTTGAATGACAAAAACAACCACTAGATGGGAAAATGGGAAAACAAACCCTAGGCTGCCCACAGATGCGCCTGCCTAATAATCGGCTTGATATACTTGGATATTGGCCGATGCCGATTATGTAAAAAAATGGCAAAAATCGGCCGACCGATTAATCGGTCTACCTCGGTACCATACAAATGTACTATCACAGTATAATACGCTATTATTAAAATTTACATTGAAAAAACAATACAGTGGTAGGCTACATGGTACTTTGAAATATGCCATGGTATTTCCATAAAAGTATTGAAAAACCACAACATTATTAACCGTACAGTATCATGTACATACTGTGGTATATAGTCTCAAAAATACCATATTTTACAGTGGCACAGTGTGGTAATTACAGTACTTTGAGAGCTATTCAATGTTCGTCCAACGGTGCCATTGTACTTTTTTGCGACTTTACCATAGTATACTTTTTAAACAAATTTTACATTTGTATCATTTATTACATTTCTGTACCTGTTAGATCTACCGGAAAAGCTTTATTTCATATTGTCATATTGTATTTCTGTGTGTTATTACTGACTCTTTATTCGTCTTAAATGATGTTTTTAAATCTAGATTAGCGCTAGGCTAGTAGTTTTAGCTGTGGTATCGAAATGGAGAATTGTGAATTGTCTCTTTTTCCAAAATGGCCGGTAAAAAGGTCTCAGGCTCTGTATATCAAAATACCTGTTGGATCTGTGATATAGTGGTGATTGATAGCAGGTGCTGTAGTCATGCTGCGGGGTTCGAGTCCGTTCGGCTGGTCCAGCGGTTACACAGAATCGCAACGGTCCAGGTGAGGCTCAGATCTGGTTCATGTATAATATTAGACATCAGGTGTGTGTTTAACGGTGTCTGTTGTGTTTTTCTCCTGTAGCGTGACGGCGGATGACACGTACTCGGAGCTGTCGAGTTTATCCAGACCCAGCGCTAAATCAATATACAGTGAGTACTGGTCCTGTGACGTCACCACACAAGGCCATCACTTGCCATGCTATTTATAAACGCGTTCATGATTGGACCCTGGACACGGATAAAGATAATAATGTTTTATCTACTCAATTAGTTATGTTTCAAAAATAGAATCAGACTCGGAGCCTCATAAATCTGACAAAACAAAACAACGATGTTTAATATGTGCGGTGTGTTTGCTATGAGTTTGTATATGGTTAATGTATGTCTATTTGTTGTACATTTATGTGATGTTTATCATTATTGTGTGTGTGTGTGTTTGTTCATGGTGTGTTATTGTATATTTATGTGAATTATATTGCTCTTTTAATATAATGTTTGTCATTTATTGTGGATATTTATGTGTATGGTGCTATTTTATTTGATAGATACTACAATTATAAATAAATACATGCTAAATAGGTTAAATCTAAATATATTATAAACAAATTAGATGTAACAAATAAATACATATTTTTATATATAAATTTATTGTAATTAATTTAAACATTTTATTAATAGTTTTGTACTGGCTTTTCATTATTTGTGTGTTTGTTATTTTGTTTGTGTGTTGATGATTGTGTTTGTTTTATGAGGATGATTGTGTTTGTGCGTTTGTCATTGTTTGTTTATGATGATGATTGTATATTAGTTTGTTTGTGTGTTGATGATGATTGTGTGTTTATAATGATGATGTGTATGTGTGTGTTGTATTTGAGTTTACTATGATGATTGTATATTGGTGTGTTTGTGTTATTGTATGTTTGATGACAGTAATTGAGTGTTTTCTGTAGATCAGAGGAAGGAATACGCGGAGTCCATTAACAGACAGATGCATCAGTTCCAGCACCGGGTGGAGGTGAACATCATCATCATCATCATCATGTGACGACACGAGCGCTTGCTCACTCATCTTCTCTCGTCCGCAGCATCTGTTCACCTGTGAGCTGGACGGGCGGCAGGTGTGTGACGTGGACGACTGTCTGGAGAGACTGAAGTACCTGGACGCCACGGGGCGTGTGTGGGGGCAAGACGTGGTCCTGGAGGCGCGGGACGGGGCGCTGATGCTCTTGGACATCGAGAGCAAGGTGAAACTCTTTTGAACTACTTTAAAAGACGCTGTAAGTGAACCCAAGTACGATGGTTTTACCATACCACATTTGTTGATAACCCATGATATTCTGTACCATACAGAACCATGTAAAATACCATAAGAGGCTTTCTGATGGTTTTAGGAGATTCCCCTTCCATATGAGAAGCACAGAAAAAGTGCTATCCACAAGTTTCCGAGGGGCGCTCCTGTAAAAAATAAAGTGGGTGAAACTTCCGGTGACGCGGCGGAAGCAGCATTCCAATGGTATTTTGTGTGTTAGTTAGCGAAGAGGCTAGCTGTTTTTCTGAGAATTATTTTACTATTTAAAGACGCAAATCTTTATGAGAGCTGTCGTTACGGAGCTCAGAGACAACATGTGCTGTTTGCGGTTGTATGTATAACCGGATTAAACTAATTCAGTGGCTTAAACGTGATTGTTTTGAACATAAGCTGAAAACGAAATGAGAGTGATCCTGCCAGAGCCCGTCTCTGATCCTGCCAACGACTGTAACGTTAGTTTCCATCACCTCCCAAAAGACGACGAATCTTCCTGTGTACATTTGTTTAAATTCTTAATATTCTATAAACTCTATCAGCATGTGTTTGGCTGTTCGCTACTGATGTTACACCTAAACAGAGGATCAAAGCCTGTGTTGACAGAATACCATATGTGCCAGTTAATGTATTCAAGTAGCACATTCATTTATAATTTTGAATAAACTCCAAAGCACAATGACTAAGTGTAATTTTTTATTTTAATTGTTTGTCAGCTCGCACAACTGTCTGTCACCATGCCTTGTCTTGATGAGTATTGATTATTAATGTTATTATAATACTCCCAATCAACGACTGCGGAGGGTAAAGGTACTGTTATTTCACCCTTTTTAATTTCGTTGAGGTTGTGTTCCCACATCGTTAGCTAGTTTGGATCGTAATAACTTGAATGACTGTCAACTGTTGAATGAACGAGTGTTAAGCATGTCAAATCGCGCTTTGTTTACTTCCAACCGGAAGTCTCGCCCACTTTTGACGCAAGGCCTCATGGGGCGTAGGAAACTTGTGGATATAAATGAGTTCCTAGAACTTAAATCGTTCCTAGTTCCTGTGGTGCGAACAAGCCGAAATCCGGAAACTCCCGCCAATAGTTCTGGGAACCATGAAAAGGTTCCTCCGGTGCGAAAACCCCTGTAGTATATGAACAAAATAGTACCAAAAGGTATCATGGTACTTTAAAATATACCATGGTATATGAAACTCTCAGTGGTAGCAGAGAACCGTTGAGAAGTTAATGCGATCTCGCTGGGTTCCTCATTGCTGTTGATGTTTCAGGAGGTGTTGGAGTCGTGGCCGCTGAACAGCGTTCTGGATCTGACGGCGGTTCTGGACGAGAGCCCGTACGAATCTCTCCTGACCGTCTCTGTCCAGAACCGGGGCAGTCGGGTCGTCAGCGTCTTCATGTTCCAGAGCGAGTCTCTCAGGGTGAGTCCACAACTCTCACGGCGCTCGGAGTCTCTCGGCGTCTCCATTTGACATTTCATTTAATATTCAACAATATTATTGATCTTCCGCATTGAAATCGTGTTATTTCACTGATTTGGAACACTCTTGTGTTGTAAAAAGTGCCAGATAAATAAAGGTGAGTTGACTCTGATGATTTTATGTGTCGTTCAGGCAGATTATCTGAAGAAAGAGCTGGATCGGCTTCTTCAGAACAAGAGGAATGATCACAGACAGAGTAACGTCAGGTTAGCTGATTAAATCCTGTCCAACCAATCACTAATGACCTCCAAATGTCGTGGTGACATATGTCATTTGATCCTATAGTAAAGCTGGTGTAGGAAACGTCATGTCAAGAAATTCACGAAGAGCCTCTCCTCCAGCCGAGCAGATTCTCCCGAGAGCTCCTCCAGAACAGTGGGCCGCTCCGGATTACGGTGAGATTATGCCGGAATGGTGTGTTTTTAATTACTGGTGGATGCAAAGTGGCTCTATTGTTATCTCACGTGCTCCTCCTACTTCCGTACCAAATTTCCCTACCTAACTCGTCCCACACCGTTTGTCGTAGATCATAGACTGTAAGGCTGAACTGCAGTTTAAGTCACTTCCCTGTTGGTTTTGAGAGAGACCCGAAAGTTGCCGGTTGTCTTAGACCCATGAATGAGGTGTCAAATCATGAGGCTTATTGAGGAAAACACTACTTTGACTTTTATAAGCCATTGGGTGTATGATAAAAAAGGAGACGACAAATGGGGGCTCGTCCGGGATCGGAACTGGGACCTCTTGGCTTGCAAGACACCTAACATTGGCACAAACTTTGTGAGATTATGTCCATATTAAAATTTCTTGGGGGTGCGCTCATTTCACAATCCTAGAAAGCAGCCAATGATAAGTGACACAACAGTGTTATAGCCACCCCCTAGCAACCAGTAACAGCAACCTATGCAACCACCCCGTAGACTTCCATTTAGGTGAGAAAGATCTCTCTGGATCAGAACATCGAAGAGAAAAGTGGCTGGCATTTTTTCACTCAAAAAGTCTTCAAATATCCAATTGCACTCCCAGTATATTAGTTTCAGCTAGGAAACTGTCCAGGCACATCCTAGCAACCATTTACAGCGCCCTAGCAACCTTACGGCAACATGAATAAGCCATTTCTCAGCACCAGAACATCACAGAGGCATGGGAATTTCTGGTTGGAAACGAGTCTCCAAGGATCATCATGGTAACTGTCTAACCACACCCTAGCAACCATTTAGAGTACCCTAGCAACCACATAGAAACAATGGACATGTCACATCTCACCATCAGAAGAACAATGAAGACATGGGAGTTAGCTCTCTTGCAATTACGCAGAACCAATGCCTAGTGCCGAGTTTTGCGTAGGTGATATCTAAATATGATGAGACATATATTTTGAAATAGTTGTAGTAGTAGTTAATCCGGGGACTTTTTGCTGACTCTTTTATGAGTACTGTGAATTCGGACAAACTACTTTTTTGTCACATACTGTTTTCGCCTACTATATAATAGGGAAGTATGCTTTTACAGATATTTTGTGTCCCAGCATGCTCTTTGGACTAATAATACCCACAATCCCTTGCAGTTTGGATGAGAATGTGAATTTATCATGTGGTATCAATAGTACACAGTATGTACTTTACCATCACCAGCGCATTATGTAGTTTTCATATTTAAAGGCATGTTTTTCTGTGCTGTCCAGATGAGAGTCCCGCCCCAACCACACCCGTCTCCAGAAATGACCCCACCTATATGAAGGTTGTGGCTCCGCCCCCTCGTGTAGAAGACACGCCCCCGAGAGCACCCACGCCCCCTCAAAGGCCGTACACAGAGAGAGAGAGGAACGTGGTGAGTGTTTGAGACTGAATCATTCAGTGTTGATGTGTAGACGAGGGATAAAGACGACTCGTTTGTGTGCAGGACATCCTGAATCATCTCATTAACGACATCGAAGCCTTCGCCGACAGACTGACCGCCGTCGCCCCGAAAATGGACAAAAAGAAAAAGAAGAAAAAGCCGAAAGGTGAGAGAAATGGTTCATTTCACTGGATCAGATGAGACGAGTTTATGAATGCTCTCCTGACGTGTTTCCTCTCATCCGTACGCTGAAGTTGTAAAGGGGCTGCCGTCAGATGAAGAGTTCACAGTCTGTCTGCAGAAAATCAAGGCGGCCTTTAACCTGCTGGTGTGTGCGACACACTGCGGTCATATGTTCCCTTTCATTTGATATTATTATAAAGATATTTATCACAAAGTTTGTTATATTATTATAATGATTGTATCAAATAATGTGTTCAGGGCAAACTCCAGGGAAAGATTGAAAGCCCCAGCGCTGCTGAACTCGCACACTGTCTGTTCTCTATACTGGACCTGGTGAGTCTGTCTGTCGGTCTGTGAACACATTGTTCTTTAGCTAACGTGTGTATATTTGTGTGTAGATAGTGCTTCACTGCAATGAGGATCTCCCTCCATCTATCGTGGCTCCTCTGTTTGAGCCGGAGTGTATCCTCTTCCTCAGCGAGGAGGCCACGGCGGAGGAGGACCATCTGTGGCAGTCGCTGGGAGACGCCTGGAACATCCCCAGGTACAACTCACTCACTCACTCACTCACTGACTCACTCACTCACTCACTGACTCACTCACTCACTGACTCACTCACTCACTGACTCACTCACTCACTCACTCACTGACTCACTCACTCACTGACTCACTCACTCACTGACTCACTCACTCACTGACTCACTCACTCACTGACTCACTGACTCACTCACTCACTCACTGACTCACTCACTCACTCACTCACTCACTCACTGACTCACTCACTCACTCACTCACTCACTCACTGACTCACTCACTCACTCACTGACTCACTCACTGACTCACTCACTGACTCACTCACTGACTCACTCACTGACTCACTCACTGACTCACTGACTCACTCACTCACTCACTGACTCACTCACTCACTCACTCACTGACTCACTCACTGACTCACTCACTGACTCACTCACTCACTCACTGACTCACTCACTCACTCACACTCACTGACTCACTCAATGACTCACTCACTCACTGACTCACTCACTCACTCACTCACTGACTCACTCACTCACACTCACTGACACTGACTCATTCACTGACTCACTGACTCAGTCACTAACTGACTCACTCACTCACTGACTCACTCACTCACTGACTCACTCACTCACTGACTCACTCACTCACTCACTGACTCACTGACTCACTCACTGACTCACTCACTGACTCACTCACTGACTTACTCACTCACTCAATGACTCACTCACTCACTGACTCACTCACTCACTCACACTCACTGACTCACTCACTGACACACACACACACACACACACTCACTCACTCACTCACTCACTCACTGACTCACTCACTCTCTCACTCACTCACTCACTGACTCACTCACTCACTCACTGACTCACTCACTGACTCACTCACTGACTCACTCACTGACTCACTCACTGACTCACTGACTCACTCACTCACTCACTGACTCACTCACTCACTCACTCACTGACTCACTCACTGACTCACTCACTGACTCACTCACTCACTGACTCACTCACTCACTCACACTCACTGACTCACTCAATGACTCACTCACTCACTGACTCACTCACTCACTCACTCACTGACTCACTCACTCACACTCACTGACACTGACTCATTCACTGACTTACTGACTCAGTCACTAACTGACTCACTGACTCACTGACTCACTCACTCACTGACTCACTCACTCACTGACTCACTCACTCACTCACTGACTCACTGACTCACTCACTGACTCACTCACTGACTCACTCACTGACTTACTCACTCACTCAATGACTCACTCACTCACTGACTCACTCACTCACTCACACTCACTGACTCACTCACTGACACACACACACACACACACACTCACTCACTCACTCACTCACTCACTTACTCACTCACTAACTGACTCACTGACTCACTCACTCACTGACTCACTCACTCACTGACTCACTCACTCACTGACTCACTCACTCACTCACTGACTCACTCACTCACTCACTGACTCACTCACTCACTCGACTCGGCAGAGGCTGGTCTCTTCACATCATGTTTCTGTGTGTCTGATGAAGCACCAAGTGGCCGGAGGATGATGAGGATATCCCCACGTTCACGCCGGTGTTCGATGACGGCTGGGAGCCGCCGGCCGTTAAAAACCCAGAGCCGACCAACACACACTCCAGCGGCCGAGAACAACCGCGGCAATCCACGACACGACAAACGGTACACACAAACACTGAGCACTTAAAGGGACAGGTCACCCAAAAATGAAAATTAGCCCATTACTTCACTATCAGAGACGCATCGACCACTTTAATCATGGATGGATGCGCTTTGATGGAGCTTGGAAGAGGACATTTTTTAACAGAACTCTGATTGTGTTTGCTGAAAGAAGAGTGTCATACACACATAGGATGACTTGAGGGAGAGTCAATCATGGGCTAATTTATATTTGTTTAATTACATGAGAAACTTTTTTTAATTCAGATGCTTTATTAGTTTTTTGCTTCTGTTTCTGTGTGTAGAGCAACAAAATACAAGAGGAACCTCCGGAAAGGTACTTTCTTTCAGTATTTACTTCAGTATTTTAGTGTAGGAGATCTCCTGCTGTGCTCGAGTGTGTAACGGTGTGTGTTTCGCAGTTTAGAGGAGTTGCCGGTCAGCTACATGCGAGCGGTGTTTGATTTCGCCGCGCGTAACGCTCGCGAGCTCACCATCAGTAAAGGTGAAGAACTACAGGTGAGCGACGACAGACACAAACACTCTATTTATGAACTGATTTAGTGTCTGCAGTAGATCTAGATTGTTAAATCGCTGTATAAAATGAAGGTTACTTGACTCTGTAATGACTTGTGTGTGTGTTGTAGTTGCTGGACATGTCTAAGCAGTGGTGGAAGGTGAAGAATCAGAAAGGCCAGGTCGGTTACGTCCCCAACAACATGCTTCAGCTTCCAAAGCAGGAGGCCGAGCCTGTAAGTGTCCGTGACGCGTGTGTGTGGTCCTGTAGATCTGATTTACACACGTTCACATCGTAAACTTGACCTCCTGACCCGCAGGAAACTCCCTCGGCACCGGCGCTCACCAGAAGATCCCGTCCGGAGGAGGTCCGGGCCTGGCTGGAGCACAAGGGCTTCAGTAAAATGTGAGGAAGATGTGTTCCCAGTATATACGGTGCACTGCGTTCGCTTTTAAAATTAAATAGTGTGTGAGACTAGTATGCAAAACGTATGTTTAGTAAAAGGGACGGACCATTTTGAGAACTAAATTTGTGTGGTTCAAAGGGTTAGTTCACCCAAAAATGTAAATTCTGTCAGTATTTACTCACCCTCATGTTGTTCCAACCCCGTAAGACCGTCGTTCATCTTCGCAACACAAATTAAGATATTTAAGATATTAAGATCGCTAATGCATACTAGTCCATAGGCTTCTTCAGGGACTGGCTCTTGCTGGCCTCGAAAAGTCATTAAAGACATCGTTAAAATAGTCCAAGTGACTACAGGGGCTCAATCTTAAGTTTATCAAACGACGAGAACACTTTTGTGCGCAAAAATAACGAGTTTATTTCAACTATTGGTTTATTTCTCCCTCTGCGCGAGTCAGGTTACTAGTTTAATAGCGTAAGCTTCTGTTATTGTACGTCACACGCATCACACACATGACCAGCGTCGGCCAATAGTGAGCCTACGTGTGACGTAGCTCTACGCAATCACACTACGCTAACTGACTACAGGCCCATGGAGAAGGAAGTGAATAGTTGAAATAAAGTCGTTATTTTTGTTGTTTTTTTGCGCACAAAAGTGTTCTCGTCGTTTGATAAACTTAAGATTGAGCCCCTGTAGTCACTTGGACTATTTTAACGATGTCTTTAATGACTTTTCGAGGACAGCAAGAGCCAGTCCCTCAAGAAGCCTATGGACTGTATGCAGGAGCGATCTTAATATCTTAAATATCTTAATTTGTGTTGCGAAGATGAACGAAGGTCTTACGGGGTTGAAACAACATGAGGGTGAGTAAATACTGACAGAATTTTCATTTTTGGGTGAACTAACCCTTTAAATTGTTAAAATCTTTGGATCCGGATTAATGACCATGAGGAAATTGAGGAGCGCTAGCATGCTAGTTTATTGATCATGTTGACCTCTGTGTCAGTACGGTCCGGTGTTTAGGGGGCGTCAGCGGCTCCATGCTTCTGGGAATGACACGTGACGAGCTCAAGACTGTTTGTCCCGAGGAGGGCGGACGAGTTTTCTACCAGCTGCAGAACGTCAAATCGGCCATTGCGGTGAGGTCATCGTTACACACATGATGTCATACTGCAGTGATGTCATATTCACACAACGTCATATTCACTCTCTCCAGGTGGCCAGTGAAGTGAGACCAATGATCTGAGGCCGCAAACGTCCGGTCGACGCCCACACACACACACACACACACACACAATTCATATTTATTGGTAATCAGAGTTGAAGATCAGGAGCGTCTGATTTGTACATTATTATCACTGTTTGATGTAAAGAAGAGCCCAGAGGAGATTGAATACACACATGCTTTATTGATATGAACAAAATACTGTAATTATCTGATCAGAACTGCTGTAGACTAACATTCTCATTCACAAAATAAAGATATACATGTATATTTCTGTACGAGTACTGGTGATCATTTGCCGTCGTGCTTTGCTCTGTAGCGATCAGCATGCTAATTTCTACATATCGTGCTGGTTTCGATCTCATGATTTGTGCGATTTATTCGTGTGAAGATTAACAGTCAGTTTAACGTCCGACTAAAGCTAGCGTACACATGCCGGATCTGATACGTCAGTCGTGGAACTAGCGATGAGCTGTCAGGCGTGATGTGTATCTAGTGTACGAGGAGATTTCCCAGCGATTAGTGTACAGGAGGTTTAGGGTTAGAAAAATACTGTTGGGTTTGGCTCAACGGCGCCTCCCGCAGGACCGGAGGAGATCCGCACGGGCCGTCAGAGAAAATATATCCTTCAAAAGCAGTTTGTAGAACCAGAGGTTAAAAGACACGTTAGACGCAGTAAGTTACAATCGAAGCGAACCTTCTAAATAAAAGTAGCTAAAGTAAAAGGCACGTGAGGGAGCTGTGATGTCATCACGGCTCGTGACGGAGGTGTGACACATTATATTGATGCATAGCTGAACGTCTCTACACATGCACTGAAATGAGATCAACACTGACGGATGGGGAGTGTCACTTTGGTCCTGATGCTGTAGTGTGAATGTGGGCGGGGTCATGGCTTCTATAGTGTGCTGATTGGACAGCTGTGAGTGTGGGCGGAGTCATGGCTCATGTCTAGCATGCTGATTGGACAGGCGAGTGTGGGCGGGGTCGCGGCTTTAGCGTGCTGATTGGACAGGCGAGTGTGTGGGCGGGGTCATGGCTTCTCTACTCTGCTGATTGGACTGCTAGCGTGTGGGTGGGGTAATGGCTCGTTTCTAGTGTGCTGATTGGACAGGCGAGTGTGTGGGCGGGGCTGTGGCTCATCTCTAGTGTGCTGATTGGACAGGCGAGCGTGTGGGCGGGGCTGTGGCTCATCTCTAGTGTGCTGATTGGACAGGCGTGTGTATGGGCGGGGTCATGGCTTCTCTACTCTGCTGATTGGACTGCTAGCGTGTGGGCGGGGTAATGGCTCGTTTCTAGTGTGCTGATTGGACAGGCGAGCGTGTGGGCGGGGCTGTGGCTCATCTCTAGTGTGCTGATTGGACAGGCGTGTGTATGGGCGGGGTCATGGCTTCTCTACTCTGCTGATTGGACTGCTAGCGTGTGGGCGGGGTAATGGCTCGTTTCTAGTGTGCTGATTGGACTGCGAGCGTGTGGGCGGGGCTGTGGCTCATCTCTAGTGTGCTGATTGGACAGGCGAGTGTATGGGCGGGGTCATGGCTTCTCTAGTGTGCTGATTGAACAGGTGAGAATGTGGGTGGGGTCATGGCTCATTTCTAGTGTGCTGATTGGACAGGCGAGCGTGTGGGCGGGGCTGTGGCTCATCTCTAGCGTGCTGATTGGACAGGCGAGTGTATGGGCGGGGTCATGGCTTCTCTAGTGTCCTGATTGGACAGCTGTGATTGTGGGTGGGGTCATGGCTCATCTCTAGCTTGCTGATTGGACAGGTGGGCTTGTGGGCGGGGCTTTGGATTGGCTGGGCGTGAAGGACAGCACGTCGTCCTCCTCCTCGATGCGGTCCAGCTCCTGCGTTCGGACGGCCTGCGTGATGAGGTGAAGCTCTTCGCACAGCGTCTCGTGACGGTACGCCACACGGATGTCGGGGACGTTTGTGCGCCGAATGTCATTGCTGATCGTACCCTCTTTGTTGTAGTCGGGACCCAGCCAATAACCCTTAGCCTGAGAGAGACGGATATCATAGATGAGGACAAAATTATACTCTCACAGAAATGTTCACTCATTTTTGAAGGGAGCCTTTTATTTCCAGGTTTTCTGTGACTCTCTGTATGTGTGTGTGTGTTAGTTACCCTGTGTGAGAAGCCACTCATTAACACACTGTTTCTGGCCAGTTCACACATGTCACATGAGCTCAGTTTCCACACTTGAGCAGCGATGCTGTACTCCTCCATCAGAGGCTCCTGCAGGATTCGATATATATTACGTTACTGAACTCACGATACCATATTATTGCGATACTCCAAGACATATAGCAAAAGGTTAGCAACACGAAGTAATCTGATTACATATCTCAAGTTACTTGTAGTGACAGCAGGTGACCTGACCTTGGTGAAGTGGAACTGCAGCGGGTCGTCGGTGGACAGCGACACCATCAGGCCGCGGGACAGGTACTCGGGCAGAGGGTTACGGTGGTAACTCAGGAACAGACTGTTGTTGCTGAGCGGAGACATGGCGATGCCCACCTGAGCCAGATAGTACAGGTACTGCAGGACCGGAGCCTGCGACACACACAGGTCAATCACTACGACACACACCTTGATGATTCTCTCCTGTGTGTATGTTATAACCTCTTCAAAATACTGAAAACTAACGATTCTTAAATGAACGACTCTCATGAAGCGGTTCTTTATGGTGAATCGAACGCATACAGAGTGACTCGTGTAGTCTGATTCCTGAACAAATGACTCTTTCGGTTCACACTCTTTTCATCCACGTACCTTCCTGAGCAGAAGTCCGTGTGAGATGTTTTCTGACAGGATGAATCCAGACACCAGGTGATGAATAGGCCCCGCCTCCCCGCAGTGAGGCCGCAGCACGAAGGTGTTGAAGCCCCGCCTCCTGCTCACAGACGCAGTGAATCAGAGTGACTCGTGAAGTGATTCGGAGTGACTTGTGAAGTGATTCAGAGTGACTCCTGAGGTGATTTGCAGTGACTGGTGAAGTGATTCGGAGTGACTCGTGAGGTGAGTCGGAGTGACTGGAGAAGTGATTCGGAGTGATTTGTGAAGCGATTCGGAGTGATTTGTGAAGCGATTCGGAGTGATTTGTGAAGTGATTCGGAGTTACTGGTGAAGTGATTCAGAGTGACTCGTGAATTGATTCAGAGTGACTGGTGAAGTGATTCAGAGTGACTGTTGAAGTGATTCGGAGTCGGAGTGACTGGTGAAGTGATTCAGAGTGACTGGTGAAGTGATTCGGAGTGATTCGTGAAGTGATTCGGAGTGACTGGTGAAATGATTTGGTGTGACTTGTGAAGTGATTCGTGAAGTGATTCAGAGTGACTCGTGAAGTGATTCAGAGTGACTGTTGAAGTGATTCGGAGTCAGAGTGACTGGTGAAGTAATTCAGAGTGACTCGTGAAGTGATTTGGAGTGACTCGTGAAGTGATTTGGAGTCGGAGTGACTGGTGAAGTGATTCAGAGTGATTTGTGAAGTCATTCGGAGTGACTCGTGAAGTGATTTGGAGTCGGAGTGACTCGTGAAGTGATTCAGAGTAACTTGTGAAGTGATTCGGAGTGACTGGTGAAGTGATTCGGAGTCGGAGTGACTTGTGAAGTGATTCGCAGTGACTTGTGAAGTGATTCGGAGTGACCCGTGAAGTGATTTGGAGTCGGATTGACTGGTGAAGTGATTCGGAGTGACTCGTGGAGTGATTCGAAGTGACTGGTGAAAAGATTCGGAGTGACTGGTGAAGTGATTCGGAGTGACTGGTGAAGTGATTCGGAGTGACTGGTGGAGTGATTCGGAGTGACTTGTGAAGAGAGTCAGAGTGATTTGTGAAGTGATTCGGAGTGACAGGTGAAGTGATTCGGAGTGACTGGTGAAGTGATTTGGAGTGACTCGTGAAGTGATTCGGAGTGACTCGTGAAGTGATTTGGAGTCGGAGTGACAGGTGAAGTGATTTGGAGTGACTGGTGAAGTGATTTGGAGTGACAGGTGAAGTGATTCGGAGTGACTCGTGAAGTGATTCGGAGTCGGACTGACAGGTGAAGTGATTCGGAGTGACTGGTGAAGTGATTCGTAGTGACTGGTGAAGTGATTCGGAGTGACTGGTAAAGTGATTCGGAGTGACTGGTGAAGTGATTCAGAGTGACTGGTGAAGTGATTCAGTGTGACTGGTGAAGTGATTCGTAGTGACTGGTGAAGTGATTCGTAGTGACTGGTGAAGTGATTCGGAGTGACTGGTGAAGTGATTCGGAGTGACTGGTGAAGTGATTCGGAGTGACTGGTGAAGTGATTCGGAGTGACTGGTGAATTGATTCGGAGTGACTGGTGAAGTGATTCGGAGTGACTGGTGAAGTGATTCGGAGCGACTGGTGAAGTGATTCGGAGCGACTGGTGAAGTGATTTGGAGTGACTCGTGAAGTAATTCGGAGTGACTCGTGAAGTGATTCGGAGTCGGAGTGACTGGTGAAGTGATTCGGAGTGACTGGTGAAGTGATTCGGAGTGACTCGTGGAGTGATTCGGAGTGACTCATGAAGTGATTCGGAGTCAGAGTGACTGGTGAAGTGATTCGGAGTGACTGGTGAAGTGATTCGGAGTGACTCGTGGAGTGATTCGGAGTGACTGGTGAAGTGATTCGGAGTGACTGGTGAAGTGATTCGGAGTGACTCGTGAAGTGATTCGGAGTGACTCATGAAGTGATTCGGAGTGACTGGTGAAGTGATTCGGAGTGACTGGTGAAGTGATTCGGAGTGACTGGTGAAGTGATTCGGAGTGACTCGTGGAGTGATTCGGAGTGACTCATGAAGTGATTCGGAGTCAGAGTGACTGGTGAAGTGATTCGGAGTGACTCATGAAGTGATTCGGAGTCAGAGTGACTGGTGAAGTGATTCGGAGTGACTGGTAAATTGATTCGGAGTGACTGGTGAAGTGATTCGGAGTGACTGGTGAAGTGATTCGGAGTGACTGGTGAAGTGATTCGGAGTGACTGGTGAATTGATTCGTAGTGACTGGTGAATTGATTCGGAGTGACTGGTGAAGTGATTCGTAGTGACTGGTGAATTGATTCGTAGTGACTGGTGAATTGATTCGTAGTGACTGGTGAATTGATTCGTAGTGACTGGTGAAGTGATTCGGAGTGACTGGTGAATTGATTCTGAGTGACTGGTGAATTGATTCGGAGTGACTGGTGAATTGATTCGTAGTGACTGGTGAATTGATTCGTAGTGACTGGTGAATTGATTCGTAGTGACTGGTGAATTGATTCGTAGTGACTGGTGAAGTGATTCGGAGTGACTGGTGAATTGATTCGGAGTGACTGGTGAATTGATTCGGAGTGACTGGTGAATTGATTCGGAGTGACTGGTGAAGTGATTCGGAGTGACTGATTCGTAGTGACACTGGTGATGCGGAGTGTGTGTGTGTGTGTGTGTGTACCTGCGCAGGTTGTTGAGCACCGTCATGTTGGCGTACATGTAGTACAGATAGTACGAGTACGGCGGGTTGTTGTCGTTACACCAGCGGGCCGGTGTCGGACTGTCCAGGTTGAAGATGTGATGCTCCGGTTTAGACTCGTCATCCACGCTATCGAAGCCCACCACCTGGACACACACACACACACACACACACACACACGTGACGCTCGGCCTCGGCTGTGCCGCTGGTGTGTCGGCTGCGGGACTCACGTGTGTGAGGAACAGGTGCAGGTGCGAGTGGCTGCTGGGATTGACCGTCGCCTCAAACAGAGGCAGGAAGATGTTCTCCAGCATCTGCTGAAAGTTCATCAGCTGCTTCTTACTGCGGTACACGTCACTGCACACACACACACACACACACAGTCATGGAACAACCCAGAAAACATCAAAACAAAGCGTATGTGTGTGTGTGTGTGTGTGTGTCCTCACAACAGGCGTGGGATCTGGATCAGCCAGCGCACGTTGTCGGAGTACACGGAGTGTGTGACGGCCCACTGCGCCAGGTTGTCCCACTCGTCCATGGATCGGCCGTAGATCGACAGACGCAGCTCGGCATTCTGGTACTTGCTCTCCTCCAGGTCTGACATCACTTCCTGCACACACAGGAAGCACATTCAGAGCTACACACACACACACCTGTTTCAGCCAGTGTGTGTTTAATGGGTTTACACTGAAGAATAACTACGGCTGCCAACGATAAAAATACTGAGATTAAATGAAATACACGTTTAATTTGCTACATTTATTTCAATTAACGTTTTAAAGAATGTTTTTTCTACATTTATTTATTTCAAAATGTAGTTTTAGGAAAGGAATCAAAAGTATATCTAAAAAGAAAGGGTGCGTAAACACTCTTAATAAATAATAAATGTAATGTGTAATTTGTCGTTAAGCAGAATTGCGCCGCGGGACTGTGTGTGTGTGTGTGTGTGTGTGTGTGTCACCTTGACGATGTGGGCGAAGTACTTCCCCTGGATGTGGTTGTCTGTTTTGATGAAGATCTCTCTGAGAATGGATTCTCCGATCGGATTGTATTTGGAGTTGAACTTGTCGAAGCGATGGAACGTGTTTCTGTCCTGAGGAGGAAAGTTACGCTTTTATTATTATCACTTCCTGTCGTCACTGTAAACCTGCGTTGAAAAGATCTTCGTCACACATATAGTTCGTATTCTAGACCATTATCTCATATCTCGCTCTTGATAGTCTATTTATACTTTTATTTCATCTCTTTGACCGAAAACAATCTTTGTCCTTCAGCTAAAATGAAACGATCCCAAACCGCCAGTAGGTGGCGACAAACCACGGCCTCACCGAGTGAATCATTCACTCAAACGATTCGTTCAAAGCGGCTGATTCATTCAGGGACAAAGCCGAAGTGAGTGAGTGAATCGGTGAGTCATTCATTAGAAAGATTCGTTCAGTGCGGAAACTGTATCGTCTTACGGCGTGCATGTCGAGTGTGTCGACGCTGAGGTCGTACGCCGTCAGGTTCATGTTCTCGAACACCTCCATCAGGGTCTGTCCTCGACCGCCCTCCACGCGCACGATCTCGTCCGGGGATTTCTTCATGGCGCGCTTGATGAAGCGCAGGAGATGCTTCTGGTTCATGCAGGACGAGGCGTGGATGTGTGTGTCCACCTGACGGACGCAAGAGTCACGACAACAACCGTTTACGCAAACGGGTTTTATAATGTATATACACACACACACACATATATATATATATGAAGAGTTCAGATGCAAAAGCCTCTAAGTGCCATTTGAAATTTTCTTCTTTAATGATGATTTTTATCAAACTTGTATATTTAAGTTCAGTAATTTCACTTAAATAACAATTAATAGGTAATTATCATTGAAATCACTGAACTTAAATATACAAGCTTGATAAAAATGATCATTCTAGAAGAAAATTTCAAATGGCATTTAGAGGCTTTTGCATCTGAACTCTTCATATATATATATATATACACACACACTTATATATATATATATATATATATATACACACACATTTGTAATATATTTCTCTCAAAATATATTTGTAATTATTTTATTATACAGTAAAACTTTTCATTCTGATAATTATTTCTATATTAGTCATTTAATGTGTATTAATTATCTTATATTCTAATATTCTATATATTTTAATATTTAAATTACGTGCATTATTTTATATATTATATATATATATATATATTTACATACCGTATATAGTTATTCATGTATTTTTCCCTTTAAAATGTTGATTTATTAATAATTATATTACATTACATTTTCTATATATTTCAATATTCTGATATATTATGTTCTTATATCAAATTAAAATATGTGTATAATTATATCATTAATTATATTTGTTATAAATATATATTTTTAAAACTTTTTACTTTAATAATTAATTATAATATTAGTAATTTAATTAGTATTTTATTACCTTAAAATATTTAAATATTATATTTAAATATATTTAAATCTAATATTCTAGAATCTATAATAATCTATAATTCTAATTCTATTTGAATTAATAATTCTAATTCTATAAATCTAGAATCTATAATTATAGAATCTATGCCAATCTATTCATCCACATGTTTATAGTCTATGAACTATTTCTCAGTTGATTATTAATGATTTATCTCCGTTGATTTTAGTTCTACTTCTGTAAAGTTAAATTCGACATGCAGTGCTGTGTTCTCAAACTCAGTGTGTGTGTGTGTGTGTGTGTGTGTGTGTGACCTTGCGTATGTTGTAGAAGTCTCGGTGTGGCACTTGCTTCTGCGAGGCGAGCTCCTTCATCTCGTTCAGAAGGACGTGCATCTGAAACTTGGAGCTCAGATACTGTAACCGCCGGTAACAGAACGACTTCCTGTGGAAACACGACCCGTCAGACACGCACACACACGTACAGCGAGCCCAGTGCATGCTGGGTAACCGTCACTCACACGGGGCCGTTGATGATGAGCGCCATCATGACGTTCATGTCGGCGATGTATTCCTGCAGGTCTGGATACGGCAGGTCCAGTTCTGTGCTCCTACACACACACACACACACACACACACACACCGAAACACTTTTGTTATAAGTCGACACAAATGAGAAGAGGAGGAACTCTCCTTAAGCCCAGTTCACACTACATGATTTACGCCGATTCGCAAATCGTTGAGCTCGCGGGGGATTAGCGGCGATATAGTATGAAAGCGCCAACAACGCATCAAAGACGTTCGCAGACGCCTCGCCAAGCCCAGAACAATTTCTAGCATGCTAGATATCCAGAGCTGTGGCACGACTCAATCTCAATGATGTCATCAGCTACAGCCAATCAGAGCAAGGCATGGGTTGAGGTCACCGGGTAAATCTTATTTTTTTGTTTTTTTCTCCGAGCAAACAGTTCGCAGCACTAGTTTCTATCTGACGTCCATATTCGCGTGTTGTGTTCTTCGTCGTCTTCGCCGGGTATTGGCGTACGCGCTGTTTCGCGTCATTTCGCGATTTTTCGTGACAAAACGTGGTTTGTTGACAAGATAGAATCGTTGTTGTGCGTCGCCTCCTGTTGCGGGTCAAATGCGTTGAACACTCATGTAGTGTGAACCGCACAGTTCAGCCCGACGTTTTAAAATCACGTAGTGTGAACAAGGCGTAAGCGAACCGCTAGCTCTCGGGAGCCGCCCTGGTGGCGAGTTCCTGGAATTACCCGCTGTGTTCAGTGGGCTGTTCCCCGAAACTCACTTGTCCGTGGGGTTTTGCGCGGTGTAGACGTGAATGAGCCCGTCCACCATAGCACAGGTGTATCCGGCGTCCGGCGGCAGGTTCTTCATGTGTCGCCCGTCGTACGGGTGTGTTTCCGACACCGGCATGTGAACGCGCATGTCTGAGACACACACACACGTCAGCGCTGGGTTGAGTCGTGGTGGTAATTGGATTAAGAGAATCAACACACATAATATCTCTGTACCCCATATTTCATATTTCATAGCTTTATTTGCTCATCTGTTATTATATTATGAACTTGGGCAATATACAGTATATTTATATATAAATATTTATCTGTCATGACTCATGTGTTTGTATTTATGTAAATGTGTATAGTATGGAATGGTACATAGTTAGAAGGGCATTCGCAATTTCGTTTTATTTTAAACGCATTCTATTCTATATTTGCGCGCGTGACCCACCTGAGTCGACGGGACTCCCGCGAAGGTCCTCGAAGACGCCGATGTCCAGCGGTCTCTGGTTGAGCTCCTGCAGGGATCGAGTCGTGGTCTTACAGAAGCTCTGCAGAGACAGAGCGATGTACTTCTCTCTGATGAACAGGGCCTTCACCACACACTTCGCTGCGTCCACCAGATCCGTGAACGGCACCTGGACACACCCGCGGAGATCACAGTAACACATCACATCTGCACACACACACATCACCAGATCCGTGAACACACCAGAAATCAGTGTGGATCACTGGGAATCGGGTTATTTGTGAACTAAACAAGAATTTAAAACCTTAGAGAAAACTTGGAGAATTTAATGTCTTGAGATAACAAATTTAAGAACAAACCTTACAGAAAACTTAGAGAATTGAATATCTTAAAATAATAGAATTTAATATCTTGAGATAATAGAATTTAAGAACAAACCTTTGTGAAAACTTTGAGAATTTAATACCTTAAAATAGTAGAATTTAATGTCTTGAGATAATAGAATTTAAGAACAAAACTTTGCGAAAACTTAGAGAATTGAATATCTTAAAATAATAGAATTTAATATCTTGAGATAATAGAATTTAAGAACAAACCTTTGTGAAAACTTAGAGAATTGAATATCTTAAAATAATAGAATTTAATATCTTGAGATAATAGAATTTAAGAACAAACCTTTGCGAAAACTTAGAGAATTGAATATCTTAAAATAATAGAATTTAATATCTTGAGATAATAGAATTTAAGAACAAACCTTTGTGAAAACTTAGAGAATTGAATATCTTAAAATAATAGAATTTAATATCTTGAGATAATAGAATTTAAGAACAAACCTTTGCGAAAACTTAGAGAATTGAATATCTTAAAATAATAGAATTTAATATCTTGAGATAATAGAATTTAAGAACAAACCTTTGTGAAAACTTAGAGAATTTAATATCTTAAAATAATAGAATTTAATGTCTTGAGATAATAGAATTTAAGAACAAACCTTTGCGAAAACTTAGAGAATTTAATATCTTAAAATAATAGAATTTAATGTCTTGAGATAATAGAATTTAAGAACAAACCTTTGCGCAAACTTAGAGAATTTAATATCTTCAAATAATAGAATTTAATGTCTTGAGATAATAGAATTTAAGAACAAACCTTTGCGAAAACTTAGAGAATTGAATATCTTTAAATAATAGAATTTAATGTCTTGAGATAATAGAATACAAACCTTACAGTATTTATATTTACCTTACAAACCTTAAAATAATAGAATTTAATGTCTTGAGATAATAGAATTTAAGAACAAACCTTTGCGAAAACTTAGATAATTTAATATCTTTGAGATAATAGAATTGATCTTCTTGAGATTATAAATTTAAGAACAAACCTTAGAGAAAACTTGGAGAATTTAATATTTTGAGATAATATAATTTTAATATCTTTGAGATAATAGAATTTATTCACTTGAAATAACAAGTTTAAGAACAAACGTAAGAGAAAATTTAGAGAATTTAATATCTTGAGATAAAAATAGCATTTAGATGGTTTATAACACATGATTGTTTATTTTATTAAATACTTTCCATATTAGGTAAACGTGATATTGCATCATCAATTTGCTTATCCATGCATTTATAAATCGGTTGTTTTGATTAATATTGTTTTATAATATTGTAATGTCAATTTTTAATTGGCTTTTCTTTTATATTTTCAGTTTTCCCTTGAACTTACGTTTTATGTGCTTTTTTCAATTTTATTTAATTCGATTTTTTAGCTTTAATTTGTTTTTATTGTAGTTTGTCGTTTTACTACTTCAACTATTTATTTATTATATTACAAATTATTGTATTATTTAATTATTTTATTATATTATTTCAGTTGGTTGCCATGGCAACATTACTAATTATCGGTTTTGAAGTTTTTCATTTGATGTTTATATTTTATTTCAGCTTTATACTTATTTATATATAGTTTTAGTTGCCATCAAAACTGGTTTTAAATATAAATTTAACAGACTTTTTAATCCATTTATTCACATGTTGATAAGTGATTTAATTATAATTGAGGATCACAACAATCGGGAATACAGTAATCATTATATTTCTCCTGTTTTCCAGTAAAATATCTAAACGTCCATAAAACAAGATTAATTAGAAAACAAAACTTTAACATCTTTACCAAAACATTTGGCAAATGTTTGTCACTTGTTTTAATCTTAAATATCTCTCAATTTAAATAATCCACAAAAACCAAATACATGTAAAACATTCAATGATTTCAATAGAATACTTTTATACTAATATTAATATTACATGTATTATAACACACCATTGCATTTTCAAGTTAATTTTGATTTGTTTTGATCAGTGTTTTGAAGTGTGTGTGTGTGTGTGTGTTTCTGTGGCTCACCCCACACTTCTCCTCTCCAGAGATGGACACGCGCTGGAACTCTTTCTCCACGAACGTCTCGCGCTCCATGTGATGCTGGTCGACCGCGTCCTCATGACTGTCCTGCATATACCTGTGGATGAACACACACCTTGAGGACGCGCACACACACACACAGACGGACGGACGGAAAGCAGAGACTCACTCCAGGTCGGCTGCGCTGTCTATTTTCATGAAGTCTTGTTTGGCTCGCAGCAGAATCTCTGGCTCAAGCCTTGGAGGACGTGAGGCGAAGCAGCAGATTTGAGTGAGTAACACACACACACACACGAGAAGAGAGTATAAATCACTGTGACTGATGCTGATTGATTTCTGTTCATTTAAACTGCAGCAGAGGGAATCTGGAACTCTCCATCCGAGCAGAAAGTGTGTGTGTGTGTGTGTGTGTGTGTAAGCGACACCAACCCAAACACACCCACACAAAGCGCTGAATCGCAGCCAGCGGTGTGTTTGTGAACGCCGCGGTGTTTTGGGAAGCAGAGAGCAACACTGAGCAGCTGCAGCGATTAGAAGCGCTCACACACTCCAGACGCTCTTCACTGTGAGTACAAGACGAGTTTCCCACGATTCACACGATTCACACATCAGCGACTCTTCTGAACTGAATCTTTACGAGCGTTGAGTTATCCGTTCGCATCGCATTCAGTGGCTGTACATTTTCTTTACTTAATTAAGTACTCAATTTTAATGGATACATTTAAATAGTTTATTAGTAACAATACATCATTAATAATATTATTAATGCATATTTATTATTATGCATTTATGTATTATTGTTCAAATTTTATATTTTTATCTAATGTATTTTACTGTATTATTGGATTTTATTAATTTGTAATTTTAAACTTCATAATAATAATATGACAGAATTTTAACTATTATTCTGTGTAATATCTAATATAATTAAATACTAATATCATTAATATTGAATTATATTTTTAATATAATATTTATAACAAATAATAAGTCATATTTGTTAAGGCTAATGATAATTAATTTATTCCTAATTTTATAATTTATTTATTTTATAAATAAAGTTTCTTAATATTTGTCTCACACATACATATATATATTTTTATATAAAACAAAATATCATAAAAATGCAATTTTAATTTTTCCGTATGTTTTCATACAGTGTGACCCATCATTGGTGTATTAATGCTAGTGATAAATCACAAAAATCATAAATCACACCATTAAACATCCGATATATTCAGATTAGCTGACACTCACTGTCAGTGCGTGTGGAAAATGAGTTAGTAAACCAGGTTAGGACACAGTGTGTGTGCGTACGTGTGTGTGTGTGTGTGTGTGTGTGCGTGACTGTGTGTCCCCACAACAGACGTGGGATCTGGATAACAGCTAGCGGACGTTATCAGAGAGGACAGTGTGTGTGTGTGCGTGAGAGAGAGTGTGTGTGCGTGAGTGTGTGCCAGCATAGTACGTTATCAGAGAGGACAGTGTGTGTGTGTGTGTGTGTGTGTGTGTTTTACTTGACATCCTGACTGATCTGTCGCTCCAGACGGTGGCGTTTCTCCTCCAGTTGTTCAATGGGACTCTCTTCGGGAAACTCGTACGGAGCACAACGCATGTCACTGTCCGTCATACTCCTCGCCAGCAGCTCCTGCAACACACACACACACACACACACACACTCACATATTACACACAAATGTTACATACACACGTTACACACACTCTTATTACACACACACACACACGTGTTCCACACACCTCTGCGATCTCCTTGTATTTGCCGTCCATGGATGTGCGCAGGTCGATGGGCAGGTGTTTGTGTGTGACCGGAGTGCCGGGCAGAGAGCGCTGGGAGATCAGAGGCCTCTGCTCAGCAGAACCACACAGATCTGCAGAGAACACACACACACACACGCACTCATTACAGCGCTAGCAACACTCATCACCAGTACTGCTGCTGTTCACGATTTACACCCGCTGGACCACAAACCCCTCCAGACGAGGGACCCGACGGTCACCGACACTTTACACTCAGCAACATACTAGCAGTCACCTGGAGATCCCTTGCAACCAGCCACAACTCCCTAGCAACCACATAGAAACCAGTCACAACTGCATAACAACCAGCCAGAACTCCTAGCAACCACATAGAAACCAGCCACAACTCCCTAGCAACTGCATAACAACCAGCCAGAACTTCCTAGCAACCACATAGAAACCAGTCACAACTCCCTAGCAACTGCATAACAACCAGCCAGAACTCCTAGCAACCACATAGAAACCAGCCACAACTCCCTAGCAACTGCATAACAACCAGCCAGAACTCCTAGCAACCACATAGAAACCAGCTACAACTCCTAGCAACTGTATAACAACCAGCCACAACTTCCTAGCAACCGCATAGAAACCAGTCACAACTCCCTAGCAACTGCATAACAACCAGCCAGAACTCCTAGCAACCACATAGAAACCAGCCACAACTCCCTAGCAACTGCAAAACAACTAGCCACAACTTCCTAGCAACCACATAGAAACCAGTCACAACTCCCTAGCAACTGCAAAACAACTAGCCACAACTTCCTAGCAACCACATAGAAACCAGTCACAACTCCCTAGCAACTGCATAACAACCAGCCAGAACTTCCTAGCAACCACATAGAAACCAGTCACAACTCCCTAGCAACTGCATAACAACCAGCCAGAACTTCCTAGCAACCACATAGAAACCAGTCACAACTCCCTAGCAACTGCATAACAACCAGCCAGAACTCCTAGCAACCACATAGAACCCAGACACAACTCCCTAGCAACTGCATAATAACCAGCCACAACTCATAGCAACCACATAGAAACCAGTCACAACTCCCTAGCAACTGCATAACAACCAGCCACAAGTTCCTAGCAACCACATAGAAACCAGTCACGACTCCCTAGCAACTGCATAACAACAACCAGCCAGAACTCCTAGCAACCATATAGAAACCAGTCACAACTCCCTAGCAACTGCATAACAACCAGCCAGAACTCCTAGCAACCACATAGAAACCAGTCACGACTCCCTAGCAACTGCATAACAACAACCAGCCAGAACTCCTAGCAACCATATAGAAACCAGTCACAACTCCCTAGCAACTGCATAACAACCAGCCAGAACTCCTTGCAACCACATAGAAACCAGCCATAACTCCCTAGCAACCTCATGACAACCAGCCAGAACTCCTAGCAACCCCATCGAAACCAGACACAACTCCCTAGCAACTGCATAACAACCAGCCACAACTTCCTAGCAACTGCATAACAACCAGCCACAACTTCCTAGCAACCACATAGCAACAAGGCACATCACACAAGCAATGCCCTTTTAAACACTCAGCAACATATTAGCAGTCACCAAGAGATCCCTAGCAACCAGCCACAACTTCCTAGCAACCGCATAGAAACCAGCCACAACTCCTTAGCAACCACATAGCAATGTCCTTGCAAACACTCAGGAACATACTAGCAATCACCTAGAAATGCCAAGCAACCACATAGCAACCAGTCACAACACCATAGCAATTGCCCTAGTTATTACTTAGCAACATCCTAGTAATCACTAAGAATACCATAGCAACCATCCACAACACCGTAACAACTGCATAGCAATCAACCACAACACTACAGCAATTGCACTAGTAACCACTTAGCAGCTTCCTAGCAATCATTAAGAACACCCTAGCAACTGCATAGCAACCAGCTACAACACTTAGGAATATCCTAGAAATTACTTTGAACATCCCTCGCAACCACATAGCGATCAGCCACAACACCCTAGCAATTGCCCTAGTAACCACTTAGCAACCACTTTGCCCTAGTAACCACTTAGCAGCAAAATCCTAGCAATCACTTGGAACACCCTAGCAACTGCATAACAACCATCCACAATACCATAGCAACTGCATAGCAACCATCCACAACACCCTAGCAACTGCATAGCAACCAGCCACAACATCATAGCAATTGCCATTGTAACTACTTAGCAACATCGTAGCAACCACAAAACAACCATCCACAATACCCTATCAACTGCATGGCAACTAACCACAACACCATATCAATTGCCCTAGAAACCACTAAGCGACATCCTAGTAATCACATAGAACACCCTAGCAACTGCATAGCAACCACTCTCAACACCCTTGTTACCTCTTAACAATAACTTAGAACACTCTAGCAACTGCATAGTAACCAACCACAATGCCCTAGAAATTGCCACTTAGCAACATCCTAGCACCCGCTTAGCAACCATTCACAACACCCTAGCAACTGCATAACAACCAGCCACAACTGGTTGTTATAAATTTCCCCCCTGGGGATTTAAAGTAAAGTAAAGTAAAATAAAATAGTAAATAAATAAACACCATAGCAATTTCCCTAGCAATCACTTACAACACCCAGCAACCGCGTAGCAACCACGGGCTAGTGTACACCAAAACACTTATTTAAGTACAACACAATTGACTTATTGTGATTGAGTAGAAATACACCATCTAACTCATCAGGTTAACGACAGAACAGCAGTGTGGCGCAGGACTCGGGCTGTGGTGCGTCTGCAGACGACACAACTTCATCATCAGTGTCACAAACACACGCTTCACACACACACACACTCAGTGACGTGCACTAGGTGGCACAGAAACACTCATCCTCTCACGTTTCCTTCATGTACTTCGAGATCGAGATAGATTCGCATTGAAACACAGGTGTAATACGAACCTGAACTTTCCTGTCCCAGTTCGACTCTCGTCATGTGACTTTACCGTGATCATGTGACATTTCATTTAAACCTCTCGGTCCAGTGAAATTAAATGTCTCACACACACACACACACGTCCCATCAACATCCGGGACGCAGTACCTGATCTCTGCTGGGATGCTCCGGGTAGAAGCACTTCCTGTGTGTCAGTGTGTGTGTGTGTGTGTGTGTTTCTCTCGCTGCAGCTGATTCTCTGTGTGTGTGTGTCGAGACGATTGGCTCGTACCACGTTGCAGATGGAGGCGGGGGGGTCAGTGGTGGGACGCACCACTGTGTGTTTAAACACAAACCACCCCTGCGTTTACAGAGTTATTCTGGGAAGACCAGCAGGAACAGACCTCTCTCTGTGAGTGTGTGTGTGTGTGTGTGTGTGTGTGTGTGTGTGGCTGCGTCAGCACTGCAACACTAGCGTACTGTGCAGTACATACACTGTAGTGTGTACTATGTGAAACTGACCTCAGTAATGAGCGTTTCAAAAGTAGTGTAGTCACGTGTACGGAATAGTCAGATAAGAAGGAAAATCATGCTTTGGTAAATCATAATTATGACATCAGTCGAAATTCTGACGATACTTAATCATAATTACGAGATGAAAAGTCAATCATCACATATTTATGCGATTAAAAGTCACAATTCTGAGATGCTAACACCCCTTTCAGACAGAATGCATAATGCGCGGCACTGGCCGCTGGGTTCAGCGTAGCCCGTCAGATACAAAGCAGTTTGCGCAACGCTGGCTAGAGAAAAGTGGGCGGAGTTGTCAACAATTAGCGGGAATATATACTGTACGTCTAGTCATTTGATTGTTGTTCCACCTTTCGGTCAGCAGCAAGAAATGTATCGGTCCCATTCTAAGAAGCTAGCGATAGCATCTAACATGCCAACTTGATCTGAGATGTCTCTAAGACAGCTTTTCTTCTGATGTCCCTATACGACCGCGTAATTGTATTATAGCAACGGAAATTCCGATACACACTCGCTGTTCATCCATTTTGCTTTCTGCGCTTGTTTGGATGCCCCGTTTATATATGCCGCTCAGGTAATCATCACAGAGCGTAGCGGAGAAAGTTGAAATATTTTAACTTTGACCGCTGCTCGCGCACTTTGGTCGACGCAACAACAAACCGTCCTCGCGCGGCACAAGCTGTTGAAATAAATGCGTCCTGCCTGGAAGGGCCATTAGTCATAATTATGAGATTAAAAAGTAAAAATCGACATCAATCGAAATTGCCAAAACGTTTAAATTATGACGTCATATTTATGAGTTGACAAAATTGACAATCTCATGATTCCGAGAAAAATTTTAATTTACTTAGTTGTGATATTTAAAGGTCAAAATTCTTACGTACTAACTTAAGTCGTAGTTATGAAAGTAAAAAGTAAAAATCGACATCAATCGAAAAAAGTTCAAATTATGAAATGCTAGCTCATAATTACTAAATCAAAAAGCCAAAATTTAATTGAAATTGAAATACTAAGTCATACGGTTAAAGAGTCAAAATTGACGTTGAATGTTTATGCGGAGTCACTATAAGGTTACAAGAGAAATCATAGCACTCAATGTGGCATCTGTAGCTCCGCCTCTCAGTCGAACGAGCCAATCGCGTGCCAGAAGACATATTCGCTGAACCAGCCTAAACAATATCGTTTTATTTGTGTGATTTAAACTTATGATGGTTGCCATTGTTGGCAGAATATAGTCCTGATTTTAATTTTATTTAAACGTACCGTGACTTTTTTTTTTCTAGAAATTTAGAAACGTATTCGCTGAAGTAACAAGCGAATACGTTTTTAGATTTCTAGACAGAAACGTCTTGACTCATATAAAAGTGTATCATTTTCTGAAAACTGTGTTCGTATCTTGGTGTTTTTAGCCAAATATTTTTGTCTGCGTTCAAATAGACGGAGGCAGCTGCACTTGTCGATAAATAGCGGCTTGAGGGCGTTTCCAAGATGGCCGCCGAGCGAACGGACTTGCGTTACAAGGGTTTCATTCAGCAGGTTTCAAGCTTTATGCTTTTTTTTTGCAGAATTGTGTATGAAAACATTTTTCTTCTAATTTCTGAACAACCAATCACTAACATTTTTCAGATAAGCCCCACCCCTGAATGACACTTAAAAACAGAATTTTTTTTTATATTTCACAGTCTTTTACTGTGTAGCTGTATAGTTATTGAGCAGAATAAAGTGTGAGACGAACTTATACACACACACACACACACACACAGACAGACTGGACTTGTGTTTTTTGTCTGTAACCAAGTGTCTAGACTGAGGTTTAAAGACTCACACACACGTGTGTTCATTTTTAGAAGCTGTGACTGGATTGGCTAAACACAAACACACACATTGTGCCACTAATGAGAGCTTGTGTTTGTTTTGTGTGTTAGATAATCGTAAAGGCATGAAAACTGCAGGAGACACAGTTGTGAAGCGTCAAGGTTAAGTGTGTGTGTGTGTGTGTGATACGGATTGATCTCTATGATTAACTGTCCTGTAAACACTAGTTTGTTTATTATTTTATATAGTTTCCTCACTGTTTACTATTACACACACACATACATATTTTAATATTTATTTAACCATATTAATATTTATTATATTAACAGATTTTGACTTGACTTGAAAAAGACAAAATTATGACGTAACTCGAAATTATGACATACTAAATCCTAATTTTGAGATAAAAAAAAAATTGAGAAAACTGGAAAAATATGATGTAACTCGAGATTAACGAACTGAATCGTAATTGAGATTAAAACATTGAAATTGAATCATACATTATGAGGTTAAAAATGATAACAATTGAAATTGAAAATAATTGATTTAACACACTAAGTCATAATAGATGAGAAATTGAAATTGAGATAATAATTCCTAATTATGAAAATAAAATTGTGACTTAAGTTATATCTATAAGATTAAAAGAACGAAATTTAGACTAAAATTGACATACTAAGTCAGAATTGTGACTTTTTAATGTCATACTTATGACAAAAACTTATGACAAAGTCAAAATTTACATACTAAATCAATTTGACAGTTGAAATTGAAATGACAAATTAAAATCATAACATAAGTCCTATTTATGATATTTATATAAAAAATTGTAATAATGAGAATAATTCAGAAATTCTAAATCCTGACATTAAAACTTCGAAATTATAAAATACTAAAATTGTTTTACTAACAATTTTGACTTTTAATGTCTTAATGTTGAAATTGTGGAATATAAAGTAAATCATGACATTTTAAATAAAAAGTCGAAAATGACAGAATTATCACATAAATCAGATTTTAGTTGACTTTGACGAGTAGAATTTTAAATTCTTTTGTTGTTACTTTTTGACAGATTAAGTAAATAATTGGACTACAACAGTAAAAATATAATATGCATTATAAATATTATTTATATTATTTATGATATTATTATAATGTGTTGTTTTACAGTTATATTATTGTTGTTGTTATTATTATATTATTGTGTTTTTATGATATTTATTTGATTACTTTCTTTACACAAAGTTGCTTTGTGATCTAAATTTTTGCAAATTGCAATATTTTCATCTTTGTTTTGGACCGATAACTGTTAAAATATTAAAAAATATTATGTTTTTAGTTATTTTTATTGTTTAGTTTAGACATATTTCCTATTATTTTCTTTCTGTTAAATCTTTCGCTGAGACTTTTCTCGTTTCACACGAACCCAAAGGTTTAAACCCATTACGAGCGTCACAAAGTGTCCGTGTGTGTGTGTCGTGTTTTCTGAGGCAGGACACACACACACGCTCTTGTGTAATTCATGAGCTCTCGCATCACACGCCTGGACGAACATTTCCCAGAATCCCACCTTCTCGCACTCCACATTCGTCATAATATATTGATGCATTCAGGGACGAAACAAACAAAACTGCCTGAAAGTTTCATGATTAGAAACCAGTGATGAGAAAACACACTTAAGATTATTATAAAAATAAAATTATTGAAATATTTATTGTCATATTGTTTACAGGTTCAGTTTAAAGCACACAGAATCCGTCTCTCCACCCATCTATCTCTCTACCCGTCTGTCTCTCTATCCATCTGTCTCTCTACCCGTCTGTCTCTCTACCTGTCTATCTCTCTACCTGTCTATCTCTCTACCCATCTGTCTCTCTATCCATCTATCTCTCTACCCATCTGTCTCTCTGCCTGTCTATCTCTCCACCTGTCTATCTCTCTGCTGCAGTGAGACTCACCCGGGCTGGTCCGGCTGTGTAAACTGCCTCTCTTGACAGCTTTGCTTTTGCTTTTGCTCTGCGGTGGAGCTGCGCTGGAGTCCGACATGCTGCCGCCTGCACCGGACAGATGAAGAGAGAGAGAGAGAGCGCGAGAGAGAGAGAGAGAGAGAGAGAGAGAGAGAGAGAGAGAGGGAGAGGGGCGCACGGAGACTCTCTTATCAGAGCAGGAAGATACGCACAGAGGGCGGGGCTTGGGGATCTCTTAGCGCAGTAGAGGAGGCGGAGCCACTCCCTTCCTACATCAGCTGAGGGGAGGGGCTTAGGATTCCCCTACAACACTATGATCTGTTGCTGCGGCAACCATGCAGCAAGAATTGCATCACGGAGAGAGTGTGCATGGCAGCGTACTATTTCTGCAGTATGCAGACTGCGTGCAGTACGTATTACAAAATAAACTGCGCAGATGGTCTACTTGTAATTTTGACAGCAGAGCACACGGTGTGGGATGTTTCCCACAATGCATTCGATCTAACTTTATCATAGCATACTACTTCATACATTTTTAATAATAGTATGTAGTATGCATTGTTTAGCATGTTTCCTCTATTCGATCAAACTGACAAAGATTGTTTATCATAGCATACTACTTCATAATGTTTCACATACTTTGTAAATAATAGTATGTAGTATGCATTGTTCAACGTATTTACTTATTATTCGATTAAACTGACGATTTTATCATAGCATATTTCATTCTACTGTATAAACTTCTTAAAATAAGTATGTGGTACGCGTTATGTTCAACACATTTACTCATTCGATGAACGGACAAAGATTTTGTTTACCATAGCAAACGACTTCATATACTTTTTAAATAATAGTATGTAGTATGCATTGTTCAACATATTCTCGTTATTTGATCAAACTGACAATTTTATCATAGCATACTTCATACTACTTAAAACATATACTTAGTACATTATATAGTACATACTATTATTTATGTTCAACACATGCTCATTCGATCAAACTGACGATTTTATTATAGCATACTTCATACTGTTGTATATACTTATTAAATAATAGTATGTAGTATGCATTGTTCACGCATTTAAGTTACTCATTATTCGATCAAACTGACAAAAGATTTTGTAATAACATACTACTTCATACTAACATATACTAGTTTGAAATATAGTATGTAGTATGTATCATTCAGCACATTTACTCATTATAGTTGCTCAAATTGATAAAATGTTTTATCATAGCATATTATTTTATATACTGTTTTTAAATAATAATATCCATTATGTTCAGCATACTGTACTTTCACACAGACTGACCACACAGACCATCTATATGTTCCTAAGTATATAAGCTAGTGTGCAAAAACATTAAAGTCAGTAGTTATAACGTTAGTTCAGTGAAAGAGGAAGTTGTTAATCATATACAATAAGGACTTTAAACTCGTTTACACTGAGAACGTTGACCTGGTTAAACATTGACCAAATAAAAAGAGTTTCAGAATTTAGTTTGAAAAAAACAAAACAAAACGTATTATTATTACGAGACTTGAAACCAACAATAGTGGCACAATAATAAAAACGCCAAATAGCAGATTCAGAGCAGTGCTGTGTGAAGGTCCGTGTATTACTGTATCTGCAGTATGATTATTATTTTGTGTTATTGGATGAATTGTGTGCGTGTATGCAGAATTATCTGTTATAAAGTGCTACGAATGTTGTTGTGTGATAGAGAGCGTTATTCTGGACTCACTCGACATGTCTATAGATTCTGGTCCGGTTTGATCCCACCGCAGCTTCTGATGAAAATATGAAAATTAATAATAATTATGAAAGATATTTTCGGTGTTTAATATTAGCTGAACTGCGTAAGTTCTTCCTTGCATCTAGATTCCAGAGTCTTCCTCCAATCTTTATTTGTTGATTCGGACCGTTTGAGTTTTTCAGGAACTTTGATAAAATTTCGCTGAGAAATGGAGTCGCACTTAAAGGGGCCGCAACACATTTATGGGCAGGACCCGGTCAAGACCAGATCAAGGGTACTGTACATCGGAGTTATGTTAGATTAAATTAATAAATCGATAATTAACTTGTAAATTCAGATTCCAGGATGTGTTTAATAAGTTGTCCCTGGTTTTATGCAGAACCAGCAAGAGACACTGTTCAGTTCAAATAGTTTATTGAACTTGTCCATGATTGTAATTCAGCATTTCAAAAAAGGCAGAATAATATATATATATATATATATATATATATATATATATTAACTCAACATGACTAGAAGACGCTAGGGAAACAAACAAAATAAATGTTATATAACATATAACATACATACATACATACATACATACATATATATATATGTATATATATACATATATATATATATAAATGTATGTATGTATATACATAATATGTATACATACATACATTATATATACATAACATATGTATACATACATACATACATATATATATATATATATATATATATATATATATATATACACATATATATGTATGTAAGAATTTTTATTTTTTTATCTTTTTTTTCCCCAGGGTGAACTTTTCCAGCTTTTGCTATTGTAAATTAATTAAACTACTGACCGTTGGAAGAATGGTCACTGGCACCTCAGATAAACTGTTAAGCAGGTCTCCCGGAAACGCCCTATGCTCAGGCGGTGTTTTATTATCTTATCAAGTTTCTCAGAATGAGAATATTTATCAATATTCCTCAAACGCTCCATCTGCACGATAACTCCAGTCCAGTGGGTGGCGGAAATGCTCGTTCACAGTGTTTAGTCTTCCGCCATGAAAGGGCAGAAGAAGAAGATGACGGAGCGCTGAGTGAGGAAAACATTGACGTCTTTGTGTAAGTTTTATTATCTGTGAATTTGAACTCATATTTTTTAATGGTTGAATTTTGAAAGCAATCTCAATGGGAATTTAAATGAGCCTATTATAGTTCAGAATGGTGTTTTTTTCTTTTCTTTTTTTCTTTATAAGAAATAACAGTTAAGTTAAGATCGTTTTACTACAAAATATATTTTATCAGGAGGGCATCGCCATCAACCCAGATCAGATAGCTAATACAGAATAATATGATGTTTATTATAGCATCACTCATGAAAAATGACTTGAATCGTTACAATTCTGAATATTTCAGCTTTATTATTGTTCTGTATCAGGGGTTGGTAAATCATACACTAGTGTTGAAGTGTTCTTGTAAATACAGTAGTTGCTGGTTTCACCTTATGATGTCTTCCGATCTCACTCGAAGCTCATTTCAGTGGTGTCAACACACTGAACCAAACTAGATATGGGATCTAAACTAGTATGAAATAAAAGATATCAATCTTAACAGCTTTTATACAGCATTCATTTTATTAGTCTGTGATGAACTGTTTTGTGCGGTTTTCCGGACAGGGTTTAGATTAAGACAGGAGTAGCCTTAATCTAGAATAGTTAATCGATTTGTGTCTTAAAAATGTCTTTCTGGAACACAGATTAAGTTAAAGATTAAGAAAATTTAAAAATTTTATATATAAAAAAGCAATATTTGAATAGTATTGATTTATTTTTTATATTCGTATTATATTCGAATTTCGGAATTCGTTCCAACAGGCCTAATATATATATATATATATATATATATATGTGTGTGTGTGTGTGTGTGTGTGTGTATTTGTTTGAATGTATTATTTTTTCTATTTAAATATATAAATAAATTAAAAAATATATGAATTAATTGTATTATTATTATTTTATTATTATTATTTTAATCTACTTCAATTTATTTAATGGATTTATAACCGACTTCTACTTTTAATAAAAAAAAATGATTAATTGATTAATTTTATTGTAATGTATGTATTTACTTATTTTAATCTTATTTACTTTTTTTGTTACAGATTTTCTCCTTTTCCACGGACTCCCCCGCAAGATATTGACATGCTCGAGTTAACGTTTAGCACATATATTTACTCAAATTTGCTTTATTTTCCCATGCCAATTTAAAGACGTCTATCATGTTAATTTCAGGTGCTAATGGAAGCGAAAGAGGAACCGAACGAGGTGGAGGAGAAGAAACCTCTTCATCATCATCATCATCATCATCCCATCACTGTAGGAGAAAAGCCTCCGTCTCCCTCGCCGCCGGAAACGTCTTTTTCAGGAAACGTCAAAAAGTCCTTCTCATGCCCGCAGTGCGGAAAGAGTTTCGCGCGTAAAGCGAGACTGGAGCGGCACATCAGGATTCACACCGGAGAGAAACCCTTCGCGTGCGCCGAGTGCGCCAAGAGCTTCGCGTGTAAAGCCCGACTCGCCAGGCACGCCAAAACCCACACCGGAGAGAAGCCGTTCACGTGCGAGTGGTGCGGGAAGAGTTTGGCGTGCAGGACGAGGCTAAAGAGACACATGAAAACACACACCGGAGAAAAGCCTCACGCGTGCCCTCAGTGCGCTAAGAGCTTCGCGTGCAACGCTAACCTACAGAGGCACATCAAACTGCACACCGGAGAGAGACCGCACGCGTGCCCGGAGTGCGGGAAGAGCTTCATACGAAACGAGAAGCTCAGGAGTCACATGACCATCCACACCGGAGAGCGCCCGTACGCGTGCGACCAGTGCGAGAAGCGCTTCCGGCACATCAACGGCCTCAAAGATCACCAGCTCTCTCACTCCGCCGTGAAGTCGTTTAACTGCGAGCAGTGCGGGAAAGAGTTCATCACCGCGTCCGCGCTCAAGAGACACACCAAAGTGCACTCGGGAGAGAAGCCGTACCTGTGCGCTCTGTGCGGGAAGAGTTTCGCGCGGGTGGATTGCTTTAAAAGGCACCAGGAAGTGCACAGCGGCGTGAAGGATCACGTGTGCTTCGAGTGCGGGAAGGCGTTCGTGACGGCCGACCAGCTCAAGCAACACCAGAGGATTCACGCCGGAGAGAAACCGCACAAGTGCGCGCTCTGCGGGAAGAGTTTCGCACGCGTACCGCAGCTGATCGCGCACGAGAACACACACCGCGAGAAGCCGCACCACTGCGCTCTGTGCGGGAAGAGTTTCAAGCAAGCGCGGCATCTACTCGTTCATGTGAAAAAGCATCATCCGATCGAAACGCTGATCGTGGAGTGAGGCTTTCCTATGTCATTTCTTATCGTGTCACACTTGTGTAATTATGTTTGCGAAAATGTGTGTAGGCGTATATTGTAAGGAAGCTCGTTTTCGCCACGGAATAAAACAATTTAGAAGATAATTGAATCTCACAATTCAGAATTTATTTAAATCTCAGAATTGCGAAATATAAACTGAGTGGGGGTTCAATCTAAAGGCCAATTTATACTTCTGCGTAGGGTGCGCGCGGTAGCATACACACAGACGCGTCCCATACCGCGTACCCTTCGCCGTCGCCTGACGCGCACCTCTTCAAAAATGTAACTACACGTCGCGACGATGCGGACCGCAAGATCGGTGATTGGTAGCGTCGCATTTCCGCATGTACCTTCTCACGCATTTCCACCACTGTCTATGATTTCCACACGTACCTTCTCCTCCGACGTCTTTTTTCATTTCTGCCTTTCAGTTTTAGTAATTTCACTAAAATTAACTGTTTTTCCACCTCAATAAGCTCCAACTCCAACATGATCAGCTCTCTTTCAGTCGCCGTTGCTTGTAGTAACCTAGCCGCGAGGAATCTAAACACAGTGTAACATTAAAACCCTCCGCCGCCAACTAGCGTTTCGGAGCAGTACTGCAGAGCAACCAAGACCTGAACGCAGAAGTATAAATGCTCACAACAGCGTCGCCAACGCTGTACACTATTGCGTACCCTCGACGCAGAAGTATAAATTGGCCTTTAGGAGCCGCCACCGACATCATGTCCAACCCGATCTCACGACCAAGTCGTACGAATTCGACGAATTATTAAAAAGTGTCTAATTCATAACAATTCATACGACCTCACTCGTACGAATTAATACGATTTTGCTAAATCGTACATATTTTACGAATTGGCCAATTCGTATGAATTCGTACGAATGAACTACCCCTTACCCCGCCCCTAAACCTAACCATCACGTGGGTTTAGACAAATCGTACGAATTAGTACGAGTGAGGTCGTACGAATTAGACACTTTTTAATCATGCGTCGAATTCGTACGAATTGGTCGTGAGATAGTGTTGTCATGGCACGTGACCCGTCAGTGGCGGCAGGGCAGTCTGCCTCGGCAGGTTTCAGAAACCATTTATTTTTGGCATGTTTCGGGGCCGGTTATCCCATAACGCGTTTTTCTTTTTATGAATGTAATCTCATGCATTTTATTATTTTATTATTTTTGTATGATTGTCGTTTTAGAGAATTTTATCCCAATTAAAGCAGGCAAATCAGGGATCAGTGTTCAGGGCAATTTGACTGCTTTAATTGGGATAACCGGCCCCAAAACATCAATCATACACAAGAACATAATCATATCAACAGATGTATATTACATGAGCTAGAGGGGGAGGAACACAAAACACAAAAAGTGCCAGAAATAAATGGTTTCTGAAACTAGCCAAGGCAGACTGCCAGCCAGCCACTGACGGGTCACATGACATGCCAGCTGAAGATTGTACCCCTACTGTTGCATTGCGAAATCGCAATTCTGACTTTTTCTCGCAATTGCGAGTTTATATATCGCAACTCTAGACATTTCTCAGAATTGTGAGATAAAAAGTCGCAATACCTTTTTTATTGTTTATTGAGTGGCAGAAATAAGCCTCCATAATCTTGTGCTGCTGATTATGAATGAAAAAGTATCTTTATTTAAATCAAATCAAATGGTTTCAACATTGCATCTCAGTGCTGTAGTGAATAAACTATTCTATCAGCAGATCGTGCTCATCTTCATTCAAGTATCTAACGGGAATGTTAATCAGATTTTGAATTACAAAAACAAAACATATACAGATAATTGTTTTGTATATGTCGTGTCACCTAGTGGCGAATCATCAATTTCGTCGTTCCGCTAGCAAACAAAAATATAAGGTGTTCAATTTTAAGAACATTGGCAAGAAAATATGGCTAATAATCAATATTATTAATATCGCTAAGGACACGATTATGTGTCTATATAATCTAAACGAGCCCCAAACCATTATTTTGCTACAAAAATTAAATGTAAATTTCATCACTTTTAAAAATAATCTGGCAATAGCAACTCGAGTTCCATAAAAGTTATTTTTCCATACATGTCCATTATACATATCCTGCAGTTCACACTTCCGTCCAGTAGGTGGTAGAGATGCACCATACACTCTATAGAAAGAAAAGGTTCTATATAGAACCTTAAAAGGTTCTATCAGCGCTCTGTATTTGGAACCCCTAAAAGGTTCTATACACTCTTAAAAAAAGGTTCCTCTGGGTTTTATATAGAACCCTGGGGTTCCATTCTTGGCCAATAGAACCTTTTACCAAAAAAAAAAAAAAAAAATGGTTCTATATATTCTATTTGGAGTTCCAAATATGAAGCGGGGGATGGAACCTTTTCTGGTTCTAAATAGAACCATTTCTTCTAAGAGTGTAGGTGTTTCTCAACAGCCATTATATGTAGAAAAACACGATCTGGAAGAGCTGTAAAAGATAAGTGTATTTTTTTTTAATGATTTGTTGGTGCCAGATACGAGATCAGTGAGAACATGAGAGATCCAGAACACTGCAGAATAAAACACGCTGAAGAACAAAGAGGTTGGTGGTGCTTATTCCTGATTCTTCATTAATGAGACTGTAGTTGTTCATTGACTGTTGATAACGTTTCACAAAAAAGCAAGACACTTAACCCCTAGTTGCTCCAGAGGCGTGCGACCTCTGACATATAGCAATTGTAAGTCGCTTTGGATGAAAGCGTCGGCTAAAATGAATAAATGTGTGGACAGCGTTTCACACATGTCCGCAGTCCAAAATAGCATGTTCACACTCTGCAGAGCGGATGTTTAACTGCGAAAAGTGTGATCAAGCGTTTCTGTCGTCGTCCATGCTGAAGAGACGCCGGCAGGAGAAGGCCTACTTCTGTTCTCTGTCCGGGAAGAGTTTAGCAGGACTGGATGGCTAAAAGGAGCATCAAAAAATACACACCCGAGTGAGAACTCAATGTGTGCTTTGAGTGCGGATGTAGCCTAACATTTCATTTGTACAGAGATTCTGGCCTCGCTCCATTGACAAGCGTTTGTTGAAGTGATATGACAACTCTTAACGCACGGCATCAACGCCATCGTTCTCAGCCACTCCCTCTGTCCGCTGATTGGACCGGTAAAAAATGCACTGGAGAAAACCAAAGAATACACCACAATCCCAGATAGTACCGGAGGAAATTGAAAATTGAGCGGAAGTACGTAGGAGGGCGGAGTCGGGCTACTTTATATCGACCTCACATCTGAAAACAAACGAGAGGATCCACACTGGAGAGAAACCTTACAAGTGTTCACACTGCGACAAGAGATTCAGTCGCTCAGGACATCTGAAAGGAGAAACCGTGTCACTGCACTGCACGTGGGAAGAGTTTCAGCCAATCAAATCAACTGCCGAGTCACAGGAAAAAGCATCACCCGATGTTGTGGCCGTGATGAGTCATAGTATTAGTGAAACTTGAGGTTTTGGAGGCTTTTACAGTGAGTCTGTGTGTGTGTGTGTGAGAGAGAAAGAGAGGCAGTGTGTGTGTGTGTATGTGTGTAAAATGGACTTTTATTTTGACAAGAGAGCACCTTGGAGGTGGAAGGCCTTCTTTAAAAGATACAGTATGCCCGTTAGGTGATCCTGTTTGAACCAGACAGATTTTTGTTGTTTAAACCAGACCAGAGGAGTTTTTAAGCCCTCTCCTTCGAATCGTTTATTGATTAATTACCCATCAAGGTTTAAGACTTGGTATTTTTGCTATTTCGTCATGGTTGGAGGATTATTTCCGTTATTCCTGGACATTTTGATTTATTTTTTGGGCTCAAGGACTCCTAGAATTCAAACATAAGGACGATACTTCTCACGCATGGACTATTTGATCGACGACTCTCGGATAAATGTTAATTTTTCTGATTTGACTATTGAGTTATCAATATTAGTTGGTTCATTCATTCATTATGTTGGTTCTACTACATAATTAATCATTTATATTTCTCCTATTTAAAAGACCTAATATTTTTACATCCATATGGACTTATGTTTATTTGTGTTAAAAACTCAAATATTGAACTGCATTTTTCTCCACTCTCCAGTCCAGTAGGGGGCTAGAATGCGCCGTGAGTTGGTTTGTCACATAACCCAAAAGTAAAAGGAAAATGAGGCTATGACCGATAACTTGTGTCTGGGCTGTGATTTTGTTTTAATTATTTTTTCAATCGACTGAATTGGTGAGTAAAAGATCCCTAAATCCCAAGATTTATCAGTGTTTGTTCCCTTCCTATTATTTGTGGAGCCTTTGCCCTGAAATACTTGCATATAGTTTTGTGTTATTGTTATAAATTTTAATATTGGTCGTTTTCGCGCTCTTTAGCCTGTGGCGCGACAGATCGAAAATGTTCTCAGTTCAAACGGCGGCGCGCGTTAACGGATCATCCACTTCATTCTGTGGTACGAAATATTGATTGATCGTTCAAATACATTCAGATGCGTTTTATATCGTGGGTTACTGAATAAGAACGTTGTTTATTCATGATTTTTCATCAGACTGAAGAAAATTAATAAAGCTTCAAGCAGTTCTTATAATATTTCGTTGTTTTAGTTGTAATATCAAAATAGCTGTGAGGAAAAACACTAAATAATATTGTAGAAGACACTTTCTATGACTGTACACACACAGCAAATCCAAAACTGAGGTATCTCCCAATTTCTGGAAGCTTATGATTTCATAGGAATTAACATTTATTCATTCACTGCATATGTGATCAGGTGATATTGTTTCAGAACAGAAAACAGGTTTGTCTTCAGTTCAGCACAGTTTGCCCTGCAATCTGCAATATTAATAATTACTACATGTTTGGTCTCTTAAAAAAGAACATTTGACAGCTTGGTTTGGGATACACAAACAGTAAAATTAGTCATTTTTATATGGTAAAATGTAAATATTCTGGCTGTTTATTAAATTTAACGATTGGTCATCCATAGTAGAGTACATTTAGAATTGGATCATGATAAAACGCGTGTATAGAACCTCAAAACCATGGTAAATTGTAATGTTTCTATGGCATTAGTATAAAAAAAACAGTAGCCTTAATACAATTAGTATAAATGCACAAAATCTTATTTAGTACAAAAATATTGTAATTACTACTTCTTTAATAAATGTATTACATGACTACATTAATAATATAATAAAATTCCATATGATATGAATATCCCACATTTCTGTTGTAAATATAATGAAATCATCATAATCTTATATAGCAGTTGAACAAATCTCTTGAACTGTCTTTATTGAGAGCTTTTGTGTTTCTTTAATTTCAGACCTGATTGATGAAAATGATCAACTGAATGAAGTGGAGGAGAAAAATCATCATCATCATGTCAAAACCGGAGAAAGAACCGTTTTCAAGAAGACTTTCAGCTGCACTCAGTGTGGAAAGAGTTTAACCACCAAACACATCCTGGAGGTCCACATGAGGATCCACACCGGAGAGAAGCCGTTCTCATGCAGTCAGTGCGGGAAGAGATTCACGTTCAAGCAAAATCTCCGTGTCCACATGAGAGTTCACACCGGAGAGAAGCTCTTCACGTGTGACTATTGTGGAAAGACCTTCAAGTATGAGGGAAACCTTAAGGACCACACGAGGATCCACACCGGAGAGAGACCGTATGCATGCGCTCACTGCGGAAAGAGTTTCGCTGACAGAAAAACCTTTAAGATCCACTCGAGGATCCACACCGGAGAGCGGCCGTTCGCGTGCCCTCAGTGTGAAAAGAGTTTCACGCAGGCGAAATATCTTAAATCACATCTGCGTTCTCACTCTGGAGAGAGACTGTTCGGCTGCGATCAGTGCGGAAAATCTTTCTTTACGTCATTATCCCTGAAGAAACACCTGAAGGTCCATTTACAGGAGAAGCCTCACTCGTGTTCTTCGTGTGGAAAGAGTTTCACAGAGCTCGGTTCTTTAATAGTCCACCAGAAAAGACACGGCGGCTTGAAGAACCACATATGCAGCGAGTGCGGCAAGTCCTTCATCACAAATAGCGAACTAAACGTGCACCAGAATACGCACACCGGAGCGAAAGCGTTCAAGTGTTCACACTGCGACAAGAGATTCAACCAATCAGGAAACCTGAAAACTCACGAGAGGATCCACACCGGAGAGAAACCGTTCACATGTGATCAGTGTGGGAAGAGTTTCAGTCAGTTCGCTTCTCTGCTCCGGCATGGAAACACTATTATCTGTAATAAGATGTAGGGTACAACGCACCGGGGGAAAATTAAGGCTTCTCTAATTGACCCTTCACAAGGAGTTTGATTGACTGGTGATTTGACCAATCATAATCCGCCATTTCGTCTTGCGGTGATGACGTCACCACTTTCGCCGAGTCTTTTGAGGTAAACCGTTCACACTTTAGATCACTATACAATTTACACTGTTTACGCAACATTTCACGTAGGGCTGGGCGATATATCGAATATGTACGATGTATCGTAATATTTTTTTTAACGATATGGAATGAGGCAATACCGTTTATATCGATACAGTAGTTTGATATGAGCACATCTGAAAAATAGCGGAGGTTGCAGTGTGAGCTGCTGCAGTGAAAGTAGCTAGGCTACGTAGTACAATTTGTCCTAAACATGACACAAGCTTATATTAATTGCGTCAAAATCACTTTGATATAGTTAACAAGTTTAAGGTAGCTTGCCGCCCTGTCAAATGCTCTGACAGACACTGTTGCTGACTGACAGATATACTTGCGCTGTTTAATGCGTTTGAGATGTGGTGCTTTCCTCAGTGCTCAACTTACATTTCACATATTCTCCATCTGTAAATGTTAGAAAGTAAAGCAAATATGTCCATTTCACAACAAATATGTCCATGTCAGAAGAGGACGAGCTTCTGGAAGTGAATCTCCGCTAAAATTCATGCTTCCTTGAACGAGCGCCGGCGCGCGCATGCGCGTGAATAGTACTACGTAGTACGCAATAATTCTGACTAAAATAAACATATTGCTAAAATATTTGTTGTTGGAGAAAATAAATGTGCCCTATGTGGAATTTTAAACCTACAAGTATATATTTTTAATGAAAGTGATTATAATGGGGTAATCAAATGCAGGCTAATATAATTAGTTTGTGCTTTTGTTTTTGTTTTTGTTTTTATTTTCATTTTTAGTTTAGCTTTTAGTCAATATAAAAACAAAAGCTTTTTGCACATAATATATTGCATAGCCTATATTATATTTGTTTCCATATCCTTCAATATCAACATTGTTAGGATATCATTGGGCCAAATGTGAATATATATATATATATATATATATATATATATTTAAATATAAAGATTTTCTTTATCTAAATAGAAAACGTAGAAAGTACCGAGATATATATCGTATATCGCCATTTGACCAAAAAATATCGAGATATGATTTTTTGGCCATATCGCCCAGCCCTAATTTCACGTGGGCTTTTCAGAAAAAGACAATAAATTCAAAAAGAACATCAATCTTCTAAGATTCTGCACACATAAGCTCACTAAACTCTTACCCGTTATTTTACTTGCAGGCGTTAAAACCACATCCTTCCCCTCGCCTCACAATGGCCTCTGAGAAGCGCTATTCCCTCTATGCTTAACGGTCACAGTTTTAACATCTGCTTAGCCCCCTGACAACTGTGCAAGAAGAACAAAGGGAAACGTAACACTTTAGTTAGTAGAGCAAACCTGCATTACGTTTCCAATAATGCAAGTTGACATTTACGTTGACTCTTTATCATGAGCCTTCTTACAATGTGCAACAATCGTTTATTCAACCGTTTTGGTTTTCGTAATTTTTCCACTCCGCCAGATCAGTAGTAGTAGTAACCCTTTATTGTCCCGTGTTTACACGGGAACGCTCGCGGGTAAAAACGTAAATATATTTTCGTTTACACGACGGCGTTTTTGGGGCTTAAAACGCAAAACAGTGAAACCACCCTCCAGAGTGGAAATCTTTAAAACGCTCCACCGCCACGTTCCCGTGTAAACGGTAAAAACGCAAAAGTCTGCTTGACGGCGAAGGTTGTACGCAGGCGTGCGGACTTGGTGTTGTTGTGTGGCAGTGCTCAACATCGCCACCTAGCCGCCTGGAGTGCATACTACATCAAATTTCACACACTTTTGCGTCACCATATGCACACGGATTTCACACCCAAAACCATTCAGAGACGTCCTGTTGCATTCTACATGTTGTCACTTCTTTTATAATATTGATATATTTTTTTTCTCCTTAACCTCTTACTGTTCCTATTGGCTAAGCATAATAATAAAAAAAAATAACAAAACACTCTTATGTGTCAAGCCATCCAAACCGAACCGAACCGCAAACCGTGGCTAAAAAACGAGACCGTGGGCTATCTGTATTGTTGCATCCCTTGTGCCTCTAATGAATAAAAAAATAATGTCCCCTTTCATGAAAAATTTCAGGGGCATACTGAATCAAAATAAACATAATCTTGTATAACAGTTGTTTGAACACAACTCAATGCTTTCTGCTATTACATCTGGGTTGCATATATAATTTGTTCACTATATAATTCTTTTATTGAGCACTTTTTTAACTTTAATTTCAGGGCCGTTGGATGGGGAGAATGAAGTGGAGAAACATCAAAGAAGATCTCAGAAATCTTTCACTTGCACTCAGTGTGGGAAGAGTTTCACATACAAACAGAGTCTCAATGTTCACATGAGGATCACAAATAATCTGATCAGATATTCCTGCCGTGTGTGGTGTGTTAAGATTGCTCTCGTCTGCTCGGAAGGACGCCGGCAAAATCAACACATCACACACAAACCGATTTGACTCCCGACGAGCACACCCAGGTCAGGAAAAATTTCGGAAGGGAATGATTCAGATTTCTCATGCAACAGCCACTAGAAGACAGGCGGGTTGCTCACGTCACGTCTACGAGTCGGTTTGAGTCTGCGCGTCAGGAACGGAAGTCCTAAAAAATCGCTAAAAACGGGCTTCACTTGTCTCAGTTGAGTTCCAATGAGATGGCTCTGTCCACTTCTTATACTCTCTATAGGCTAGACGGACAGAAGCGCGCAGCCAATGCCTGGTAAGGCCCCTCCCCCTTACCTAGGGGCATATACTGTATGCAAGCGCTGCTCTTCTCTAGTTGACCTTGACAATGATTTAAGTGGTGCAAGTATGCCTATAAAAACATTAGGTAACGTTATGCTAGAACAAAACTCCATGCTATTGCTACTGTAGATGTGCTAGTTTTCTGGGTTAACAAAATGTAAAACTTCTTTGCATCATGTTTAGTGTAATGTCATTTTGCATTTCTTGGATGTCTGATCTGTCTCGTGTATGGTTGGATAAGTTACAGAAATCTCTAAATAAATGTATATGAACTTGAGTGTAAGTAGTTTTCCATATGTTGATGTATCCCATTTTAGACACAGAAATAGAAAGAACATCATTTATTATCATTAGAAATGTCTTTTCTGTCACTTTTGATCAATTTAATTCATTCGAATAAAAGGATTGATTGATTTATTTCTTTGTCCATCAAAAAATAAATAACATTTCTTACTGACTCCATTTTGAATGGTAGTGATTTAAAGTTTTCTTTTTATTTTTTTTATTATAACATAATATAACCGGTTATATTTTTAAACTTTTAACGTAATTATAACTGTTTTCTTTATAAAAGTTGAATAAGGCCACTGGGAATCTGGCATCACATACTGCAATTTTTTTTTTTTACAGGAATCTTGTAATGATTAAGGAATTTTAAGAGGTGTTCATTATTCTAAAATAACTGTTTGACCAAAAACAATATTATTTGACCAGTTTCTTTAAAATAAAGATTTGTTTTTAAACGCATATATTTGTTGTTCCAAATCACAGTGTTGTGTGGAGAAAAGTTATGATCTTCTGATGATCTATCGTTATTTCGTCTCGCGGTGATGACGTCACCACTTTCCCCTTCGCGCGCTTCTCGAGTCTTTTCTGAGGTAAACAGACACACGGTAAGATCTGTAACGTTACTATAGTTTAAACAGGTTTTACGGGGGCTTTTCAGAAAGGGTTTCATCGTGTGTATGTTTCTTTCCCCATTCAAAACGGTAAGATGTTAGCGAACTACTTTGTTGTTATGAAGGTATATGGTATTATCGGCTTCATGTGGACAAATTACAAGGGTTGATAATTTCATCACTGGCTGTCTTTATATTTACATTTATACTACTGTTATTTTTTTCTGTATCATTCTTTATTCTATATATTCTTGTTGAATGAGTGTTGATCATCATTATCAGAGCAGCTGAAAAGCTTCTGTCAATAGATACTGTTTTCAGTGGGTGGATGGATTGTTTTTTAACTCAGTAAGTGATTCTGTGAAGCTCCTCCTCCTGCAATTCACCAACAAATGCTGGAATATTCCCATCAGCTACGAGTGAAGACGAGCGTCAAACCATCAGGAAGAGCTGAAATCTGCAAACACAGAGTTTACTGAAGGACAGTGAGAACATGAGAGGTCCAGAACACTGCAGAATGAAACACACTGAAGAACAAAGAGGTTGGTGTTAATTCACTCAAAAATGAAAATTAGCCCGTTTACTCTCCCTCAAGCCATCCTAGGTCTATGTGACATTGTTCTTACAGACGAATACTATCGGTAGTTATATAAGAAATATCCTGGATCTTCCAGTCTTTATAATTGATCTCAATGGGTTTATTTTTGCGCTGCTCACACTCAATTAAAGTGAAAGCACACTTTTGATGGACAGAATAAATATAATTTTAGACAAAAAGTTCCCAAAATGCTCAGATTTTGCATGTCGTGTGTGTTTTAACAAAAATGGCGGATTCGGCAAAGTGCGGATTATGATTGGTCAGATCGGCTGTCAATCAAACTACCTGCGAAGGGTCAATTGCAGAAAGCACTTGAGGGTAAGATTCTTACCGCATAATTTGTGGTGATGAAATGCCTATACATTATTAGGGCTGCAACGGATCCCAGTTGTTCCATGATCCGTACGGACCAGCTGCCCCACGGATGTGATTCCAGAGAAACTGCTAAATTTAACCATCATAGAGTGAAAGTTTTATCATTTCAACTTGCTTGTTTCTTGCTAAATCGGGACCACAGCCGCACGCACCCGAAGCGTGCACAGAGAGAGAGAGCCCGTTTCAGATAGTTTTCACTGTACAGGGCAGATGGCAGCATCTCGATATGCCGAACCTGTGAGGGGCATGGATTACCTCGGCAAAGGAGAAGTGCTCACTAACACAGATTAGACAGATTTTTTTTTTTTCAATATTTGAGAGGAATAAGCCTAGTATAGAAAAAGTGAGTTCAGCTCATGAAAAATGAGGGCAATTAATAAAATAAAACAAAAGTGTTACATGCTACATGACTTTAAAAATGCACTTTTTTGCTTTCATTTCAGTTGCGATGCTGAAGAATGAGGAGAGTGAAGAGGAGGAGAAATATCATGTCAAAACTTGCCCACAGACTGAGAGTTTTTCCTTAGTGAAAAGACGAGAAAATAACTTTTTTACCTGCCATCAGTGTGGAAAAAGTTTCACATTCAAAAAGAGTCTCAAAATTCACATGAACATCCACTCTGGAGAGAAACCATACGAATGTGACCAATGTGGCAGAATATTTTCGAGGGCTACAGGCCTGAAGAGCCACATGTTAGTTCATTCACAGGAGAAACCACATTCATGTTCTTTGTGTGGAAAGAGTTTTAAATACAAACAAAGTCTCGAGGTTCACATGAGGATCCACACTGGAGAGAAACCGTTCACATGTGGTCAGTGTGGGAAGAGTTTTAGACACCAAAAGAGTCTCAAAATTCACATGAGGATCCACACTGGAGAAAAACCTTTCACATGTGGCCAGTGTGGGAAGAGTTTCACACACCACAAAAATGTCAAGGTTCACATGAGGATCCACACTGGAGAGAAACCGTTCACATGTGATCAGTGTGGGAAGAGTTTTGTAGAAAAGGGAACCCTTAAGAATCACATGATCATCCACACTGGAGAGAAACCGCACGAATGTGATCAATGTGGCAAAACATTTGTGAATGCTTCAGCTCTGAAGAGACACCTGAAATATCATTCAAAGGTGAAACCACATTCATGTTCTTTGTGTGAAAAGAGTTTTTATGATCTGCCAAATTTAAAGGTTCATCAGAAAATACATACTGGTGAAAAAATACATGTGTGCTTTGAGTGTGGGAAGAGTTTTATTACAACTGCAGATTTGAAACGGCACCAGAGGATCCACACTGGAGAGAAACCGTACAAGTGTTCACACTGCGATAAGAGATTCAACCAGTCGGGACATCTGAAACAACACGAGAGGATCCACACTGGAGAGAAACCGTATCACTGCACTCCATGTGGGAAGAGTTTCACTCAAGCATTTTCTCTACACAGTCATATAAAAAACAATCACAGTAAGTAGATCATCTTCAGATCCAGCACTTTCAAGACAATATCTAAAAGTTGTGTTATCTATTTGCTTCATGGTATACATTATATCATTATGCTTTATTATGAATTTAATTTCATGGATCACTTGTAGTTTGTCACTTTTATAAGAAAGTAGTGCTAGGGAACTGATTATTCTTTTCTTCCACTTACGTTTGTGTTTAGAAAACATGTGTAAGATAGCCCAGATAGCAAACTGACATTGAATCAACGTGGAAACGACGTCTCTCATGACATTGAAACAACGTTGATTTTGCTCATCGAATTAACGTTGAACCAACGTCAGACGCGGCATTCTTCAAAGCTAAATGAAAATCGAAAATTGGTTTGCTTTCATAACGTTGAAACAACGCGTTGATTTCAAGTTGATTTTCCGTTAGTTTTGAAAGAATGACGCGTCTGACGTTGGTTCGACGTTAATTCGATGAGCAAAACAATGTCAGATCAACGTTGTTTCGATGTCATATTTCCACGTTGATTCAATGTCAGTTTCTGGGAGCTTTGCAACTGGCTTTCTTCACTTTTGTTCTCTTGAGATGCTTTGCTATCTTGTTATTAAATAAAGAGAGAAATTAATCTAATTCATTTTCAATTTTTCTCTTATTTTTTGAATAGCCAATAAATCTTTTGTATAAAATGTCTCTTTTTGTTGACTTCTGATTCTTATTACGCCAAGAATAAATCATCTCATAATTCTAAAAGCCATGAAATATAATCCTGTTTGGGGCTTTCTGTGTTTTAAATTTCTTGAAAAATGCATTTTTATTAAATAAAAAAATCTGAATACAACATAATTATTATTATATTATTATACAAATAAAATAATACAGGCATTGATGGAAGGCTCAACTCAAGAATCTTTTTTTTAATATATATATAATAAAGGAGACTTAAAACATCCTTTTCTGTTAGCCAGTCCTGTAATATTCACCAAAAGGATTTAGATAAGTTACGTTTTACATATTCAGGAAGACATTTGCAGAGATGAAAATGCACGTTTTCAAAATTAAATTTTAAATGTCATGTTGTTTGTTTTAACAATATATGTTAACTGATACTGGGTTTTTGATAATCTGCCATTGCCCTCGGCTTGCGGTGATTACGTCATAATTTCGCGCGCTCCTACGTGCACGTGAACGCTCTATGCGTGAACGTAGCCAGTAAAAGAAGAGTGTGAAGTGTCTCCTGAGGTGAGCAGTTCACGGCATTTTGTGGTAAGACCGTTAAAGCAACATTTACGGGGTTTTTCTGACTGTTTTTAATTGCTCTCCGGCGGCGTTATTTGTGTGCCTGCTAACTAAAACAATTATTTTTAAAGAAGGTTTTATGATTTGCCTGTTTCTCTTCATACAAAATCAAAATGGTAAGATGAATGCAGTTATTAGGAAATGGAACACTATGGGTCTCATTATGTCTGTCTTTGCTATTTTTCTGTATCATTTGAGAATATAATTAGCACGTTCAGGCTTTCAGCAATTCTGACTCAAACAATCTGTTTATACCAGAAAATACTAAAGTATGTTGCTGATCCTGAATGGCGTGTTTTAATGAGATTCTGATTAGGCTCATTAGCGCATCAGACAGAGCAGCTGAACTGTCTCTTAGTTAATTCGCCTCTTATTATGTAATAGATACTGTTTTTGACCTAATTCATTATGCTGGTGTTTTAAAATACGTAAATTGCCACAAAGGTTAAAGGTTTTTCTATAAAAATTTCCAAAAACCTTTTACACGTTGTGTTTTATATTTCTTTCAAACGTATTATCCTAAATGTTTCCAAGAACTTGTGAATTCAGAAAAAATCACAATTTTAAATAGTGCCCCCGTTATTTTTTTTTAATTGAACAAAGAAGCACAGAGGATACTTCAAGCACACAAAAAAAAAAAAAAAAAAAAAAAAAAACAGTACTCAAAGACAATTAAGCAAGGCTGTACATACGGGACAGTCCAATAAAAATATCCCCGTTATCCCTGGTTTCTGCTTAGCCTACAGCTAAAGTAACCATAGTGACAGACGTGGACTGTTACGTCTAGCTGCACGCTCACGGCGTTGTTGTTTCGTTCAAACATGGACCATGGCAAACAGACTTTGGGATTGAAGGATAACTAAAACGACGATTAATATCGCCGCTCTTGCACTTTATACAGGTGAGTAAATGTACATAAAATGAATCCATTAGCAGGGCTCGCAAAATCGCTAGCGTTCGGGCTATTCCAGTCGGGCTACCTAATGCTGCGTTCCAGGCAGGTTTTTGAACACGTAAATCACGACTTCAAACCACGACTTACGACTTTGTAGCATTCACGCCAAACTACCTAGATGTAAACAAACCAGCATGGCGGACCTTGGGGCTCACGCGCGTTTGTAACATTTTCTAACTACTCCTTGTTTATTTGTGGGAAACTGAGGTGGAAAAATAGGCAAGATAAGCTATACTCTTTATTTTACTTTATTTGTATATTTGGAAATGTGTTTGGCATTTATCGTTGCACTCAATGGACTGAAAACTAGTTGACGTTATTGTCCGAAAGTGTATTCTCACCGTGTACCGCATGCAGAAACACTGCATAAGTAGGGGCTGTCATTGGTTCGCGGGCTATGTGTCGTCAGAACTCGTAACTAGGAGTACATCGGTGTAGGACGAGTTCACGGGTGGGAAGTCACGAGTTTGACTGCCGTTCCAGTGCACTTTCACGGGTATAAGGTTGTAAAAACACGAGTTACAGCTAGCCTGGAACGCGGCATAAAATACTGGTTATCAAATTAAAATAAAATTCCTCAAATTTACATCTCGCAGTTCTGATTTTATATCTCGCAATTGTGACTTTATATCTCGCAATTCTGACTTTATATCACGCAATTCTGACTTTGTCACGCAATTCTGACTATATATCTCACAATTCTGACTTTATATCTCGCAATTCTGACTTTGTCACGCAATTCTGACTATATATCTCGCAATTGCGACTGTCATGCAATTCTGACTTTATATCTCGCAATTCTGAGAAAAAAGTTTGAATTGTGAGATAAAAAGTTGCAATTACGTTTTTTATTTTTCCATTAAGTGGCAGAAACAAGCTTCCATAAAATCGAGATATTTGCTTTTAAAGAAATCATTTTTTAAGGACTACAACAAACGGCTGGTAGGAACTACACAACATTCCTCAAAAGGGCATTATTCCATACTTTAAGTCTAGATCTCCAAACCAACCGCAATCTTTGTTGGGATTACCTTAATGATCTAGCAGAGATATTTAATATCAAAAGATCAGCAAGATATTTTGGAGCTAATCCTCTGTTTAGGGGCTTTTAAAAACAAAAAGCAGAATTTTCATTTTAATCAAATGTATAATAAAACGTTTAACAGCAGGCCCCCTTGCTTTCCTCTTTAAAGGGTTCGTTTTTAATGGTAATATTATGTTAGATAATTGTGGATTTGATCAAATATTTAATAAATAGATCAATATACCTCGTTCTAGGAACCGATAAAAAAAAGCAGCATATTAAAAATAATTTAATCAAGAAAAAATAGATAATTTTGTGTAGCTGTAGTCTACTTTGACTTTACATTTTTTCTCAGATTTTTTTTATCTACCAAATGTAACTTTTATAATTTGATTACAGACATAATGCTGAAGAATGAGGAAAGTGAAGAGGAGGAGAAATGTATCAAAACTGAAGAAATGTCTTTCTCACAGGCTGAGAAACATATCAAAACTGAAGAAATGTCTTTCTCTCAGGCTGAAAGTATTTCTTTATTGGGAGGAGACAAGAAATATTTCACTTGCCATGAGTGTGGAAAGAATTTTACACAAAAACAGAATCTCAATATTCACATGAAGATCCACACCGGAGAGAAACCGTTCACATGCGATCAGTGCGGGAAGAGTTTTGCACATAAAGGGAACCTTCAGACACACATGAAGATCCACACCGGAGAGAAACTGTTCACATGTGATCAATGTGGGAAGAGTTTTACACATCAAGCGAACCTTCAGACACACATGAACATCCACACCGGAGAGAAACCGTTCACATGTGATCAATGTGGAAAGAGTTTTGCACATCAAGCGAACCTTCAGAGACACAAGATCATCCACACTGGAGAGAAACCGTTCACATGTGATCAGTGTGGAAAGAGTTTCAAACACAAACATCATTTCAAGGTTCACATGAGGATCCACACTGGAGAGAAACCGTTCACATGTGATCAGTGTGGGAAGAGTTTCACACATCAAGCGAACCTTAAGGAACACATGAAAATCCACACTGGAGAGAAACTGCACGAATGTGATCAATGTGACAAAACATTTGTGAGTGCTTCAGCTCTGAAGAGACACCTCCCAGTTCATTCACAGGAGAAACCACATATATGTTCTGTGTGTGGAAAGCGGTTTTCACATCTGCAGAGTTTAAAATTTCATCAGAGAATACATACTGGTGAAGAACTAAGTATGTGCTTTGAATGTGGGAAGAGTTTTATTACAACTGCATGTTTGAAACGGCACGAGAGGATCCACACTGGAGAGAAACCTTACAAGTGTTCACACTGCGACAAGAGATTCAACCATTCAGGATATCTGAAACAACACGAGAGGATCCACACCGGAGAGAAACCGTATCACTGCACTGTGTGTGGGAAGAGTTTCAGCCAATCATCTTCTCTAAACACGCATACAAAAAACAGTCACAGTAAGTAGCTTATCTTCAGATCCAGCACTTTCAAGTCACTGAATACGTAATACGCATATGCGTGATTTCAGTTTTCTCAAATTCACATTTTTGTAGTTTACATTACGATTATGTTTCTTTCTTTTTTTAACTTTTCAAAACTGCATTGTAAGGCACCCAAAACACAGGTGTCATGCAAATGAATGGCCAAAACGCGTAAGTTTTAAATTTTAGTTTAAAACGGTGTTTAAACGGCCTCAAAATCTGGCGCAACCGCCCTGCAGAACAATTTTGTAATGTTTATAATGGGAACCATTATATTGCATTGTTTAAATAGAAACTAAAATGGTCTGGATTGAACAAAACCAGCTCAATGGCCAATCAAAAATAGCTCAAAACAAGCCCTATAATATCAAAACTCTACTATACCTAAAATATGGTCTATAATAGGAAAATTGGCTTTTGCGTAGAAAAGAATGACATGGACATCTTGGATGGGGGAATATTTGTGGGTCCTGATAATAAAATAATAAAGTAATAATAAAAAACTCCTTTATTTTGACTTAAAATATAGCGATAATTTTGTATTGTGAGTTTAGTATCGCAATTTGTATTGCATCGTGACGTTAATTTTTAGTGCAAACCATTAGAAGTTCTGTGATGGTTTCTCCTGTTTGTTTTTTCCAGCTGGGCGTCCACAGTGAGCGACAGGACAAAGAAAACCCATTTAAGTTTGTCACCGTGAATAAAGTTCATCTTCAAGACCAGTGGATTTAGTGGTGATACTCAGAACACCTCAAAAGATGTACTTGATGTTTATTATTATTTTGCTTCCTGATTTAAATTAAAAATCATTATGAGTTTCTTTTTTGTGTTCAATTTTCCTTATATTGCAGATGTACCACTTGTTATTGGTTCACACTTTTATGAAATTACTTTTAAGTTGTTCTTTGTTGGTTTTTAAAACGACTAGTTATTCTTATAGTTTAAGTTCAAAGTTTTATTCGTCGCATACCAGTTATAGATCATACAATGAGCAGTGAAATGCAAGTCTGGTAGTCCTATAAACTGGGTAATAAAAACACTCTAAATATTATTTAAAAGATGCAACCTTTTTTTAAAGTATTAAAAATAACTAGTAAAGTGCATACGTGCTGCTATGTATTAAACATCGTCATCAGACTCCTTCAAGTGCGATGTTTTTAATGTCCGAGTTGAGTAGTCTGTCGGCCTGAAGAAAGAAGCTCAACTACACGCGACGCGACACGCGATAAAAGGTATCTTTTCCATGTTAATCAGTTTTTTCCTAACCGACGCGACGGCGACACACAAAGTTTCTACTTTAGAAACGGTTCCTATTTCTGCGACGTCACGGCTGACAGAATGAAGAAATTACAATGGTTATGAGTACACATTGTTTATTTTTAGTTAAAAATGGGTCACTGTGCCACAAGCGTCGCGATAACGGATTTACCTCAGATTTTGAAAGCATAAAATACAGCGTTCAAAATGAATTATATGGAAACATACAACTGTACTTCATAACAAAATTAGTCAATGAGTATATTTTGTTAATGTTTTGATTTTTAATAATGTTATGTTATTTCTTGATTTGATTAAATTTCCAGTGCACTTTCACAGAGAGACTCCGCCCACACGCTGTTCTGAAAGGCTGGGATTTTTGATTGACGTGTGGCGTCTCACAGTCGCGTCGCGTCTAGAGGACAGGGGACACGATGTGAGCCTCTCCGTTTTAGTCATTATAGTGTAGTTAGAAAGCGCATATCTAAGATAAATAGGTTTGCAACTGGCCTTCACTTTTCTCTTGAGATGTTTAGCTATCTTGGTAGTTGAGTGAGAACGAGCGGCAGCATTTGTTTTCAGCTTGAATGCCGGGGGTAAAATTACACTAAACGCATCTAAAACGGGAAATAGCTTCGAGGTTGACTGTACAACTAGATTTGACAAGAAATCTGAGGTATATTTTTACAGACTGCCGAAAGCTACAGAACAGAATGGATCCTGCGATTCACCGAAACAACTGGATCCAGACAGCTACGTGGTTTAGCAGTTGGTATTTTGTGTCAATATGCTGATTTTAGTGTTGATTGATTTTAGTGTTGTGAGAAACACTATATCGAGTCCAATCTTTAGTTTAAACTGGTAACGAGTAAAACAAACAATTATCAGTTTGCTCTATTAAATCCAGTCTCGCAGAAGCTCTTCTTCACTCAGTCCGGCTGAGGGAGCGTGTTCCCGCGGGAAAGTGACGTCAATGCATAACCTCGGTAAAAAAAGAAATGTGTATAATTTGTTTTCATTTCTTGCATCAAGAATAAATAATTTAATCATTTCCATCACTTCTTGAAATATTATCATTGTGTTTGGGGATTTCCATGGTTTTAATTTCTAATATTAATATTTCACCTCACATATGACAGAGGGAATGAGACGTCTGTCTGCATCAGTCATTTTACCCTTATTTTTGATAGGTTGTTTTATAGTTATTTTGTGGTTTTAAACCGTACATGGCTCATTTTTGATAATCTTTTTTTGATCAAATTCTCTACTGGAAACTATTGTTCAAACATAACTGCCTCACAACTCTCCAGTTTGGATAAATGTATAGCCTATAGTTTGGCAGAAAGTTTGTATATTTCGAGGAATGGAAATCTAAAGGGATTTGGGCTATTGCCCATTTCCAATGGAAGTGTTATGTAGAGTTTTGAGAGAAATTCAGTGTCATGTGATTATATTTAATAGAATGATCAGAGCCATTCCAATTCCTTTACATTAATGGTGAAAGAAGACATTTTGTGCTCCAGAGTCTCCCCAGGACAGAGTCAGCTCTTTTTAGAAGGTTGTGGTTTTTGTGATTTTTTTTTTCACTCATTAGAAGCATTTTAATATGGTAAAAAAAAGAAAAGATTTGTCCCTTCCCTTCTAAAGCTAGGAGGTGAACTTCAATTTTTTTAATGATATTTATCCTTCCAATTAATTTTTAAGATTGAAACTTAATTTTGATGTAAATAACTGAACATTTAGAGCATGATTTCTTTTGTTATGATATGGTGTAACCCTTTTGAAGAGATGTTTAGGGAGGTTTAACTCCCACCCCTCACTGTGAAGTTCATAGGTTTGGTATTGTCTGGAAAACAAAGAATTTGATTTTGTCATAATTTTTGTTGTTGTTATGTATGTCTTGGAAAGTTTTTCAATCATAAGTGCAGATTTTTATTCTTGTGCACTTAACTATGATTAACCTAAGGTTAAACAATTGCTGTTATATTCAGAGATTTAATTATGTACCTTGTTTGTGAAAAAAAAAAAAAAAAATCTCGTCTCGTTGTGATGACGTCATCACCATCGCCCCGTACCCCGTTCAGCGTCTGTGGACTCGGGAGTCTTCTGAGGTAAACAAATCACGATATGTCGTGGTAAGACACTTAAAGCAACGTTTTAATGGTAATTTCTCAATTGTCTTCTTTGGGTTCGGCGCTTTTTGTGTGTCTGCTAACTAAAACGATTTTTTTTTTAAAGAAGAATATTTTATGATTTGCCTATAGTTTCTAATCACAAATCAATAAAATGCATAAGTGAAGCTTGTTATGAATGCAGTTATTAGCCAATCGAACTATATTTAGATTAATATAACCAAATTACAATGGTTAACGATGTGTCATTTGTATCTCTCTTTCTTTTCTTGTATCGTTTGAAAAATAATGGGAATATTAGAGCACTGTTATAGGCTTTCAGCATATATTCAGATTCAGACAAACTGTTTATTGCAGCAAATACTAATAATAAAGTGATCACTGTTATCAGAGCAGCTGAAAAGCCTCTTTATTTCATGTCAATAGATCCTGTTTTCACATCATTCATATGATGATGTCTTAAGATCTGTAAATTGCCACATTCATTTTATTGTCAACAGATTTGAACAAACGAGACCATTGTGACATCTGGAAGATATAGGTGAGTTGCATTACAACATGTATTTAATTAATGTGTGAAAAACCATGTTCCAAAAAAAAAAAACAAGTAGTAAAGTCAAAATCAACCGTTGGGTCATGTGTCTTATTTGTGTTTACATTTTTACATTGTTTATTTCTGTTAATTGTTGTACTCTTAATTTTTTTCTATATATTTGCCTACATGTTAATGAAAGGTAAGATAATTTTAGGAATAAAGTATGTGGATGAAATTTTAAGAAATCAAAATGTGAATATGTATGAAACACTTTGCAATTATTTTGTGTAAAAGTTCTTTTACTACAGATAGATTAACATTAAATCCTTAAAATGTGTGAATTAGAGTAAAAATAGTAAGTGATTTCTTCTTGATTTTGTCAGATCTGCTCTCCTCCTTCAGTGACGCTCCTCCCCCTGCAATTCACCAATACATGCTGGGATTATTGGTGTTTATTCCTGGTTCTTCATTAATGAGGTTGAAGAACAGTGAGGTTATAAAGAATTTGGAAAATCCCAAATTCTAAAATCGTAGCCATGGAAACATTTGGATTCGTGCCGAATGAGATAGGTATGTGAGCCCATAAATTTAAGCTTTGTATTCTGCTTTGCAATCCGGTCACCCAATTTTTTAAGACTTAAACAATGCTCCATTAGTTATTCCACTGAATTTCTTTTCCCAAATTCACCCATTTTTGCCATAAATGTTTCTTATTTTTATTAACCTTTAAAGGGATAGTTCACCCAAAAATGCAAATTCTGTCATTTATTACTCACACTCATGTCGTTCCAAACCCGTAAGAGTTTCGTTCATCTCCGGAACACAAATAGGTTTTATGCCGAGCGTCACGTGACCAAACCGGAGAACAGGTCTCATCGCATCCGTTTGTCAGAGAAAGTGTTAACGGCCCTAAGAACTGACTACGATATCTATGGATTTTTAAGGTAGTTCACTTTGTTATTGGCGTTTTATTCCATTTAAATATCTAAACGTTACTGTGAAGAAGAAAAAATATAAAACGTTTAAATATCAGTCTGCACATGGTAAATGGACTGCATTTATATAGCGCTTTCATAGACCTAATTCACCCATTCAGACACATTCACACACTCATTCATACACCGACGGCGGTGTCGTCGGGAGCAGCCGGGGTTAGGTGTCTTGCTCATTGGACACCTCGACACTTGGTCAGGTGGAACCGGGGATTGAACCACCAACCTTTCGGTTTGTAGACAACCTACATGAACCACTGAGCCACTGCTGCCCAAATGTGAGGGATATTGCTTATGCTAATCTTTGCTCGCTCCTTTTAAGATATCTTGAGTAAAATACTCGGCCCTCACTCGTCCCGCTCGCCACGGTAAACGTGACTCGCGCCGTTCTCCCGCGGCCCTCACTCGCTCCGCTCGCCACGGTAAACGTGACTCGCGCCGTTCTCCCGCGGCCCTCACTCGCCCCGCTCGCCACGGTAAACGTGACTCGCGCCGTTCTCCCGCGGCCCTCACTCGCCCCGCTCGCCACGGTAAACGTGACTCGCGCCGTTCTCCCGCGGCCCTCACTCGTCCCGCTCGCCACGGTAAACGTGACTCGCGCCGTTCTCCCGCGGCCCTCACTCGCTCCGCTCGCCACGGTAAACGTGACTCGCGCCGTTCTCCCGCGGCCCTCACTCGCCCCGCTCGCCACGGTAAACGTGACTCGCGCCGTTCTCCCGCGGCCCTCACTCGCCCCGCTCGCCACGGTAAACGTGACTCGCGCCGTTCTCCCGCGGCCCTCACTCGTCCCGCTCGCCACAGTAAACACAATGAATGGAGACTGTAGAATGCAAAAGCCCAATTCTGGACATTTTGGGCGATCTCGAAACACATTTTCCGGCAGACTCATCACGGAGACTCAGTAGTTGCCTAGACTTGTTGTTTATCTACTGCGCTCTGTTACCGGTAAGCGCGAAATACAATAAAGACGTGTGTTACGTCTTTAGGGACATTTATATTGTTTTCCTTCGGGGTTTTTGTTTCTCTTTTGTCTCTCTTTCGAATTCGGCACACCAGATTTTTCCTGAATTGAACCCTGAGCTCAAGATGAAGCACCAGTCACGCTCTTTTCAGTACGTGTCACAAAAAATGCACCCTTATGAGTGAGCATAAACTCATCTGCTAGAACAGCAGCGGATGCCAACGCATTAACCTTCTGTTCGTTCAAATAGACGACCACACACTCAGGTAAACAACTCTTAAACTCCTCAAGCAGAATTAATTCCCTTAAGGACTTGAAATCATCAACCTTAGTTGCACTACACCATTTATCAAAGAGGAGAGCCTTCTCTCTTGAAAATTCAACAAATGTCTGAGTCGAGCATTTCTTATGGCCTCTAAATTCCTGTCTGTATGCTTCTGGAACTAACTCGTAAGCACGTAAAATTGCTAATTTTACAGCGTCATAATTCAAACTATCCTCTAAGGACAGGGTAGAGAAAACCTCCATCGCTTTACCAACTAACCGGCATTGCAGTAACAAAGCCCAACAATCTTTTTGCCAATGAAAAGACAGCAATGCGCTCAAAGGCACTAAAGTAGGAATCTACTTCGGTCTCGCAAAAATGTGGCAGTAATGTAACATTTTTACCAACATCGAACGACTCGGTTGCTGTGGAGGGAGAAGTCGCTGGAGCAACAGTAGGAGTAGGCACCACAACTAGAGAACGGTCAACAGTGGCAGCGTAACTAACCCGAGGGGAATCTGATCGCGCACAATTCGCATTGCGTCAAGCTCCAGCTGTCGCATTCTGACCTGCGTATCCGCCTCGATCTCAAGTTTACGAACTTGTAGTTTCAAATCCATCTCAGCCTGCCGAGCCTGCACCTTCTCCTGCGACTCAAGCTGCAAACGGGCCAAACGAACTTTCAGTTTCGCTTCCCCTTTTGAGCAAACCGACGTAGGAGAGAATGGATCAAAGGGGGGTAACCCCGCCCTAGCCTCAGCCTCCGCCGTAGGCGTTAGTCCCCCCTCACTTCCACCAAACGTACCCACCTCCACACTGTCCGCAACTGCAGCAACGTAAGCACATTCATCTCTACTAATCGACTATATACCACAGACTTAATCTCTTTTTTAAGAGACTGCTTTTTGACCGAAATCTGAAAATGACTTCCTATCATTAACAAATCATCCTTCCTACAACGATCTAAATCTTCTAACGAGGGATTCTCAAGAAACTTTTCCACACTAAACATCGTTATGACGCCGAACAACCGCGCGTACGAGTTCTCACCACACACAGTGATACAAGAGACGGTACCAGGAACTGGTTGTTTGTTAATTCAGTTGGATTATGATCCCGGACGAGCCCCCATTATGTTACGACCCTTCTGTGGCTCTCACCCGTTGGTTAGTTGTTGTTGTTTTTTTTTTTTTTTTTTTTTAATCAAACATTGAGTTTGAATTGTTTTCCTTCGGGGTTTGTGTTTGAAAAAGCCAAAAACACATTTTCTGTTTTTTTTTTCAGTCTAGAAAGCTTCAAATTCAAAAATAATGACCCATTTTATATACACATTCATCTTTCCAGAAGTGAAGTATCCCTTTAAGTTTATCAAGCGACGGAGAATACTTTTTGTGCGCAAAATAACAACAAAAATAGCGACGATAGCACAGAAGCGCTGTGCAACAATCTCGAGGCCAACAGAGAAGGAAATGAATAGTTGAATAAAGTCATATTTTTGTTTGGTTTTTGCGCAGTTTAAGAAGTTTATTAGAAAAAAAATATTTCCATCTGAGAGTCTATCAGAACTGTAGCATTATTGTATAGCTTTTTAATGGTAATGTTATGTTAGGACAATTGTGGAGTTAATCATATGTAATAGTTCACTACAGAGATGTTTGTTTTAAAAGTAATTCATTGAAGATCAATATACCGTGTTCATGGAAACAGATTCATATAAAATGCATCAAATGATCATAATTTGGTTTAGCTGTTTTTTACATTTCTCTGATTTTTTAAATTGTTTTTTTTTTATCTTTCGTTTAAGATGTGATACTGGAAAATGATGAGAGTGAAGAGGAGGAACATCATGTCAAAACTGAAGAAATATCTTGCTCACAGATTGAAAGCATTTCTTTACTGAAAAGAAGAGATGAGAAATGTTTCACTTGTGATCAGTGTGGGAAGATTTTTACACAAAAACATAATCTCAAGGTTCATGAGAGGATCCACACTGGAGAGAAGCCGTTCTCATGTGATCAGTGCGGGAAAAGTTTCACATACAAACACAGTCTCGAGATTCACATGAGGATCCACACTGGAGAGAAACCATTCACATGTGATCAGTGTGGGAAGAGTTTCACACACAAACATCATTTCAAGGTTCACATGAGGATCCACACTGGAGAGAAACTGTTCACATGTGGTCAGTGTGGGAAGAGTTTCACACACAAACATCATTTCATGGTTCACGTGAGATTCCATACTGGAGAGAAACCGTTCACATGTGATTTGTGTGGGAAGAGTTTTACACACAAACATCATTTCAAGGTTCACATGAGATTCCACACGGGAGAAAAACCATTCACATGTAATCAGTGTGAGAAAAGTTTCACACACAAACATCATTTCAAGGTTCACATGAGATTCCACACTGGAGAGAAACCGTTCACATGTGATCAGTGTGGAAAGAGTTTCACATACAAAACGAGTCTCGAGATTCACACGAGGATCCACACCGGAGAGAAACCGTTCAAATGTGATCAGTGTGGGAAGAGTTTTACACATCAATGGAACCTTAAAAATCACATAAACATCCACACTGGAGAGAAACTGCACGAATGTGATCAATGTGGCAAAACATTTTTGAGGTCTTCAGCCCTGAAGAGACACCTCACAGTTCATTCACAGGAGAAACCACATTTATGTTCTTTGTGCGGGAAGAGTTTTTCACATCAGCAGAATTTAAAAGCACATCATAAAATACATACTGGTGAAGAAGAACATGTGTGCTTTGAATGTGGGAAGAGTTTTATTACAACTGCATGTTTGAAACAACACGAGAGGATCCACACTGGAGAGAAACCGTATCACTGCACTGCATGTGGGAAGAGTTACACTCAATTGTCTTCTCTACACAGACATACAAAAAACAGTCACAGTAAGTAGCTTATTTTCAGATCCAGCACTTTCAAGTCACTTTGTAAAGAAATACTGAATACGCATTCTCGAGCGCGTTATTTCAATTTTCTCAAATTCCCATTTTTGTAGTTTACATTAAGATAATATTTCTTTTTAAAATTTTTAAAAACTGCATTTTAAGGCACCAGAAACACAGGTGTCATGCAAATGAATGGCTAAAACGCATAAGTTTAAAATTTTAGTTTAAAACGGTGTTGTTTAAACGGCCTCAAAACCTGCTGAAAAAAAACCCAATACAAACCCTTTGATAGAATTTGTAATGTTTATAATGGGAATTGTATTGGTTTGAATGGAAACTAAAAAGGTCTGTGTAACAAAACCAGCCCAACGGCAAATCAAAAATAGCTCAAAACAAGCCCAGTGACCATATAATTTCAAAACTCAACAAGTGTGTTGGAGTTCTTCAGGAAGACTCTCCCAGTGCTGGTGTTCTACAGCGCGAGTGCAGCTCGTCCCCCCAAGGCCTGTGAATTCTCGTCCGTTCCGACGGGCAGAATTTACAAAGCCTTTGGGCAAGCCGCCATGGTATGCCATGGTCCTGCTACAGGTCTTTCAGGCCGAGGACCCATGGGCATGCATGAGGTTAGCCCAGACCGTGCGCTCATACAGTAGGTGAGCACCGCACTGCATCTGTCCTCGCCCTCTGGTGTACGAGTGTCGTGACGTGCACGATCGGTCTGGCGATGATGGTCCAGGAGCGCCATAATTGGCTCAGCCTGGTTGATATGGCGAATGCGGACAAGGTTTGCTTCCTGGTCTTCCCAATTTCCCAGGTTGGGCTGGTCGGCGACGAGATGGCGGACTCCGTCCAACAGTTCTCTGCTGCCCAGTTTCTCCGCCTGCTCATCGCCGAGCGCATCCCTGGCCGCTGGGACTCCGCAGCAGCCTCCAACCAGCCGCAGTAGGGATGCTCAGCTCAGTAAGGCGCTGCCAAGACAGGCGCCTGCTCAAGTTCAGTGATTTCATCACACTCACATGTTGAGCAGAAATGCTCCTGAAGCTCAGTGAATCTTCACATGAAGTGTTGAGCAGTGCTCCTGTCTTTTTATGCGCCTGTTGCTTGTGGAACGGAGGCCAGCTGGTAGTTGCTGTGCGAGTAAACCTCACTCCTCTGATCTCAATAGGCGCTCTAGCAACAGACGCTAGAGGCTGCAGTCTTTGGCCTCCTTGTTAGAGCGCCCGACTCTCATGCCGGGTCCACTCGGAGCGAGTCGAGTAGGACCCGGGTGGAGGTTGCTCCTTCTTGATAGTTGCTCCTTTTTGGCTCAACCAGACCTTGCTCCCCTCAACAGCCTTCCTGACTTCCCCTGAACATATTTTCAGGGACGGGGCATGATGACACCAACGTTCTGACCCCTGTAGATACTGGGCCTGTCCTACACTGGACGTGGAGGTTCAGGTGGCTATCACAGGAACATGTGGTAGTTACCATCACTTCTGCGAGCACCCCCTAAGGAAAGAGGTAGTGTGCTTACGCATTATAAATGGGAAAACCTATTCGTTGAGTCTAAAATCTCTCCGTGAGGAGATCCTGAAAGCTTTCAATCATTTCAGTGCTTTCGGCCATTTTCCTGCAAGTTGGGTGGAGTAGGGTGTTCCTCCACCCTCTAAATGATGTTGCCCCGCTGTCTTGACGCACATCGTCATGCACATTCTGATCGTCATGTTCCTGAGGGACTTAAGGAAAAGGTCCTTGTGCCCCTCTTGGGCCTTATTTCTGGTGCATCTGCACTGCAGAGACTGCGCCTGAGCCACTGCAGGCAGTGAGTTAAAACTTCTGTGAAAACAGTTCGCATGGTCTCTTCTAGTGGGTAGGGACTTACTCGCGTTTGGTCAAGGAATTGTGCCTGGAGTTCACGCCGGCTAACTCACAAGCTGAGACCCCGTGCTGGATTGTGCCCAAGGTTCCTACCTCTCCCATAATCGGATCAGGTCGTGAGCCTGCAAGCACTGCCCAGGAGCAGGCAGAACCAGCCCTGGCTTTCTCTGTCCGTCCGCTTCATAGTGGTTAGGCGTGTACAGAACGCTAGCCTTAGACCTCAGACCAGCTCTTATCTTTTACATTCAGCAGAGAGGGAAGGCTGTTTCCAAGCAAAGTTGGCCCTCAGATGGTGGCTGCCTTCAATTTGTTGAAATTCCCTGAAGGAGAACAGAGAATGCAGTCCCCTTGCCACTACCAATGGACCACTGATGACTGCGGGTTACGCTCGGCTCCTCAGCGAAAAAGCAACTAGTTCATGCTTCCACTTCTGTATTTATACCCGGGCCACGGGGGAGGAGTGTGGGGTGCGAATCACGCACTCCAATGTAACCCCTCCACCCGGGTCCTACTCGCCCCGCTCCGAGCTGCCCTTGAACCCGGGTCTCCGGCGTGAGAGTTGGGCGCTCTAGCAAGGAGGCTAAAGACTGCAGCTCTAGAGCGCCTATTGAGATCGGGGAGTGAGGTTCACTCGCACAGCAACTACTAGCTGGCCTCCGTTACACTCACCCCCCTAAACCTCACTCTCATTCGGGTCACGGCACCAATGTAACCCCTCCACCCAGGTCCTACTCGCCCCGCTCTGAGTGGGCCTCCAAACCCGGATCTCCGGCGTGAGAGTTGGGCGCTGTAACAAGGTGGCTAAAGACTGCAGTCTCTAGCGTCTGTCGCTAGGGCGCCTATTGAGATTGGGGAGTGAGGTTTACTCGCACAGCAACTACTAGCTGGCCTCCGTTACACTAATTCCATTGGCTCCTTCAATAGTACTCAAAGAACATTGGCTCTCTGACGCGATCCCTATTCAGTCAACTACCTACGTCCTCCGTTCCCTCCTCCAGAGAACGGTGGGTTGCATACGCAACCAGGACACTTTGTCTGCAGCCAGTACTAACTCTGATAGAAAACCAGCAAATTCTTTGATAAAGTCTGTATGGTGTCCTGGTGGCCTGCATGCAGTAGCCAGCACTAATCTCAAATGTCTTTTATCATTTACGTTAGATATTGTTACATTTAGATACTAACACTTCAAAAGAAATATATTTTGAAACTAGACTTCATAGTAATTCTGAAAATGTTACTATAAACTACCACATCTGCCGGGACGTGGGTTGGAGATAGACGTGTGCAAATGGGCTCTATGCACGGCGTTATTTCCGGTGAAGGATTAAGGATGCTCGATAACTTCCGCCGATCATAGAGTCCAATGCAATACCGAGAATTTATATTGAATTTTATACTCCATGGTTAAACTAATGAAACGTTAGTCACAAAAACAGATAAAACAGACACCCCTCGTTGTGTTTATGCTTCTTTTTAAAATTATATTAAATAAACATAACTATATATAAAATTACATCTAAACGTATGTACGTTTCGTTTCAAAGACGGGAGGAGAGTAAATATTGAAGACTCTGCCATAATCCCGTTTTCTCCGGTTTTCCTCCGCTTTAATCTACACAACCGGAAATGGACGAGCATCCTTACGTCAAATGCGGAACTTATGCGTGCATATAGCCCATAGCGACTGGGAGGGATAGGGGGTTTTCCCCTCTTAAGTTTGGCGGCCTCCGTTGATTTCTTTGAATGCGGGAACCCATGTCCGGTAGCGGCTAAGGAAGCCAGCAGTACACTCTTGTTTGACTATTGTTGATGCCTGTAGCCCCTTTTCCACCAAAGCATTTATAGAGCTGGTTCGGAGCCGGTGCCTGCGCGCGAACCAGTTCTTTGTGTTTCGACAGCCAAAGAACCGGTTCTTGGCCGGGAAAACTGGTTCCAAAACGGCACCAACTCTTTGCTGGACTAGAACCGTTCTTTTACCACGTCATGCTTACGTCGGGGGCTGGGGCGGGTTTAGATGTGCTCTAAACATCTTTTCTGACCATCGCAAAGCCAAGAGAAACTGCAGAAACACGCAAGCGTTTTTATTTATTTTATTTGAAACATAAGCAAAGAAGAAAACAGTCACAATATAGAACAAATAGCCTAAATGGAAAAAAAGACACAAGACAGGGGTACATAACTTATCAGAAAATATTACATATCAAACGAAAAGATTAAAAGACTAAAAGAATTGTTTTTAAAGTTTTCTTGGTACACGAGTTAGAGATAATCCCAAACAATGTACTTGCAAGCGTTTCTAGCGACGTACACAGTGACGTAACAACGTCGTTCCCTGGGCGCTCTAGTTAGTGGAAAAACCAGACTGATCTCATGAAATAGCGTGTGTATGCCACGCCAATTCGTATTTCCATTTTTGGCGTACTATCAAGACGTATAATCGCCTTTCAGCGTGTTTATGAACGCCGTTGACTTAATGTTATATAAATATATGACTTACCTCAACCCCGTCCCTAAACCTAACCGTCGCTGGGGTTAATGGCATTTATGACTGGAGACGTTAATGGCGTAGACATACACGCGGATACACACGGATAGCTCAAAATGCGTAGAGATAACACGCCACCTGACTCGAAAGTGGCGTGTATGTTTACGCAAAAGTCATGATGTCATGTTGGAAAAACAAACAGGTCCTGAACGGGTTCGCAAGTTGAACCAACTCCGAACCAACTTTGAACCAGCACCAGTTCCGAACCAGTTCTTTTTGGGTGGAAAAGGGGTATGTGTTGGTATTGTGCTGTTCGCCGGGGAGGCTCTAATTTATGTGTGCAACTATTGGTCCCCAGGCGCCATTTGTGTGTAAAGTAAGCGTGTGTGTGAGTAAAGGCTGATTTATACTTCTGCGTCGGACCTACGCCGGAGCCTTTACGCGTGTTTTCATTTACACTCCCGCGTCGTTGTATGTGTTGACGCGCAATTACACATGCATAGAGGGAGCATGTGAAACCCGGGGGAGTGGTTCTAGCAGACCAATCACAGCGCTTGTGGTACGCGTAGAATTGATGCGTTGTTTCGATCGATCAATGAGCGACGGCTCGTGGTACCATCACAAAGAGCCACAAAATCACTTTCCAGAACATTCTCATTCACGTCTCCATGTTGGTGGAGTGATCGGCCCATCATCATCATCCGGAATGCAGAATCCCGGACAGCTTTCAAAAGTCAACTGAAAACGTATCTCTTCCGTGAGCACTTAACATAAAAAAAGGAAAAAAAAAACGTAAAATCCTCACTTGCTTGGTTTATGCTACTCTGAGCAATGTTTGAACTTTGTATTTTGAGCACTTCTTGCCTCTTCATGGTGACTCGTTTGGTTTAGTCCTCAGATGTAAGTCGCTTTGGATAAAAGCGTCTGCTAAATGTAAATGTTATGTTTTTGGAGAGGTGCACGACACACACCCTACGACGGAGCTACGGCGTGAGTTTGACGCAGTATGAAAGCAGGTTGTTATCTTCCACTCCTTTTATACTGTATATTGATGACGGCTATGTATTTAGCGTGAGTGGCATTGATCCTATATGTCCTGGTATTTGTTGTGTATTTATTGGTGTGGTATTTACGTGATTTATATGACTTTGCGGTTTGCAGTGCAATGAAATAATGCATGCTAGCTGATCACATCAATTGATTTAATGCATGTATTTAACAACCTTTGAGACCCGTGCTGAATATATTGACCTGTTTGTTGATGCTTTATTCTTCGTTAACTTTATTGATTAAATGTTATCATTCATTACATATTAATGATTAGAATTGCACTTGATTATGCGTTAACCTGTCGTCTCTAAAAATAAAATTTGTTATATTTATATCTGCTGAATTGTGTACTTGAGAGTTTTCCTTGATTAATGAGCCACAGAAAATCATTGGTCCAGTAGAGAACCTGTAAATCACCCTTATCACATGACAATACACACCCTTGCACTGTCATTCCTTTCACACACTTTTGATGACTCAAGAAGTGCTTGTGATTATGCGAAGATTTTCCTCAATTTATCATATTTCTTCAGAATTTAAAATTACAAAAAATCAGCTGGGGTAAGTTCTTAACATTTCCATCACTTCTTAAACCCATGAAATATTATCATTGTGTTTGAGGATTTCTATGGTTTCAATTTCTCTATAAATGCCTAATATATTTCACCTCACATTGACAGGGAATGAGACGTCTGTCTGCATCAGTCACTATTTTACCCTTATTTTTGATAGGTTGTTTTATAGTTATTTTGCGGTTTTAAACCGTAGGCCTACCTGGCTCATTTTTGATAATGTTATTTTGATCTAAGTTTGGCAGGAAATTTGTACATTTCAAGTAATTAATTCCCACCCCTTAGTCTGAAGTTCATTAGGTTTGGTATTAGTCTGGAAAACAAAGAGTTTGATTTTGTTATTATTTTTTTTCTTATGTCTTAGAAAGATTTTCATTCAAGTGCAGTCAACTTTAATCAGTAGATGAATGAGGTTAAACTCTTGCGCAAATCTTTAAAATTAGGTAAAAAACAGAAATCCGGTAAATTGATTTCTCTTTTGGATACATACAAATTAATTTTAAAAGCCCTTTTGATTTATTTATTCATTTTATTTGGTTATTTTTTTATTGTGTTATTTTTTGTTTAGTTGCTTAACCTAAGGCTGAACAATTGCTGAAATATTAAGAGATTTGATTATGTACCTTGTTTGTTGTGTGTTGTGGAAGCAAAAAAAAAAAAGTATCGCGTCTCGCCGTGATGACGTCATCACTATCGCGCGCTCCCGGCTCAGCGTCTGCTGTGGACTCGGGAGTCTTCTGAGGTAAACAAATCACGATATGTCGTGATAAGACACTTAAAGCAACGTTCAAATGGTAATTTCTAACATGTTTTCTTTGGGTTCGGCGCTTTTTCTGTGTCTGCTAACTAAAACGATTATTCTTTTAAAGAAGAAGAATTTATGATTTGCCTGTAGTTTCTCAACACATACAAATCAGTAAGTGAAGCTATGAATATAAATATATTTAGATGAATATAGCCAAATTACAATGGTTGATAACGACGTGTCATTAGTGTCTGACTTTAAATTATTGTTATTAAATCTGTATTGAGAAATAATAGGAGTATTAGAGCACTGTTATAGGCGAATCATAACTAAATTGCCACATTAAACTCATTTTTATTGGAGTCAACAGACTTGAGGAAACCCATCTACTAGAAATAGACAAATTTTATAGGAGCATTTCATTAATCTGTGAAAAGCCATGTTCCATATAAAATAATATAAAATAAAAAGTAGTTAAGTCAAATTCAACTGTATGGGTTAATTGTTTCTTACAAATGTGTATATTTCATTTTATGTTTATTTTGTCTTTTTTATTTTTACATTGTTTAGATCTGTTAATTGTTCTGCATGTTTTCTATAAATTTGACAATATGTTAATGAGAGTAAAGAAATGTAGGAATAAAGTATGTGGATGAATTCTAAGAAATAAAAATGTGAGTAAGTATAAAACACAATGCAATTAATTTACGTAAAAGCTATTTTACTATAGAAAGATCAACATTAAATACTTAAAATACATCAAAATGTGTGAATTATAATAAAAACAAACTCAGTGCATGATTTATTCTTGATTTTGTCAGATCTGCTCCTCCTCCTTCAGTGAAGCTCCTCCCACTGCAAATCTGCAAACACAGAGTTTATTGAAGAACATGAGAGAAGAACAAAGAGGTTGGTGTTTATTCTTTATTCTTCATTAATGAGGCTGACGAACAGTAAGGTTATAAAGCAGTTCACCAGATTTAATGTTTGTTGTAGGAAAGAATTACAATAATATAGTCACATTCTACAACCATTAAGTTTTCTCTCTGATTTATGATTTATTCAAAATGCAACTTTTTTACATTTCATTTCAGACGTGATGCTGAAGAATGAGGAGAGTGAAGAGGAGGAGAAACATCATGTCAGAACTGGAGAAACAACTCACTCACAGACTGAAAATATTTCTTTATTGAAAAGAAAAGACAAGAAATGTTTCACTTGCAGTCAGTGTGGAAAGACTTACACACAGAAAAAGAGTTTCAAGGTTCACATGAGGATCCACACCGGAGAGAAACCGTTCACATGTGATCAGTGTGGGAAGAGTTTCACACACCAAGGGAACCTTCAGGAACACATGAAAATCCACACTGGAGAGAAACCACACAAATGTGACCAATGTGGGAAAACATTTTTGTTGGCTTCAAACCTGAAGAGACACCACAAAGTTCATTCACACGAGAAACCACATTCATGTTCTTTGTGTGGAAAGAGTTTTTCCCGTCTGCATGATTTAAAATCACATCAGAAAATACATACTGGTGAAAAAGCTTATGTGTGCTTTGAGTGTGGGAAGCCTTTTATTACAACTACATGCTTGAAACGGCACCAGAGGATCCACACTGGAGAGAAACCGTACAAGTGTTCACACTGCGATAAGAGATTCAACCAATCGGGATCCTTGAACATACACGAGAGGATCCACACTGGAGAGAAACCGTATCACTGCACTCCATGTGGGAAGAGTTTCATACAATTATCCTCTCTACACAGTCATATAAAATACAATCACAGCAAGTAGTTCATCTTAAGATCCAGCACTTTTAAGTCTGATGCCGTGTCCTCACCAAGCGTGACACGTAATAAAATATTTTCAATATAAATTTGTCCTAACCAGCAACAGCAAGCGACGGAACAAAAGAAACATCTGAATTTGTCACATTGAATAAAGTTCATCCTAAAGACCAGCAGTTTCTCGATCAACTCAAAGATGGACAATATCTATTAGTTTTATTCTTGCACATCATTGTGCTTCATGATATAAATTAAACTATTATTATATTATTTCATTTATTATTGCACTTCTATTAATGACAGGTTCAAACTGTTCTTGCTCAAAAATATTTTTAACTTGTTCTTCGTTGTTGTTTTTAAATTAACTAGTTATTTCCACTTGTATTTAGTATTTAGAAAACGTTTGCAACTGGCTTTTTACACTTTTATTATCTAAAAAATAAAGACGTTGTTTGTTAATTTTTAGTTTTACTTTTTTTGTTTTTGCTTCACAAAGTATTATATATATTTAAATATATAAAAATGTATGAATGCATTATTTGTTACACATAAAATGCCCATATTGTTTTTATTAGTTTTTCTCTATAAATGCCTAATATAATTCACCTCACATATGACAGGGAATGAGGCATCTGTCTGCATCAGTCACTATTTTACCCTTATTTTTGATAGGTTGTTTTATAGTTATTTTTTGCGTTTTTTTAAACCGTACTTGGCTCATTTTTGATAATCTTTTTTTGATCTAATTTTGATAATCCCCAGTGCAAACTTTATCAAACTGCTGCTCTACGCCTCACAACTCTCCAGATTGGAATTATATATATATATATATATATATATATATATAGTTTGGCAGAAAGTTTCTATATTTTCGAGGAATGGAAATCTAAAGGGATTTCTTGGATGATAATGGAAATGTGTTACTGTGTATAGAGTTTTGTGAGAAATTCAGTGTCATGTGATTATATTTAATGGAATGATCAGAGCCATTACGATTCCTTTATACATTAATGGTGAAAGAAGACATTTTGTGCTCCAGAGTCTCCCCAGGACTGAGAAATTGTATTTGACAGCTGTATTACCCAAACCCTATTAGGCAGGAATATGTGCGTAAAGATTTTAATACATTTAAAAAATATCTTGTATTTTCCCTTCTAAAGCTGAGTAGGTGAACTTCAAATTGGAACTTTTGTGTTTGTTCTAATGTTAAAAACCCTCACTGTGAAGTTCATTAGGTAATTGGAAAGTTTTTCATTCATAAGTGCAGATGGTTCAAAACTAAACAACTTTAATCAGTAGATGAATGAGGTTAAACTCTTGTGCAAATTGATTAAAATTCAGAAATTATTTGTTTGTTTTATTGTGATTTTTCCGGGTTTTTTTTTATATAGTTGATGTTATATTTAGAGATTTTTGTGTTGTGGGAGCATAAAAATAAAATCATTAATCTCGTCTCGCGGTGATGACGTCATCACTATCCGCGCGCTCCCGGTTCAGCGTCTGTGGACTCGGAAGTCTTCTGAGGTAAACAAGTCACTACTACATGTCGTGGTAAAACAGTTAAAATAACGTTTAAATGGTCATTTCTAAAATGTTTTCTTTGGGTTCGACGCTTTTTGTGTGTCTGCTAACTAAAACGAAAGAAGGAGATTTTATGATTTGCCATTTTGCCTAAATCGGGAAGATGTTAACGTTAGTGACCTTTGTTGTTATGAATGCAGTTTTTAGGCAATCGAACTATATTTAGATTAATATAACCAAATTGCGATAAGCCTCTTGATTTGTAGATCCCGTTTTCACATCATTCATATATGCTGATGTCTTTAGATGTGTAAATTGCCACATTAGCTCATTTTATTGCCAACAGACTTAAATAAATGACGCGATCAGATATTGCGATAAAGTCAAGATATAAGTTTCATAATTAATCTGAAAAAACATGTTCCATAAAAAACAAAAACGTTAAACTTAACTGGTGGCTAATTCTTTTCTCGTAAATTTGTATATTTAATTTTCTAAGTTTATCTTGTCTTTTTTATGTTTACATTGTTTATATCTGTTAATTGTTGTACACTCTATTTGTTTCTATATATTTGCCTATATTTTAATGAGAGATATGATAAAGTGTGTGGATGAAATAAAAATGTGAATAAGTATAAAACACTTCCCAGATAGCAAACTGACATTGAATCAACGTGGAAATATGACATCGAAACAACGTTGATCTGACATTGTTTTGCTCATCGAATTAACGTTGAACCAACGTCAGACGCGTCATTCTTTCAAAACTAACGGAAAATCAACTTGAAATCAACGCGTTGTTTCAACGTTATGAAAGCAAACCAATTTTCGATTTCACTTAGCTTCGAAGAATGCCGCGTCTGACGTTGGTTCAACGTTAATTCGATGAGCAAATCAACGTTGTTTCAATGTCATGAGAGACGTCGTTTCCACGTTGATTCAATGTCAGTTTGCTGTCTGGGTTTGCAATTAATTTGCGTAAACGTTATTTAACTATAGCTACATAGATCAACATTGAATACTTAAAATGTCTGAATTATGATAAAAACAAACTTGGTGATTTCTTCTTGATTTTGCCAGATCTGCTCCTCTCTCAGTGAAGCCCCTCCTCCTCCACCAGTTAAGCCCCTCCTCCTTCAGTGAAGCTCCTCCTCTTTCAGTGAAGCTCCTCCCACTGCAATTCACTAATAAATGCTGGAATATCCCCATCAGCTACGAGTGAAGACGAGCATCAAACCCTCAAGGAAGAGCTGAAATCTGCAAACACAGAGTTTACTGGAGGACAGTGAGAACATGAGAGAAGAACAAAGAGGTTGGTGTTTATTCTTTATTCTTCATTAATGAGAACAGTATGGTTAAATTAAAGAAAATAGTTGAACATTTAAACATATTTTTTGCACATTCCACCATATTTTAATGAAATAAAGAAAGTCCTTAATATGTTAACTTAAATTTCTACATATTTCAGCATATAAACTAATCTAATTTTTAAAATCCTTCATTTGAAATCATAAAATCATTTAAAATGAAAGTCGCTCCTGACCGTATTCCAAATTGTTAACACTTAAACGTCTTTTAACAATAAAGTGCAGAGAGGAGTAAAAATTAGTTGATCAAAACAGAAAATTAGTTTTCTTTCGCGGCGAAATAGTGGTCATATCCCATCAGCGTGTAGCCGCAGCTAATCGTTAACCGTCTCGTGACATGCTTGCTCAGATTTGAGGTAGAATTTTAATTTGCGTTATAACTAGTCAATCACAAATGTGGCTCAACCGTTAGATTTATAGATAAACTCATCTTTCAGGCCTTTGACCGGGTTGACACTTCAGCGCGAGAAATCGGGGTATTCACGCACCACTAATGTCACAAAACAGTCTCACTAAACAAAATCACGGTCAACTAACGCAGTAACGCAGCCGGTTTACGGGGAAGTAACAGTAATCTAATTACTATTTTTACAATTCTAATCCCTTACTTTACTAGTTACTTGAAAAAAGTAATCGGATTACAGTAACACGTTACTTCTAACGCGTTACTGCTGCTCATCAGTGCTCGTTAGTAATAAATTCCGTTAAATCCAAAAAAAAAAAAATCTGTTTCTAAAGCTAGTTTTGTAATGTGTATTTAATGCTTTTGTAATTTAAAGGGATACTCCACTTTTTTTTTTGGAAATAGGCTAATTTTACCACTCCCCCAGAGTTAAACAGTTGAGTTTTACCGTTTTCGAATCCATTCAGCCGATTTTCTGATATTAAGAAAAATATCAGTAACCAGACAGTTTCTTGTCTCATTGACTTCCATAGTATTTCGGAAAAAAAAACTGGAGTATCCCTTTAACATAATAATGATATTTTGGGTGTAATTTCTCAGCTAAATTTGATTTGTGATATATTAAAAAATGTATCTGCTTCACAGCCCTACATTTGACTTTTGTTTCAGACGTGATGCTGAAGAATGAGGAGAGTGAAGAAGAGAAACGTCATGATGTCGGAACTGGAGAAACAACTCACTCACAGACTGAAAATACTTCTTCACTGAAAAGAAAAGAAAAAAAATGTTTCACTTGCAGTCAGTGTGGAAAGAGTTTCAAACGCACACGGACTTTATTGAATCACATGAGGATCCACACCGGAGAGAAACCGTTCACATGTGATCAGTGTGGGAAGAGTTTCACGCACAAAAAGAATCTTAGGGAACACATGAGGATTCACACCAGAGGTAAACCGTTCACATGTGTTCAGTGTGGGAAGAGTTTTACACAACAAGGGAGCCTTAAGTCTCACATGATGATCCACACCGGAGAAAAACCGTTCACATGTGATCAGTGTGGGAAGAGTTTTACACATCAAGGGATACTTAAGGAACACATGAACATCCACACTGGAGAGAAACCACACAAATGTGATGAATGTGGCAAAACATTTTTGAGGTCTAAAGGCCTGAAGAACCACATGTTAGTTCATTCACAGGAGAAACCATATTCATGTTCTTTGTGTGGGAAGAGATTCTCATATCGGCAGAATTTCAAACTTCATCAGAAAAGACATACTGGCGAAAAAACGTTTGTGTGCTTTGAGTGTGGGAAGAGTTTTGTTACAGCTGTAAATCTGAAAACACACCAGATGACCCACACTGGAGAGAAACCGTACAAGTGTTCACACTGCGACAAGAGTTTCCGTCGGTCAGGACACGTGAAAACACACGAGAGGATCCACACTGGAGAGAAACCGCATCACTGCACTCCATGTGGGAAGAGTTTCGCTCAATTATCCTCTCTACAATGGCATATAAAATACAATCACAGCAAGTAGATCGTCTTTATCGAATGACAAAGCTGACTTAATTAAAAATAAATAAATACATAAATAAATATACGAGTCGAGTCTTCTGAGGTTTACGGTTTTTAGCACAACTGTAAAATATAGGAGAGTGGGGTATGATGAGCCATTTTTAACTTATGTGGTCCTCAAGATATGAGAAAATTAGGCAAAGTACAATGAAAGTATCAAAAGTGATATCAGGATGTTTCGTCCGAAATCACTTCCCTATATAGTAGCTTTCAGACTACATAGAACATATTTTCAGCGGTCGTGACGTAATTACTGATTCAGAATAAATATGCGATTTCAGACACAGCGAGAGTCTTCTGAGGTGAGCAGTTCACGATATTAAAGGGGTCATGAACTGGCTTTTTAAATTTTATTATATTGTTGTCTGAGGTCAATGTTATGTTTTTTTCAACCATGCACTTAACATTTTTTAATCAAGGTTTTTTTTTTATTTTTTTTTTTATTGTGCTTGTTCAGGTGTCAAACTTGTGAAAAGTAGCCAAGATGTGGACCTCTCAGATAAAGAAAACTATTTTTTTTTTTAATTCCCAAATCACCACATTTGTCCGTAAGACCCGCCTTGAGGGTTAAATAAATTAAAAACTGTCCAATGTAAATCCCTTTTCAGCCTACACATGATTGAGATTGAATTATTGTTTACTTTAACTTTTAGAGTTATTTTAGTGTATGTTATAAATGTTATTTTTGTATGAATTGTTCTTTTGTAAGAATTGGCGCGTTTTTCTCGCATCACCGCGCTGACGTCATCATTAGTTTCCTTCCTCGTTCAGCGCGTTTGTTGTGTCTTCTGAGGTAAGTTCTGCAGGTCAGATATTTCGCGTATTTACACACCCATAAATACAGAGTTTACACGGTTTGTTTCAGCAACATTTAATGGGTTTTTTCGGTATTGTTTTCATCGGATAAAGCGCCAAATGTGCGTCTTTTCTGGCGACTGTAGACTGGTGTAGTTTTTGATTTAGCATACGAACATCTGGAGTAATGTTGAAATCATACAAACATTAACGATTTTGTCAAATGTTTAATTTTGAGAGTGATGATAGATGATTTATAATATTTATGGGTATATTCTGACAGTCTGAAGTACTCAAACATTTTCTTTTTACCACAGAGACCCAAAATTACCTCAGAATAACTATAATGCCCAAAGTTTACTGTGCAAATATGCACAACAATGTGAACATATAAATTAAATGTGTTGTAGCTTCCCAATTTTTTTAACCAGATTATCCTATTCCTAATGCCCACATCAGTTGACAAATAAATGCTAGAGTATTCCCATTAGCCTTCAATATACCTCATTTTTGGAAATCAACTTATAAAAATGAATTAAAATTATTTATTTTTATTTTCATTTCAGGCCCGATGGAGGAAAATTGCGAGATTGGAGAGGAGAAACATGTCAAAACTGAAGAAAAAAGTCCCTCACAGACTGAAAGTACGCACTGATTTACTATGTGAACATCTGAAATAATTTAAACATGGATGAATTTGCCATATGTTTCATTTTGAGAGTGATAGTGTTATTGAATGTATAATCTCAAACTTTAAAGTTTTCGTCTGTGAGGAAATTTCATGGGGATAACGCCCTCACTTGTCCCGCTCGCCACAGTAAACATGACTCTCCCTCTTTTCGTTTAAATTTAAAAATGTTAAACATATTCCAGACATTATGTAATGTAATGTATTGCATATCGCATTGGTACAAATGTTGCAGTAAACAACATTACAGATGATCTTGTAGCCTAATAAAATAAAACGAATGACAAAACTATCTTTTTGTTGAATTTCAGTTTTATCAATAAGAGCCATTCTAAAAGTATAAGTAAAAGGTATAGAAAAAGATATACAGTAAAGCTTAAATAAAATAAACAATTCAGTCAGTCAAATATACAAATTCAGCGCTCAAAGATATGAAACTTTAGCCTTCTGCCGAAACTATTGGCCAGGGAATGAATTATAGATTCACGAGACCAAAGATCACCTGTTAGGTTTATACAAGACGAACTATATCTCATGTTTAACCACTACAGAGACGTCCGCGTCAGCGGCAAACATCAGAACGACTAGCCGAGGAAAGGCTGTTCCAGGCGGGGGACACGAGCGCGAGCGTCCGGTGATCGCTTAGAATGGATCTCAGTCAAATTATCATAAATCTATAAATAAACCACAGATTTCAGCTTTAAAAAACTACTTTCTCGCCTGAAAAACTCTTAAAACTACAGTCCGTGACACAATAACAGTAGTATTATATTTCAACTGCATGCGCGTGTGACGATACTCTGTCCACCAATCACCGTTCTGCAGTGAGTCTAGCTCCACCTTTTAGTACCCTTTCACTGTGCTAGGTACCCTAACGGAAGGGTACCCAAAAAGTGGTACGGTACGGTTCGGCCTTTTCAGACTGATCTCATGAAGTAGCGTGTGTATGACACGCCAATTCGTATTTCCATTTTTGGCGTGCTATTAAGACATATAATCGCTTTTCAGCGTGTTTATGAACGCCGTTAACTTAACGTTATTACTGTATATATAAAAATTTGACTTACCTCAACCCCGTCCCTAAACCTACCCGTCACTGGGGTTCCCTTACCATCCTAGAAAAAAAAAGATCGCTCCCCAGATGTAGATCTACATTTTGCTTCGTTTCGCGTGGACATTTGACGGCGTGTACAGACACGCGGAATGACGCGGACGTTAATGGCGTACACATACACGCGGATACACGCGGCTAGCTCAAAATGCTTAGAGATAACACGCCACCTTGTGTTTACGCAAAAGTCATGATGTCATGTTGGCTTTTTGGTACCATTCACAACTTTTGACAGTGGAAACGCAAATAATTGCGTACCGAACTGTACCGTACCGTACCTTACCACTCAAGTGGAAACGAGCCATTATATTCTGAAAAATACGGTGGTTCTCCAAATTCACTCATAATTTACTCACCCTCGTTAGTAATAAATTCTGTTGAATCAAAAAAAAAAAAATTTCTAAAGCTACATTTTGTAATGTGTATTTGATGCTTTTTTAATTTAACATAATAATGATCTTTTGGGCGTAATTTCTCAGCCAAATTTGATTTGCGATATATTAAAAAATGTATCTGCTTGACAGCCCTACATTTGACTTTTGTTTCAGATGTATTGCTGGACAATGAGGAGAAACATCATGATGTCAAAACTGGAGAAACAACTCACTCACAGACTGAAAATATTTCTTCACTAAAAAGAAAAGACAAGAAATGTTTCACTTGCAGTCAGTGTGGAAAGAGTTTCACATACAAACATACTTTATTGATTCACATGAAGATCCACACCGGAGAGAAACCGTTCTCATGTGATCAGTGTGGGAAGAGTTTTGCACATAAAGGGCAACTTAAGGAACACATGAACATCCACACTAGAGAGAAACTGCACGAATGTGATGAATGTGGCAAAACATTTTTGAGGGCTTTAGGCCTGAAGAGGCACCTCACAGTTCATTCACAGGAGAAACCACATTCATGCTCTGTGTGTGGAAAGAGTTTTTCACGTCAGCAGAATTTAAAAGTTCATCAGAAAAGACATACTGGTGTAAAAGCTTATGTGTGCTTCGAGTGTGGGAAGAGTTTTATTACGACTGTAGGTTTGAAACGGCACCAGATGACCCACACTGGAGAGAAACCTTTCAAGTGTTCACACTGCGACGAGAGATTCAGATATTCAGGAGCCTTGAAATCACACGAGAGGATCCACACTGGAGAGAAACCGTATCACTGCACTCCATGAGGGAAGAGTTTCATACAATCATCTTCTCTACACAGTCATATAAAATACAATCACAGCAAGTAGATCATCTTCAGATCCAGCACTCCTAACACTGGTGTGCACCCCGACACAAACCGCGCCCCAGTCCGAACTGAAAGGCCAGTGTGAAAGCACCCTCAGAGAGGTTTTCAATATAGATTATTTCTTATTTACTACATGACAATGAGTATCAGAGTCGTAGGAGGTCTGAGCGGCTTTATTCCCTGCTGTCGTCTCCGCCGGTTTCAAAACATGTCTCTGTTATATTGTCATTTTCCACCCGTCTGCCACTTTGCAACAACACAACCTTGTTTCCGCAGAGATGTTTCCAATACAAAAGGCTGAAAGCAGCCTAAGGCCCTGTGTACACGAGAACGCTCGTGGGTGAAAACGTAAAAATATTTTAGCGGATGTGCCTTTCGTTTACACGGCGACGGCGTTGCAAAAACGCAAAAAATTGACACCAGAGTGGAAATCTTAAAAACGCTCCACCGCCGCGTTCCCGTGTAAACGATAAAAACGCAAAGGTCTGCTTGACGGTGAAGGTTGTACGCAGGCGCGCGGACTTGGTGTTGTTGTGTGGCAGTGCTCAACATCGCCACCTAGCCGCCTGCAGTGCATACCCTGATAGCAAACTGACATTGAATCAACGTGGAAACGACGTCTCTCATGACATTGAAACAACGTTGATTTTGCTCATCGAATTAACGTTGAACCAACGTCTGACGCGGCATTCTTCAAAGCTAAATGAAAATCGAAAATTGGTTTGCTTTCATAACGTTGAAACAACGCGTTGATTTCAAGTTGATTTTCCGTTAGTTTTGAAAGAATGACGCGTCTGACGTTGGTTCAATGTTAATTCGATGAGCAAAACAATGTCAGATCAACGTTGTTTCGATGTCATATTTCCACGTTGATTCAATGTCAGTTTGCTATCTGGGTAATACATCAAATTTCACACACTTTTGCGTCACCATATGCACACGGATTTCCCACCCAAAGCGCTCGTCTAAACGCATAATAAAAAGTGATGACGCAACGCCACTTTTGCGTTTTCTCTTCAGATCGTTTCCGTTTCCGTGTAAACATAGCCTAAATGTTTTATTCTTGTTTATAATTTTGCTTCATGATGTAAATTACATCATTATCGTCTTTTACGAGTTTCATTTCTGATTTATGTTTTGACTTGTAAAAAAACCAAGGTAAGATACCTTCTTCAGTTTTATTGTCTTGAGATGCTTTGATATCTTATTAGTCAATAAAGAGACAAACCTGTCACATTCTGTTTTTTTTTTTTTTTTTTTTTTTTTTTTGCTTCAACCAAGTATTAAACTTTTATCGTCTGTTGATTCTTCTTGCATAAGGAATAAATAAATGCATAGTTTTAGCTCCATCTAAAACTAATGAAATATAGTGTTTTATTTGATCTGTTGGTTTATAGATGTTTGCCATTGTAAACTAAATTTGATGTGTTTTTGACGTGGCATTGCAGTGATGACGTCATCAATTGTGTTGAGTCTTCTGAGGTTTACAGTTTTTAGCACAACTGTAAAATATAGGAGTGGGGTATGATGAGCCATTTTTAACTTATGTGGTCCTCAAGATATGAGAAAATTAGGCAAAGTACAATGAAAGTATCTAAAGTGATATCAGGATGTTTCGTCCGAAATCACTTCCCTATATAGTAGCTTTCAGACTACATAGAACATATTTTCAGCGGTCGTGACGTAATTACTGATTCAGAATAAATATGCGATTTCAGACACAGCGAGAGTCTTCTGAGGTGAGCAGTTCACGATATTAAAGGGGTCATGAACTGGCTTTTTAAATTTTATTATATTGTTGTCTGAGGTCAATGTTATGTTTTTTCAACCATGCACTTAACATTTTTTAATCAAGTTTTTTTTATTGTGCTTGTTCAGGTGTCAAACTTGTGAAAAGTAGCCAAGATGTGGACCTCTCAGATAAAGAAAACTATTTAAAGAAAAATAATTCCCAAATCACCACATTTGTCCGTAAGACCCGCCTTGAGGGTTAAATAAATTAAAAACTGTCCAATGTAAATCCCTTTTCAGCCTACACATGACTGAGATTGAATTATTGTTTACTTTAACTTTTAGAGTTATTTTAGTGTATGTTGTAAATGTTATTTTTGTATGAATTGTTCTTTTGTAAGAATTGGCGCGTTTTTCTCGCATCACCGCGCTGACGTCATCAGTAGTTTCCTTCCTCGTTCAGCGCGTTTGTTGTGTCTTCTGAGGTAAGTTCTGCAGGTCAGATATTTCGCGTATTCACACACCCATAAATACAGAGTTTACACAGTTTGTTTCAGCAACATTTAATGTTTTTTTTCGGTATTGTTTTCATCGGATAAAGCGCTAAATGTGCGTCTTTTCTGGCGACTGTAGACTGGTGTAGTTTTTGGTTTAGCATACGAACATCTGGCGTAATGTTGAAATCATACAAACATTAACGATTTTGTCAAATGTTTAATTTTGAGAGTGATGATAGATGATTTATAATATTTAAGGGTATATTCTGACGGTCTGAAGTACTCAAACATTTTCTTTTTACCACAGAGACCCAAAATTACCTCAGAATAACTATAATGCCCAAAGTTTACTGTGCAAATATGCACAACAATGTGAACATATAAATAAAATTTGTTGTAGCTTCCCAATTTTTTTAACTGAATTATCCAATTCATAATGCCCACATCAGTTGACAAATAATGCTAGAATATTCCCATTAGCCTTCAATATACCTCATTTTTGGAAACCAACTTATAAAAATTAATTAAAATTATTGATATTTATTCTCATTTCAGGCCCGATGGAGGAAAATTGCGAGATTGGAGAGGAGAAACATCATGTCAAAACTGAAGAAAAAAGTCCCTCGCAGACTGAAAGTATGCACTGATTTACGATATGAACATCTGAAATAATTCAAACATGGACGAATTTGCCATGTTTCATTTTGAGAGTGAAAATGTTGTGTTTTTGAATGTATAATCTCAAACTTTTAAGTTTTCATCTGTGAGGAAATTTCATGGGGATAATAACGCCCTCACATGTCCCGCTCGCCACAGTAAACATGACTCGGCAAAGCCCAAATTTTACAGAGCAAATATGCACAATAATTATTTTGAACATATGAATGAAATGTGCTGTAGCTTCCCACATTTTTTAACTGACTTATTATTTTCCTAATGCTCACTTCAGTTGACAAATACATGACAGAATATTCCCATCAGCCTTCAATATATGATTTTTTATTTTCATTTCAGGCCCGGTGGAGGAAAATGAGGAGATTGCAGAGGAGAAACATCATGTCAAAACTGAAGAACAAACTCCCTCACAGACTGAAAGTATTTCTTTGAAGAAAAAAGACAAGAAATATTTCATCTGCCATAAGTGTCTGAGTTGTTTCACACGACAAGAAGACCTTCAGGAACACGAGATCATCCACACTATTGAGAAAGTGCATCAATGTGATCACTGTTGGAGAATTTTTTCATGTGCTTCATCCCTAAAGAGCCATCTCAGAGTTCATTCACAGGAGAAACCATATTTATGTTCTTTGTGTGGAAAGAGTTTTAAATATAAACGAAGTCTCGAGATTCACACTAGAGTCCACACCGGAGAGAAACCGTTCACATGTGATCAGTGTGGGAAGAGTTTTTCAGAATCATCAAACCTTCAGGAACACATGAACATCCACACTGGAGAGAAACCATACGAATGTGATGAATGTGGCAAAACATTTTCGAGGTATACAGGCCTATCGACCCACATGCTAGTTCATTCACAGGAGAAACCACATTCATGTTCTTTTTGTGGAAAGAGTTTTTCACGTATGCAGAATTTAAAACTTCATCAGAAAATACATACTGGTGAAAGAGATCATAAGTGCTTAGAGTGTGGGAAGAGTTTTATTACCGGAGTGCGTCTGAAACTACACTGGCGGACTCACACTGGAGAGAAACCGTACAAGTGTTCACACTGCGACAAGAAATTCCGTCGGTCTGAACACGTGAAAACACACGAGAGGATCCACACTGGAGAGAAACCGTATCACTGCACTCCATGTGGGAAGAGTTTCACTCAAGTATCTTCTCTACGCAGTCATATAAAATACAATCACAGTAAGTAGATCATCTTCAGATCCGGCACTTTCAAGTGACTTTGTAAAGGAATACGTAATACGCAATTAGCCTGATTTCACAGTTTTCTTCACATTAAGAAAAATGTTTCTTTTTAATACTTTTGAAATCTGCATTTTAAGGCACCAGAAACACAGGTGTCATGCATATTATTGGCCAAAGCGCACAAGTTTTAAATTTTAGTTTAAAACGGTTTTTTTTAAACGGCCTCAAAATCTGTCGTAACCGCCCTGCTGAAAAAAAAAACAATACAATTTGTAATGTTTATAATGGGAATTGTATTGGTTTTTATGGAAACTAAAAAGGTCTGTGTAACAAAACCAGCCCAACGGCCAATTAAAAATTGCTCAAAACAAGCCCAGTGACCATATAATATCAAAACTCAACAAGTGCCAATACCATACCTAAAAAAAAACTGTTAATGTTATCTGTTATAAGCAATTTCATCTTGAAAATCACTAGTAGGAATCATAAATTCATATTAAATCGTCGTTTTTTTCAAGGCTCATCTTACTGTATTTCTAAGGTATAATTCACCCAAATATGTAAATTCTGACATCAAGTACTCACCCTCATGTCGCTCCAAACCTATAAGAATTTTGTTAATCTTCCAAGCAGAAATTAAGATATTTTTTATGAAGCCCGAGAGTATAAGGGGCCATTCACATATCGCGCCTAAAAACGCGTAGAAAACGCTAGGCGCACGCGTTCTCCTTTTTCCAAAGAAGCGCTAGGGCGGTTGCACTCCGGAGGCGTCTGTCGTTGCTAAGCAACCATCAGCTGCGCTCTCCATTACATGAAGGAAATTTCAGCAATGGATTTCCTCCACCGAAAAACCCTTGCTGTAACTCTGTTACAAGATTTATTTACTCAGAAAAGTAAAAAAACGCATACAACATACCCATACTACAAAAACGCAAGAACCATGGGGAATTTCACCAGCTGATTCAGGAACTCCGCCTGAACAATGGGAGGTTCAAAGCCTATTCCAGAGTGGACAAGGACCAGTTTGATTATATTTTAAGAAGAAGTAACAAAAATGGCGAGGAAGCTGATTGGTTGGTTCGTGTCACGTGACCTACGGTGCGCTTGCGGCATTCTGAAAAGTTGAGATGTTTTTATCTCGATGCGGCGCGGACGCGCCTGGAAAAAACGAGCGCGTCGCACCGCGACCGCGTCGCTTCCATTATGAGCGCGCATACCGCGCGCCTACATTTGAAATAACGAACTTGAGCGCGCAAAAGACGCGATATGTGAACCGGCCCTAAAAGTCCATCCACTTCCGATACCGATGCCGCTGCTTTGGCTATTTGCCGATACCGATATCAATCTGATGGCATTGTGTTGTGTGACGCGGCTGACGTGTGTCTGGTGCGTCCGTGTATTCGTGGCAAAAAAAAAATGCTTCCTCTGAGTAGAAATCCTTAGACAAGTTTGTGAAGATTGTTTTGTACAGTGTGTGTCTCCCTAATGCTAAGTTCACACCGGACGCGAATCGCGCGTCAAATTCGCGCCTGACGCGTCTAGTTTGATGCTTGACCACTTTGTGTTCATTCGCGTGTCAAGAGCGAAACTGGCGCGCGTAAAAACAAAAGTTTGAATCGAAATTTACGCGCGTCAGAATCGAAATCCGTTGGCGGCCATTGTTTTTATGTCGACCGAGCATTCATCAAGAGAGTTACCGCTCTGTATTTACTCTGGAGAGCAGAACAGCGGCGTGGGGATCATCGTCGCCGTATATTTGTGTCCACTGGACCCTTTGGAGCCGAACCGTTTGGCGAGTTTCACCATTTGCTCGCTCCAGGAGCTGCGCTGGATGACGGCCGCTGTCAGCGGTATTTCCGCCTGTCACGCGCCCAGTTTGATGACATGTTGTCCCGCATCGGAGCGACGATCACCCTCGCCCTCATCCATCTAATCTAGCTGTCATTTATTTTTGTTTTGATGATAAATAGAGCCATCTTCCAAAAGTTATTAACCTGTCCTATGATTTTTTTTCTCTCTCTCACGTCCAGACACGAATTTATGCACATATGTTGATCTTTACAACATAATACTATTTCATATAATCTAGCTATGGAATGAATAACATTCAATACAAAATGAACATGTCTCGTATATAGAAATGTTTTAAGTGATAAAACATTTGCTTTGTTGTGCATAATCCCACAATGCATTTAGTCATATTAACAAAATAATTTATTGAAGCATCCAGAGACACTTCACCACGTGATCAAGCAGTTAGGCTCCTGATTGGTTAACGCGGCGCGAATTCACGCCAAAGTTCAGATTTTTCAACTCAGGCGGCAGACGCGAATTCGCGTCAAACGTGTGAATGCACAAATGGCACTTACTGAATTATTCGCGCGTAACGCGCCAGACGCTCAATGCGCGCCATTCGTGCGAACGAGGCGTATTCGCGTCTTCCGCGCTCCACGCATCATTCGCGTCGCAGGAATTTTTCACGCGTAAAGCGTCTTTGCATTGACTTAACATTGAAATCATTCGCGCCTGACACCCTATACGCGTCCGGTGTGAACGTTGCATTAGACTATAACCGAAGCTCAGCCGCACCAGACACACGTCAGCCGCGGCACTGAACGCTGATCCAGAACAGAACCGGAAGATAATACAATGCTAAATAAAGTCGTAGTTTTTGTTATTTTTGGACCAAAATGTATTTTCGATGCTTGAAAACATTGTAACTAACCCACTGATGTCACATGGACTACTTTGATGATGTCTTTATTACCTTTCTGGACAAGGGCAGTACACCGTACACATGTTCAATGGAGGGACAGAAAGCTCTCTGACTAAATCTAAAATATGTTAAACTGTGTTGTGAAGATGAACGAGGTCTGACGAGCTTGGAACGACATGAGGGAGAGTCATTAATGACATCATTTTCATTTTTGAGTGAACCGTTAAGTTCACATATTCGTTTGTCTGAATAACACTACTATCGCCACCAGTTATTTTACTTTGAAATATGTGTTTCCAGGCTGGAATGTGTGTTTTTGCTTTGGTCTGTGATGCTGCACGTTGCCAATAAGCACATTTTCATTCAGTCCCTCCAGGATTTCACGAAAAATTTGCGATTTATATATAACATTTACCATAATAGTATTGTCCATTGCGCTCGTTCCTGTTGGGTGTGCTTAAACTGGCGATCCGTGCGAGTGTTGCGTCTGAGGAGGCGGGGAAACGACGATCTCCGATATTTTGAGTTGGACTGCAGTCATTATAGTCATATATAATGTATAATAATGCAATGGGGGAATGTTTTTTGTATTGAATCGTGAACCCCTTATTTTTAGTCTGATGATTATTATCATTAGAGCTTCTGTGATGGTTTCTCCTGTTTGTTTTTTCCAGCTGAGCGTCCACAGCGAGCGAAAGGACAAAGAAAGCCCATCTAAGTTTGTCACCGTGAATAAAGTTCATCTTCAAGACCAGTGGATTCAGTGGTGATATTTAGATCAGCTCAAATATCATTTTGCTTCCTGATATAAATTAAAAATCATTATGCTTTATTATGAATTTCATTTTATGTTCAATTTTACACTGCATATGTACCACTTGTTTGTTCACACTTTAATGAAGTTAGTTTTTTGATTATTTTTAACTTGTTCTAAACTTTCTCTAGTTATTCTTATAGTGTAGTTAGAAAACGCAGATGTAAGATATATTGTCATGTAGCTTTGCAACTGGCCTTCTTCACTTTTATTCTCTTGAGATGCTTTGCTATCTTATTAGATGGAGGTTACGCATGTAACGTCACCATTGGTCGCACACACTGAGTGGCAGCATTGGTTTTCAGCGTGAATGCTGGGAAAAATACACTAAACGCATCTAAAACGGGAAAGAGCTTCTAACAACTAGATTTGACAAGAAATCTGAGATGTATTTTACAGACTGCCGAAAGCTACAGAACAGAGGCGCAAATGGATCGGGCAGACAGAGAAAGGTGGATTTGCAGTTATTATTTTGTCAATATGCTGATTTTAGGGGTAGAAAAGTTCACATTATATATTGTATTGGTATATATTGTATTGACAACTCATAAATTAAATATTTACCATCATATATTCTGCATAATTGGATGTTTTTAAATAAATTGTACAAGTTTTAAGGTTGGACGATATATATATATATATATATATATATATATACTGTATATATAACATTGATATAAGTCCTTTTCCTGCAACATTCGAGATTAAATGGAATACATTTCCTAACTCATTATTTCATCTCACTCCATAAATGAAAAGGGTTTTAGTGACATCTGGGCATCATAAAAAGTCTATGAATATTTGATTATTCTTTTTTTAACTCTTTAATTATGTTTTACCCGCTCAGATTAGGAAGCTATGTCTCGCGCTCGCAATCTCGCCAGTTTCACTCACCAGAGGTAATTGGCTAATCTTACACAATCAAAGGTACTTTTATATAGCCCCCTTGAATTTGCATACATTTTCATTTAATATAACGTTTACTTACATATCTTTGTTCTATGGTTGTGTGGTACACCTTTACTCAGATGTTAAAATGTTTGAGGTAGTTTTTGTTATCTTAAGCGATTTTAGTTAACTAGATGGCAGACCGCAGTAAAGATAGCTTGCGGTTTGATATTCAGATTTCTTTTGGGTGTAAATCCACAGTGTAGACATGCGATTTGTTTTCTTTCCTCAGGTCTGAAATCAGTGAGGTGGGGTTCATAATGACTTGATTTTACAACGTGTATAGCGTCAAACGTTGAACACTTTGAGACTTTTTATTGTCTGTTGATTCTACTTGTGTTAAGAATATAGTTTCATAATTTTGGGTAACTCTGAAAGCCATTAACTATTATGATTGCTTGGTCTTTCCATGTTTTAAAAGTATTTAAATAAAACCTTTAAATACATTTTTCACCCTACACATGACTGATATTGAATTATTGTTTACATGAACTTTTAGCGTTATTTTAGTGTATTGTAAAAATACAACTTGATTTTTGGCGCGTTTTTCTCTCATCACCGCGCTGACGTCATCATTAGTTTCCTTCCTCGTTCAGCGCGTTTGTTTGTTGTGTCTTCTGAGGTAAGTTCTGCAGGTCAGATATTTCGCGTATTTACACATCTATAAAATACACTTTACACAGTTGTTTCAGCATCATTTACGGGGTTTGTTTTCATTGGGCAAATCGCCAAATGTGCGTCTTTTCTGGCGTATGTAGACTGATTTTGTTCGTCATGAAACGAGGAATCTGAGGAATATGTTGAAATTCATTTTAGGCACGATTTTTTTTCATAGATTTCATTTTTTTAGAGTAATCTTGTTGGCGTTGAATGTATGTGATCTCAAACTTTAAGTTTTGATTTGTGAGGGAATTTCATGAGGATAGAGACGTCGCTTGATGGACATAATCAGTTGTACGATTAATGACTAGATTCAGAAAACCCAAACTTTAAAGTGTCATATTTGTATGTTTGAGTCAGATGTGAAAAGTGATATTATAATCTTTTGAATAAAGATGATTTATTATTATTTAATGGTAAATTCTGACTCCGTCTGAGTGGCCTTTTTACCACAGACACACATGGCTAGAGAATAAGTGTAATACTGTCATATTTGTTTGTTTATTTTTCTTTTCCTAATGCTCGCCCACATCAGTTCACAAATAAATTCTGGAATATTCACATAAGCATACAATATACCTCATTTGTAGAAATTATTTTTTTAAAATGCATTAAAATTAGGATTTTTGTTTTCATATCAGGCCCGATGGAGAAAAATGAGGAGATTGGAGAGGAGAAACATCATGTCAAAACTGAAGAAAAAACTTCCCCGCAGACTGAAAGTATTTCTTCACTGAAAAGAGACAAGAAATATTTCATCTGCCATCAGTGTGGGAAGAGTTTCACACAACAAGGACGCCTTAGGAATCACATGGTCATCCACACTGGCGAGACACAGCATAAATGTGATCAATGTGGTAAAACATTTGCATGTGCTTCATCCCTAAAGAGCCATCTCAGAGTTCATTCACAGGAGGAACCACATTCATGTTCTTTATGTGGAAAGAGTTTAAAACACATAGAGAGTCTTGTGTCTCACATGATGATCCACACTGGAGAGAAACCATTCACATGTGATCAGTGTGGGAAGAGTTTTAGACAATCATCAAACCTTAAGGAACACATGAACATCCACACTGGAGAGAAACCGTACAAATGCGATCAATGTGGCAAAACATTTTCGAGGGCTACAGGCCTGAATACCCACATGTTAGTTCATTCACAGGAGAAACCACATTTATGTTCTGTTTGTGGAAAGAGATTTCCACGTATGCAGAGTTTGAAATTTCATCAGAAAATACATACTGGTGTAAGAGATCATAAGTGCTTTGAGTGTGGGAAGAGTTTTATTACCGCTATGACTTTGAAACTACACTGGCGGACTCACACTGGAGAGAAACCGTACAAGTGTTCACACTGCGACAAGAGATTTCGTCGGTCAGGACACGTGAAAACACACGAGAGGATCCACACTGGAGAGAAACCGTATCACTGCACTCTATGTGGGAAGAGTTTCACTCAAGTATCTTCTCTACGCAGTCATTTAAAATACAATCACACCAATCACAGGAAGTAGATCATCTTAAGCCTGTGTTGCATGGTTAATTATTCAAATGATGTTTGATTTTTGGAGCAAAATACGCTAATTAAAACAAAACTTGGAAAAAAATTATATTTGTTTTGTTGTATTTTGTATGCTATATCTATGTCACATAGTGAGAAATGACACTATTATCAGTGTTCAAGTAAGACCAGAAAATTAACTTAGGTTTTTTTCCCATTAAAAATATAGTACTAGAAAGTTTTTTCTTCTACAAATATTAGACGTTAAGCATCTCAGAACTGTTGACTGGAGCAATAAAGTTCTTGAGTCATGAGTAGAGAGAGGACTTTATCCACAACAAATGCAAGATTTAATTCTTCTTTGTTCTATGGTTGTTTGGATTTACTCGGGTGTTAAAATGTTTGAAGTATGTTAAGTATTTAAATAAAACTTTTAATTACATTTTCACCCTACACATGACTGATATTGAATTATTGTTTACATTAACTTTTAGCCTTATTTTAGTGTATGTTATAAACGTTTTTGTAAATACAACTTGATTTTTGGCGCGTTTTTCTTGCATCACCGCGCTGACGTCATCAGTAGTTTCCTTCCTCGTTCAGCGCGTTTGTTGTGTCTTCTGAGGTAAGTTCTGCAGGTCAGATATTTCGCGTATTTACACATCCATAAAATACACTTTACACGGTTGTTTCAGCAACATTTACGGGGTTTGTTTTCATTGTATAAAGCGCCAAATGTGCGTCTTTTCTGACGTACGTAGACTGATTTAGTTCGTCATGAAACGAACATCTGAGGAAAATGTTGAAATTCATTGAAACAGGAACAAATTTTTTTCCATAGATTTCATTTTTAGAGTAATAATGTTGGTGTTGAATGTGTGTGATCTCAAACTTTACATTTTGATTTGTGAGGGAATTTCATGAGGATAGAGACGTCGCTGTCTCGATGGACATAATCATTTATGCACGATTAATGACAGGATTCAGAAAACCCAAACTCCGATGTCGTTGTAATTTGAATGATAGTGTCAGATGTAAAAAGTGATATTATAATCTTTTGAATAAAGATGATTTATTATTATTTAATGGTATATTCTGACTCCGTCTGAGTGGCCTTTTTACCACAGACACACATTGCTAGAATAAGTGTAATACTGTCATATTTGTTTGTTTGTTTTTCTTTTCCTAATGCTCGCCCACATCAGTTCACAAATAGATTCTGGAATATTCACATAAGCATACAATATACCTCATTTGTAGAAATTATTTTATAAAAATGCATTAAAATTAGGATTTTTGTTTTCATATCAGGCCTGATGGAGAAAAATGAGGAGATTGGAGAGGAGAAACATCATGTCAAAACTGAAGAAAAAACTCCCTCACAGACTGAAAGTGTTTCTTCACTGAAAAGAGACAAGAAATATTTCATCTGCCATAAGTGTGGGAAGAGATTTACACAACAAGGACGCCTTAGGAATCACATGATCATCCACACTGGTGAGACACTGCATAAATGTGATCAATGTGGTAAATCATTTGTATTTGCTTCAGCCCTAAAGAGCCATCTCAGAGTTCATTCACAGGAGGAACCAATTTTATGTTCTTTGTGTGGAAAGAGTTTAAAACACAAACAGAGTCTTGTTTCTCACATGAAGATCCACACTGGAGAGAAACCGTTCACATGTGATCAGTGTGGGAAGAGTTTTAGACAATCATCAAACCTTTATGAACACATGAACACCCACACAGGAGAGAAACCATATGAATGTGATCAATGTGGCAAAACATTTTCATGGGCTACAGGCCTGAATACCCACATGTTAGTTCATTCACAGGAGAAACCACTTTCATGTTCTTTGTGTGGAAAAAGATTTGCATATTTGCAGAGTTTAAAACTTCATCAGAAAATACATTCTGGTGTAAAAGATCACAAGTGCTTTGAGTGTGGCAAGAGTTTTATTACCGGAGTGCGTCTGAGACAACACTGGCGGACTCACACTGGAGAGAAACCGTACAAGTGTTCACACTGCGACAAGAAATTTCGTCTTTCAGGACACGTGAAAACACACGAGAGGATCCACACTGGAGAGAAACCGTATCACTGCACTCCATGTGGGAAGAGTTTCACTCAAGTATCTTCTCTACACAGTCATATAAAATACAATCACAGGAAGTAGATCATCTTCAGATCCAGCACTATCAGGTCTAATGCTGTGAGGAAATAATACCGTCAAACAATGAAATCTCTTCAAAATCTGTCCTAACCAGCCCCAACGAGCGACAGGACAAAGAAACATCTAAATTAGTCTCAGTGAATAAAGTTAGTTTTCAAGACCAGCAGTTTCAACTGTGAGATAATTATTCTTGTATATCATTTTGCTTCATGGTAAATAAAGGTCATTATACTTTATTATGAGTTAAATGTATTGTAAAATGGTTATACGTTTATGAAGGAAGATACGGGTTTTTTTTTTACAGGTTCAAACTTTTTATTTTTCTTTCTTTTATAGAGAGATGATACATTTGTTTACACTTTGTATTTAGTTATATTTAAGGTATTAAAATATTGTGATTGCGTTGGGCTTTACATTTTTTTATATAACATTTAAATATCCGATATCTCACCCCACTCATGACTGAGATTGAATGGACTGCTGTGTGTCAACGTATGTAACCCCTTTTATTTTTGTTTAATATGTTTTATTGATGTTTCGCTGTTTTATACAGTATTTTGCGTGTTTTTGATAATCTACCGTTGATTTCGACTTGCGGTTATGACGTCATCAGCGGCGCGCGCTCCTTCAGTCAGTTGTGTCGAGTCTTCTGAGGTGAGCAGTACACGCTGTAAGTGTTATTATAAAATACTCTTTACGCAGTTTAAAGAACATTTAACGCGCCCATTTCTGAATTGTTTTCATCGTTTCCATTCCAGAAGATATCAGTTTCACATACAAAACGGTACGATGTTACCCAGATAGCAAGTCCATTTGATATAATGTTTACATCTCGAAGACGTATTTTTAAGAGTGTTTGCTCATCTGCAAAACGTCTATAGGACGTACGTTTCCTGTCAGATGTCATGTAGACGTTTATAAGATGTCAGTTTAACATGCATTCTAAATCATTACATCTTAAAGACATCTTCTAAACATCTCTTTGACATCTGACAGGAAACGTCCTGTAGACGTATTGCAGATGAGCAAACACTCTTTAAAATACGTCTTCCAGATGTAAACATTACATCAAATAGACTTGTGCTATCTGGATCTCTGTCTTATGAAAGTGAGAAATAACACTATTATCAGTGTTCAAGTAAAACCAGAACATGAACTTAGTTTTTTCCCCCATTAAAAGTATACAAAGTTTTTTCTTCTACAAATATTAGACGTTAAGCATCTCAGATCTGTTGACTGGAGCAATAAAGTTCTTGATTCATGAGTAGAGAGAGGACTTTATCCACAACAAATGCAAGATACACTTCTTTGTTCTATGGTTGTGTGGTACACCTGATTTACTCAGTTGTTAAAATGTTTGAGGTAGTTTTTAGTTAACTAGGTGGCAGACCGCAGTAAAGATAGCTTGCGGTATTCAGATTTCTTTTGGGTGTAAATCCACAGTGCACTGTTGTAGACATGCGATTTGTTTTCTTTCCTCAGGTCTGAAATCAGTGAGGTGAGGTTCATAATGACTTGATTTTACAACGTGTATAGCGTCAAACGTTGAACACTTTGAGACTTTTTATTGTCTGTTGATTCTACATGTGTTAAGAAATTATAATTTCATAATTTTGGGTAACTCTGAAAGGCATAACTGATTGCTTGGTCTTTCCATGTTTTAATGTATTTAAATAAAAGCTTTAAAACATTTTTTCACCCTACACATGACTGATATTGAATTATTGTTTACATTAACTTTTAGCGTTATTTTAGTGTATGTGTTATTGTAAAAATACAACTTGATTTTTGGCGCGTTTTTCTCTCATCACCGCGCTGACGTCATCATTAGTTTCCTTCCTCGTTCAGCGCGTTTGTGTCTTCTGAGGTAAGTTCTGCAGGTCAGATATTTCGCGTATTTACACATCTATAAAATACACTTTACACAGTTGTTTCAGCAACATTTACGGCGTTTGTTTTCATTGGATAAAGCGCCAAATGTGCGTCTTTTCTGGCGTGTGTACTGATTTCGTCATGAAACGAACATCTGAGGAATATGCTGAAATTCATTGAAACAGGAACGTTTTTTTCTCATACATTTCATTTTTAGAGCAATAATGTTGGTGTTGAATATGTGATCTCAAACTTCAAGTTTTGATTTCTGAGGGAATTTCATGAGGATAGAAATGTCGCTGTCTTGATGGACATAATCAGTTATGTTTGATTAATGACAGGATTCAGAAAACCCAAACTCTAAATATGGGTGTCACATTGTTGTTTTTACCACAGACACACAAATTTGCTAAAAAAAAAAAAAGTATAATACTGTTTCCTTTGTTTGTTTTTCTTTTCCTAATGCTCACCCACATAAGTTCACAAATAAATTCTGGAATATTCACATAAGCATACAATATACCTCATTTGTCGAAATTATTTTATAAAAATGCATTAAAATTAGGATTTTTGTTTTCATATCAGGCCTGATGGAGAAAAATGAGGAGAGTGAAGACGAGAAACATCATGTCAAAACTGAAGAAAAAACTTCCCTGCAGACTGAAAGTATTTCTTCACTGAAAATAGACAAGAAATATTTCATCTGCCATCAGTGTGGGAAGAGTTTCAAAAAACAAGGACGCCTTAAGAAGCACATGATCATCCACACTGGCGAGACACTGCATAAATGTGATCAATGTGGTAAATCATTTGTATGTGCTTCATCCCTAAAGAGCCATCTCAGAGTTCATTCACAGGAGGAACCAATTTTATGTTCTTTGTGTGGAAAGAGTTTAAAACGCATAGAGAGTCTTGAGCTTCACATGAGGATCCACACTGGAGAGAAACCGTTCACATGTGATCAGTGTGGGAAGAGTTTTAGACAATCATCAGGCCTTAAGGAACACATGAACATCCACACTGGAGAGAAACCGTACGATTGTGATGAATGTGGCAAAACATTTTCGAGTTCTTCAGGGCTATCGAGCCACGTGTTAGTTCATTCACAGGAGAAACCACATTCATGTTCTTTTTGTGGAAAGAGTTTTTCACGTATGCAGAATTTAAAACTTCATCAGAAAATACATACTGGCGAAAGAGATCATAAGTGCTTAGAGTGTGGGAAGAGTTTTATTACCGGAGTGCGTCTGAGACAACACTGGAGGACTCACACTGGAGAGAAACCGTACAAGTGTTCACACTGCGACAAGAAATTTCGTCTTTCAGGACACGTGAAATCACACGAGAGGATCCACACTGGAGAGAAACCGTATCACTGCACTCCATGTGGGAAGAGTTTCACTCAAGTATCTTCTCTACACAGTCATATAAAATACAATCACAGGAAGTAGATCATCTTCAGATCCGGCACTATCAGGTCTAATGCTGTGAGGAAATAATACCGTCAAACAATGAAATCTCTTCAAAATCTGTCCTAACCAGCCCCAACGAGCGACAGCCCAGCTAACAAAAAAAGGTCCCCAGAACGTCCCCTAAATGGCCTGTGCGAACGTCCCCCCGAACGTCCCCATGTGGAGTCCGCTTGATGTCCCGCGGACATTCGCGAAGACGTCCTCCGGACGTTCAAGAGGACGTTCCCAGGACCACCAGCGGCCATCCGGGACGTTTATGGGACTTTCGCGTTTAGTCCCCTGAATATCATTTTATTTTATTTTACTTCTGGCTAACCAAAGAAAACAGACGCGGTGTAAGGAACAAAGTACATTATTTATTTAAAACAATTGTAAAGGTGGCATTTCCGTGTGTGTGTGTCTTCAAATGCGCTGGCAGCTGTGTGTGTGTGTGTTTGTCGGTCAGCTGTGGGATTAATCCGATGGCAGTTCTCCCCCTTCGGCGTCTAACGTTACCTAAAACAACAAAATGAACATATTCCATTATGATTTTATCAATATGTGAAATGTTGTCTCATTTTCAGCTGTTAGCTTCGTAGCTGCTAGCTGCTACTCATATTAGCATATAACGGTTATCAGCGGTACATTGCGGACAACTTCAGCAAACGTTTTAAAAGGTAACATTTTCATATAATTTGAAGATGGACAGTGGTTATGGTGACTAATTTATAATAATATAATTAAAAATACCTTTTAGACAGACGACGGACAGAGGAAACACAAGGCTGCGTCTGAGAAGGACCGTTAACTGTCACTACGCTACCCAGCTGAGCGTTGCCATGGATACAAACCATAGACTGTGATACAAACCGCGTACATAAGGAATGACGTCACTCGCTTAGCCGCATTTGATTCTGATTTGATCGTCACTCGCTTGTTTCTCCAATGTTTTTTTTGTTTTGTGTTTTTGTTATTTGTTCTGTATGTGCTATCAGTCTTAAGTACAATAATAATTATAACAATATTTTTCCTAAAATAAATTATTTTTAATAAAACCAGTCACCTTCTCCTGACCAACGTTTGACAGGTAAATGTTTAGGATACTTTTATTTGTCTTACCTGTGTTATTATCCACTTTTCCATTCTTCACGTTTTCCTTGGCTGCATTCATCATTTGAAGTCGATGCATTAGAGCTCCTGGGATTCAATCTCTGTGCATGTGAATAGCCTTTATAAATTATAGCTCATATTCAATTGAATCAATTGTCATGTTTTTGATGTTTAAATTATAACGGGTGAAAACAGACTCGTGGTAGGCTATACATCTTTAATTAGTGATTAGAATTTACATGAAGTAACATGAACATTATCTTAACATTAAAACACTAACATTTTAGCATTAACTTAATTTTACAATCAATGCAAATATTTGCATTTTTTAGTTTAATTATTCGTTTGTCTGAGTTGTAAAGTTTCAGTTGATGATAGCAAACATGGGCGACTGGTTAAGTGTTGTCATGGAAATGCCAGGTGAGGGACGAAATAGGGACGTTCGCAAACTGGCCCGGACAAATGTCCTCAGAACGTCCGTCAGCGAACGTTATAGAATGGATCAATGCGAACGTCATCGGAATGTCCGCCAGCGAACGTTACAAAGCGGACCAAATGCGAACGTCATCGGAATGTCCGCCAGCGAACGTTACAAAGCGGACCAAATGCGAACGTCATCGGAATGTCCGTCCGCGAACGTTACAAAGGGGACCAAATGCGAACGTCATCGGAATGTCCGTCAGCGAACGTTACAAAGGGGACCAAGTGCGGACGTCCTCCGAACGTCCGCTAGGGAACGTTACAAAGCGGACCTAATGCGGACCTAAGGGGACGTTTGAAAAGTCCAGGGGACGTCCCTTGTTTGTAGGGAGGACAAAGAAACATCTAAATTAGTAGCAGTGAATAAAGTTAGTCTTCAAGACCAGCAGTTTTAACTGTGAGATAATTATTCTTGTATATCATTTTGCTTCATGGTAAATAAAGGTCATTATACTTTATTATGAGTTAAATGTATTGTAAAATGGTTATACGTTTATGAAGGAAGATAAGGTTGTTTTTTTTACAGGTTCAAACTTTTTATTTTTCTTTCTTTTATAGAGAGATGATACATTTGTTTACACTGTGTATTTAGTTATATTTAAGGTATTAAAATATCGCGATTGCGTTGCGGCTTTACATTTTTTTTAATAACATTTAAATATCCGATATTTCACCCCACTCATGACTGATTGAATGGACTGCTGTGTGTCAACGTATGTAACCCCTTTTATTTTTGTTTAATATGTTTTATTGATGTTTCGCTGTTTTATACAGTATTTTGCGTGTTTTTGATAATCTACCGTTGATTTCGACTCGCGGTTATGACGTCATCAGCGGCGCGCGCTCCTTCAGTCAGTTGTGTCGAGTCTTCTGAGGTGAGCAGTACACGCTGTAAGTGTTATTATAAAATACTCTTTACGCAGTTTAAAGAACATTTAACGCGCCCATTTCTGAATTGTTTTCATCGTTTCTATTCCAGAAGATATCAGTTTCACATACAATACGGTACGATGTTACCCAGATAGCACAAGTCCATTTGATATAATGTTTACATCTGGAAGACGTATTTTTAAGAGTGTTTGCTCATCTGCAAACGGACGTTTCCTGTCAGATGTCATATAGACGTTTATAAGATGTCAGTTTAACATGCATTCTAAATCATTACATCTTAAAGACATCTTCTAAACATCTCTTTGACATCTGACAGGAAACGTCCTGTAGACGTATTGCAGATGAGCAAACACTCTTTAAAATACGTCTTCCAGATGTAAACATTACATCAAATAGACTTGTGCTATCTGGATCTCTGTCTCATGAAAGTGAGAAATAACACTATTATCAGTGTTCAAGGAAAACCAGAACATGAACTTAGTTTTTTTTTTCTCCCCATTAAAAGTATAGAAAGTTTTTTCTTCTACAAATATTAGACGTTAAGCATCTCAGATCTGTTGACTGGAGCAATAAAGTTCTTGATTCGTGAGTAGAGAGAGGACTTTATCCACAACAAATGCAAGATATAATTCTTCTTTGTTCTATGGTTGTTTGGTACACCTGATTTACTCAGGTCAGATGTTAAAATGTTTGAGGTAGTTTTTGTTATCTTAAGCAATGTTGGTTAACTAGATGGCAGACCACAGTAAAGATAGCTTGCGGTTTGATATTCAGATTTCTTTTGGGTGTAAATCCACAGTGTAGACATGCGATTTGTTTTCTTTCCTCAGGTCTGAAATCAGTGAGGTGGGGTTCATAATGACTTTTTACAACGTGTATAGCGTCAAACGTTGAACACTTAGAGACTTTTTATTGTCTGTTGATTCTTGTGTTAAGAAATTATAGTTTCATAATTTTGGGTTACTCTGAAAGCCATAACTGATTGCTTGGTCTTTCCATGTTTTAATGTATAAAACCTTTAAAACATTTTTTCACCCTACACATGACTGATATTGAATTTTTGTTTACATTAACTTTTAGCGTTATTTTAGTGTATGTTATGTTATTGTAAAAATACAACTTGATTTTTGGCGCGTTTTTCTCTCATCATCGCGCTGACGTCATCATTAGTTTCCTTCCTCGTTCAGCGCGTTTGTGTCTTCTGAGGTAAGTTCTGCAGGTCAGATATTTCGCGTATTTACACATCTATAAAATACACTTTACACAGTTGTTTCAGCAACATTTACGGCGTTTGTTTTCATTGGATAAAGCGCCAAATGTGCGTCTTTTCTGGCGTGTGTACTGATTTAGTTCGTCATGAGAACATCTGAGGAAAATGTTGAAATTCATTGAAACAGGAACGATTTTTTTTCATTGATTTCATTTTTAGAGCAATAATGTTGGTGTTGAATATGTGATCTCGAACTTTAAGTTTTGATTTGTGAGGGAATTTCACGAGGATAGAAATCGCTGTCTTGATGCACAATCAGTTATGCACGATTAATGACAGGATTCAGAAAACCCAAACTCTAAATATGAGTGTCACATTGTTGTTTTTACCACAGACACACAAATTTGCTAAAAAAAGAAAAAAAAAAAGAAAAAGTATACTGTTTGTTTTGTTTGTTTGTTTTTCTTTTCCTAATGCTCGCCCACCTCAGTTCACAAATAAATTCTGGAATATTCACATAAGCATACAATATACCTCATTTGTCGAAATTATTTTATAAAAATGCATTAAAATTAGGATTTTTGTTTTCATATCAGGCCTGATGGAGAAAAATGAGGAGATTGGAGAGGAGAAACATCATGTCAAAACTGAAGAAAAAACTTCCCTGCAGACTGAAAGTATTTCTTCACTGAAAAGAGACAAGAAATATTTCATCTGCCATCAGTGTGGGAAGAGTTTCAAAAAACAAGGACGCCTTAAGAAGCACATGATCATCCACACTGGCGAGACACAGCATAAATGTGATCAATGTGGTAAATCATTTGTATGCGCTTCAGCCCTAAAGAGCCATCTCAGAGTTCATTCACAGGAGGAACCAATTTTATGTTCTTTGTGTGGAAAGAGTTTAAAACACAAACTGAGTCTTGAGCTTCACATGAGGATCCACACTGGAGAGAAACCGTTCACATGTGATCAGTGTGGGAAGAGTTTTAGACAATCATCAGGCCTTAAGGAACACATGAACATCCACACTGGAGAGAAACCATACGAATGTGGTCAATGTGGCAAAACATTTTCGAGGGCTTCAGGCCTGAATACCCACATGTTAGTTCATTCACAGGAGAAACCACATTTATGTTCTTTTTGTGGAAAGAGTTTTTCACGTCTGCAGAATTTAAAACTTCATCAGAAAATACATACTGGCGAAAGAGATCATAAGTGCTTAGAGTGTGGGAAGAGTTTTATTACCGGAGTGCGTCTGAGACAACACTGGAGGACTCACACTGGAGAGAAACCGTACAAGTGTTCACACTGCGACAAGAAATTTCGTCGGTCAGGACACGTGAAAACACACGAGAGGATCCACACTGGAGAGAAACCGTATCACTGCACTCCATGTGGGAAGAGTTTCACTCAAGTATCTTCTCTACACAGTCATATAAAATACAATCACAGGAAGTAGTTCATCTTCAGATCCAGCACTATCAGGTCTAATGCTGTGAGGAAATAATACCGTCAAACAATGAAATCTCTTCAAAATCTGTCCTAACCAGCCCCAACGAGCGACAGGACAAAGAAACATCTAAATTAGTCTCAGTGAATAAAGTTAGTCTTCAAGACCAGCAGTTTCAACTGTGAGATAATTATTCTTGTATATAATTTTGCTTCATGGTATATATAAATACCATTATGAGTTAAATATTATGTAAAATGTTTGTGTATACTTTTATGATGGTTTTTTTTTTTTTTTTTTTTTTACAGGTTCAAACTTTTCTTGCTATTTTTCTTTTGTAGAGAGATGTCACATTTGTTTACACTTTGTATTTTCATTGTTACTTTTTTTGTCTGGTGAAAAAGACAAATAAACCTTTGATTGTTCTTTAATCGTCTTGTACTTCTTCAGAAATAAGACATACTGAGTTCAGTTTAGGTTTTGAACAGTTGCAATTAATTATTCTGTATATAAAGTTAAACATTCCCTGATTACTTTTTCTGTTGCAACTTTTGAACCAGACATCTTTATTTATTTTTATCAATGAACTTTAAAAACACTGAAATTAAATAATATTGAGAATCAAATCTCCTTTATAGTTCCTGACAAACTTTTTAATTATTATTTTTCTTATTACTTTGGTTACAGGGTTGATAAATGCTGTCAATATTGCTATTATTATTATTTTTTATATAGCCATTGACTACTTGCACTTGTAAGGATTTATTAAAATGTAGTTCAATTTCTGATGTGATGCTGGGGAATAAACTGTCTGAGAAATTATTTTTCACCCTACACATGACGTTGACATATTGTTTACTTTAACATTTAGAGTTATTTTAGTGTATGTTTGTTATAATATTTTGTATGAATTGTTCTTTTGAAAGAATTGGCGCGTTTATCCTGCATCACCGCGCTGACGTCATCAGTAGTTTCCTTCCTCGTTCAGCACGTTTGTTGTGTCTTCTGAGGTAAGTTCTGCAGGTCAGATATTTCGCGTATTTACACACCCATAAAATATGTATTACACCGTTTGTTTCAGCAACATTTACGGGCTTATTTCTAAGTTGTTTTAATCGGATAAAGCGCCAAATGTGCGTCTTTTCTGGCGTCTGTTGACTGATTTAGTTCAGCACGAAACGAACATCTTTGGAAAATGCTGAAATCATTCAATCATTTTTAGGATAATTATGTTAGTGTTATTGAATGTATGTGATCTCAAACTTTAAGTTTCGATCTGTGAGGGAATTTCATGTGGATATAAAAATGTATGCTTTCCTGGTATAATAATGTGGCAATAAATTAATGATGGACATAATCAGTTGCGGTTAATGACTGGAATCTATAAAAATGTGTGTCGCATTGTTTTAATTTGTTTGTTCGTGTCAGATGTGAAAAGTAATACTATAATCTTTTAAATATAGGTGATTTACTATTATTTAAGTTTATATTCGGACTCCATCATCTGAGTGGTATTTTAACCACAGACACCCAGAATTACTAAAGAATGCAGTATAATGGAGCATAATTTATTTTTTAGTGGAGTTATCATTATTTTCCCAACACTCACATCAGTTCACAAATAAATTCCGGAATATTCCCATAAGCATACGGTATACCTCATGTCATGTGTAGAATTTTTTTTATATTGAAATGCATTAAAATTGTTATTTTTATATTTATTTCAGGCCTGATGCAGGAAAATGAGAGTGAAGAGGAGAAACATCATGTCAAAACTGAAGAAAAAACTTCCCCGCAGACTGAAAGTATTTCTTCACTGAAAAGAGACAAGAAATATTTCATCTGCCATCAGTGTGGGAAGAGTTTCACACAACAAGAACACCTTAAGAATCACATGATCATCCACACTGGCGAGACACAGCATAAATGTGATCAATGTGGTAAATCATTTTTGTGGGCTTCATCCCTAAAGAGCCATCTCAGAGTTCATTCACAGGAGAAACCACATTCATGTTCTTTGTGTGGAAAGAGTTTAAAATACAAAAATAGTCTTGAGCTTCACATGAGGATCCACTCTGGAGAGAAACCGTTCACATGTGATCAGTGTGGGAAGAGTTTTAGACAATCATCAAACCTTCAGGAACACATGAACATCCACACTGGAGAAAAGCAGCACGAATGTGATCAATGTGGCAGAATATTTTCGAGGGCTACAGGCCTGAAGAGCCACATGTTAGTTCATTCACAGGAGAAACCACATTCATGTTCTTTGTGTGGAAAGAGTTTTTCACATCTGCACAATTTAAAACTTCATCAGAAAACACATACTGGTGTAAAAGATCATAAGTGCTTTGAGTGTGGGAAGAGTTTTATTACAACTGAACGTTTGAAACTACACTGGCGGACTCACACTGGAGAGAAACCGTACAAGTGTTCACACTGCGACAAGAGATTTCGTCGGTCAGGACACGTGAAAACACACGAGAGGATCCACACTGGAGAGAAACCGTATCACTGCACTCCATGTGGGAAGAGTTTCACTCAAGTATCTTCTCTACGCAGTCATATAAAATACAATCACAGGAAGTAGATCATCTTCAGATAATACGTCAAGCAATAATATCTCTTCAGTATAAATCTGCCCTAACCAGCCAATGTGACTGACACATGATCTAAATTTGTCACAGTGAATTAAAATTCATCTTCAAGACCAGTGGTTTCAACTGTGAGATTTACATCGACTCAAAGAGTTCCTCCCTAAAGACCATTAGACTTTATATTCTTGAATATCATTTTGCTTTATTGTATAAATAAATATCATTATACTTTATTATACATTAAATATTGTGTTATTTTTTTATGATATATAAGTTGTAGTTGGTTTGACACTTTTGAAGGAAAATATTATTTTTAACAGGCAAGGCAAGTTTATTTATATAGCACATTTCATACACAATGGCAATTCAAAGTGCTTTACATAGAAGAAATTAAAATAATCAAAAGAAATCAGAATAATTAAAACAGTTTAGAATAAAAAAATAAGAAATAATGAAAAAGAAAAATTATGATAAAAATAAAATACAGTAAATTAAAACTATTTAGAATAAAATGAAGTGCAGTAACAGTCGGACGAACAGTGGCACAGTGCTCATATTCAGTAAATGCACAGCTAAACATACAACAGGTTCAAACTGTTGTATTAAACTGTTATTTTTTATTTTTTTATTTTTTTGTAGATCCATCTAATTTAATTAGATTTTGTATTTGCTCCACCAGTTAACAGTAATATATTGTCTACTCATTAATATATTAGTTACATTTATATATTGTGATTGCTTTGGCTTTAATTTTCTCGATAAAGCTTTTAAATGCCTATAACATTTTTTAAACCACATATCACTGCTGTCTGTCTACATCAGTAACTGTTTTACACTCATTTTTGTTTTATGTTTTTTTTTTATTCAGGTATTTTATACATTTTTTGGTCTGCCGTTGATCTCGTCTCGCGGTGATGACGTCATCATTCGCGCGCTCCCTTCGTCCTATTCTTCTGAGGTAAACTACACGCGATCAAATAATTGTTAAAACTCTACACAGTTTAAAGTACACGGCTGTTTCCGAATTTATCCTATGATGTACACCGCTCTTCTTGTGTCAGGTAACTAAAACACTTGATGAAGAAATGTATTTCTCACATACAACACGGTAAGATGCTAGCGAACGGTAACTAGGAAATCGAACTATATTTAGATTCAGATCGGCGAATAACAATCTTTGATAAAGATGGGTGTAATTTAACGTCTGTTTTTATATTCCTGCAATCTTACTGTATAAATTAAGAAATAATACAATTAGAGCACTTTTGGGCTTTCAGCATTTATTCTGACTGTAACAATCTGTTTCTAGCAGCAAATACTTATAATAAAGTGAGATGATCTGCTGCTGATCCTGAATGGCTTGTCGAATGAGTGTTGTTAGTCTAGGGATCATCACTATTATCAGAGCAGCTGAAAACCAATTTATTTCATGTCAAGATCCTGTTTTCATTTATGCTGATGTCTTTCTGTAAATTGCCACATTAAGCTCATTTTATTGTCAACAGACTTGAACAAACGACACGATTTGCTATTTTGATCATCTACTAGAAATATCCCGGGTAAGTCTCATAATAGCATTTATTCAATCTTTGATGAACCATGTTCCATATAAAATCAAATAGTTATGTCAGACTCAATTTTTGGGTCATTTGTTTCTTTCACATTTGTTATTTTTAATCCTTTTTTCTTATTTATATTTGGTATCTGTATTCTGTTCATTGTTGTACTTTTTATATTATTCTTTGCCAATATGTTAATGAGTGGTAAGATCCTAGGAATAAAGTATTTGGGTGAAATTTCTTAAAAATAAAAGGGGTATAATTTTTGTATTCATAAAAACACTTTCCCCTGGTTTCACAGAAATAGCATAAGCCTAGTCCCAGACTAAAATGCATTATTGAGCTGTTTTAACTGAAAACAACTTGAACTGACATCTTAAAATATGTCAATGAGTGCCATCGTTTTGTCTCAAGACAAAAACCCACACTTAAGTAAATATTTTTTCCAATATTCCAGTAAGTAACTACCGTTTCTCTTTTTACGCTCCACTTCATCAGCTAAACAATTTAACGGTCGTATTAGCTCTGCCGTCACCATTCACCAACACCTAACATAGCCATAACATGTTATGTTTACCTGTTGCCGAGCCCCGCCTTGATGCAGTGATTGACAGGCCAGGAGGGGGCGTGATTGGCTCGGAATGCATTTTTATTGTGCACATTGAGTTTTGCTACATTCATTGCGGGACATTTCACGAAAATGCAATCACAAGTGTCGTGACTGTGAGTGTAAATGCAATTAAGAAAAATGCCATTTGAATGATCATTTTGCCGCAGTTTTTGCTTGAACATATTACACATATCTAATCATATAATGCATTTTTATTTTTATTTTGCCACTTGTAAAGCGTCTCAATATGCATATTAAAACGAGTGTATGAAATGGCAAATGTAAATTATGTTAATTTCATTTTAATTTTGCCTAAAACGTTGCTGGTAAGGTAATGTAAAATGTACGTTTTTTAATACAGAATGCAATGCCATTTTACATATTGCATTGTTATTTTACATATTACATTTCAAATTGAATATGGCTACCCATATGCTTCCATACCCATGAAATATATTTTACAGTTTCAGCAACATTTACAGGGCTATTGCTGAATTGTTTTCATTGGATAAAGTGTGCGTCTTTTCTGCCGTCTGTAGACTGATTTAGTTCAGCGCAAGATGAACGCGAGGAAAATGTTAAAATAATTCAAGCATGGACGTTTTTGCTAAAATGTTTTAAAAAACATTGTTGTATTTTGTATGTTTGTGTCAGATGTGATATGAAATACTATAATATTTTATAATAGATGATTTATAATATTTAAGGTATTCTGACGGTCTGAACTCAAACATTTTATTTTTAACACAGAGACCCAAAATTACCTCAGAATAACTATAATGCCCAAAGATTAGAGTGCAAATATGCACAATATTTTGTACGTATGAATGAAATGCACTGCAACTTCCTAGTTTTTAACAGTATTGTTCTTTTCATAATGCTCACATCAGTTGACAAATAAATGATAGAATATTCCCATCAGCCTTCAATATACCTCATTTGTGCAATTCAATTACAAAAATGCATTAAAATTATGATTTTATTTTCATTTCAGGTGCAATGGAGGAAAATGAGGAGATTGGAGAGGAGAAACATCATGTCAAAACTGAAGAACAAACTCCCCCACAGACTGAAAGTATTTCTTTGAAGAAAATAGACAAGAAATATTTCATCTGCCATAAGTGTCCGAGTTGTTTCACACGACAAGAAGACCTTCAGGAACACGAGATCATCCACACTATTGAGAAAGTGCATGAATGTGATGAATGTGGCAAAACATTTGATTGTGCTTCAGCCCTAAAGAGCCATCTCAGAGTTCATTCACAGGAGAAACCACTTTTATGTTCTTTGTGTGGAAAGAGTTTAAAACACAAACAAAGTCTCGAGCTTCACATGAAGATCCACACTGGAGAGAAACCGTTCACATGTGATCAGTGTGGGATGGGTTTTAGACAATCATCAAACCTTAAGACACACATGAACACCCACACTGGAGAGAAACCGTACAAATGTGGTCAATGTGGCAAAACATTTTCGAGGTCTACAGGCCTAAATGCCCACATGTTAGTTCATTCACAGGACAAACCACATTCATGTTCTTTGTGTGGAAAGAGTTTTTCACGTCTACCGGACTTAAAACTTCATCAGAAAATACATTCTGGTGTAAAAGATCACAAGTGCTTTGAGTGTGGGAAGAGTTTTATTACCGCTATAGTTTTGAAACTACACTGGCGGACTCACACTGGAGAGAAACCGTACAAGTGTTCACACTGCGACAAGAGATTTCGTCGGTCTGAACACGTGAAAACACACGAGAGGATCCACACTGGAGAGAAACCGTATCACTGCACTCCATGTGGGAAGAGTTTCACTCAAGTATCTTCTCTACGCAGTCATATAAAATACAATCACAGGAAGTAGTTCATCTTCAGATCCAGCACTATCAGGGGCCCGTTTCAATAAGGAGGTTCAACCAACTCTGAGTTAAATCTTGAACTCTGAGTTGACTTGCCCTGAGATTTCAGAACAGCTGAAATGAGTTAGTTCAATCAACTCTGAGTCGACTGACTCTGAGTTAAGCGCGTGCACCACATTTATAAAAAGCCATTATCAATGGAGCGCAGATATTATGAGTCACCATGGCAACAGCGTCAGACAAAAAGAGGTGTTGGGTGTAATTAATTACCAAGTAATCTAAATATTGTAATTTAATTAAATGGATTACTCTTAATTCTTCTGTAATTTAAAATAAAATATGATGCAATTACATTTACATGTATTCAAGTCAGCTCTGAAAACGCATCTTTTCTCTCAGGCCTACTCATAACTGCGGATCTGCATCCGTAGTGAGTCAAAATTTCACATGTAATTTGTACAATGTCTGTTTTTTATTATGTTTTTATCATGCCTCTGTGAAGCACCTTGGTCAGCAGAAATGCTGTTTTAAGGTGCTATATAAATAAAAGTGACCTTGACCTTGACATTAAATAGTCTACTGCATAAACTATAGACCAATTCAGTATGAAACAATAGTGGATTTAACATACATTTTTAAAATGTGTATTTTTTATGTAACCTTCTCCCTCTACACACTTTAATCAATTCAAGAATAATTCATGTAATTGTATATTGTTAATTTGAAAGCATTAAAAGTGTAGTTTCTTGTCTCTCCTCCTTGTATTGTTCAAGTGGTTGAGGTTGATATAGGATTTAGTAATTAGTATTATGTAGATCAATACTTTCTAGAGATAGTAATTATTTCATTAATCTAACTACACCGTTGAAGATGTCATTTTTTTGTTAATAATTCATAACTATTTTAGAGTTTTATAATATCAGAGGTGAAACCTGAAGAATGTTATTCAACCTAAAGTAGGCTATACTATTACAGACCATTATCACACCCAAGGCGTCACATGACTGACGCCTTGGGAAGCATTTTGACCATGCGTCAATATTCGACGCTTTAGGCGCCCTTTATCATCAGTTATATGACGCCCTAGGATCGCAATCGTGTGATTGTGGGAAATCAAGAAAACTTGAGATTTAAATGATAATACTAACAGTGTTGAGTATAACAATGATTCATTTTCTGTCGACAAGGTAGGGTGAAAACTTATGTAAATCACATTAAAATATACTTTGGGCTTCACATTTCTCGATAAAGATATCTTCGATATCTTTCACCCCACATGCTGTCTGTCTTCATCAGTAACTGTTTTCCCCTTATTTTTGTTTTATATAGATATTTATAAAATTTTTGGTGTTTTAATAGTCTGCCGTTGATCTCGTCTCGCGGTGATGACGTCATCATTCGCGCGCTTCCCCAGTCCCTTCATCCTATTCTTCTGAGGTAAACACTACACCCGATCAAGTAATTGTTAAATACTCTACACAGTTTAAAGTACATTTACACGGCTGTTTCTGAATGCCATAATGTACACCGCTCTTCGTGTGTCTGATAACTAAAACACTTTAAGAAGACGAAATGTATTTCCCACATACAAAACGGTATGCTGCTAGCGAACGGTAACTTAGGAAATCGAACTATATTCAGATCGGCGAATTACAATCTTTGATAAAGATGGGTGTAAGTAATATCTGTCTTTATATTCTTTCGATGTTACTGTATAAATTGAGGGATAATAGTTAAATACTAGAGCACTTTTAGGCTTTCAGCATTTATTCTGTAATAATCTGTTTCTAGCAGCAACTTATAATAAAGTGAGATGATCTGCTGCTGATCCTGAATGGCTTGTCGAATGAGTGTTGTTAGTCTATGGATCATCACTATTATCAGAGCAGCTGAAAACCAATTTATTCCATGTCAATAGATCCTGTTTTCACTTATGCTGATGTCTTTAGATCTGTAAATTGCCACATTAAGCTAATTTTATTGTCAACAGACTTGAATAAACGACACAATCTGCTGTTTTGATCATCTACTAGAAAAAGCCCAGGTAAGTCTCATAATAGCATTTATTCAATCTTAAAATCAATCCATATAAAATCAAATAGTTATGTCAGACTCAATTGTTGAGTCATTTGTTTCTTTCACATTTGTTTTTCTACGTTTATTTTCTCTTTTTTCTTATTCATATTTGTTATCTTTATTCTGTTCATTGTTGTACTTTTTATATTATTCTTTGCCACTATGTTAATGAGAGGTAAGATCCTAGGAATAAAGTAATTTCTTAAAAATAAAAAGGGGTATAATTTGCGAATTCATAAAAACACTTTCGCCTGGTTTAACAGAAATAGCATAAGCCTAGTCCCAGACTAAAATGCATTATTGAACTGACATCTTAAAATATGTTCATGAGTGCCATTGTTGTCTCAAGATGCGGATCAGTAATGTTTTTTTTAAAGGGCCTCTACAAAAACCCACAATTATACCTAAAACAAAGCGGAGGTCTCTCCATAATTCAAACGCTTTGATCCGTGTTTTCATCCGAAGTTGATCCGATTCACATTTTTCACAAGCTGATAAAACGTTTAATTTTTATTTTTTATATTTATGTGGAGTTTGTGTTTGGAGTTTGTGAAATTCTGCCTCCAGCACAACAGACTGAAATCCGCAGATGGATTTCGTGATAAATCCGACCCGGAGACTTAACATAGAAATATGAATACTGGCCTTCAGAGGTAATATCAAAACCCGACAAGTGGATAATTGTAATGTGTGATTACAACCCCTTCACACACAGGCAATAAATTTGTGAAAATCAATTAAAAAAAAAATGCATTAAAATTATGATTTATTTTCATTTTAGGCGCAATGGAGGAAAATGAGGAGATTGGAGAGGAGAAACATCATGTCAAAACTGAAGAACAAACTCCCTCACAGACTGAAAGTATTTCTTTGAAGAAAATAGACAAGAAATATTTCATCTGCCATAAGTGTCCGAGTTGTTTCACACGACAAGAAGACCTTCAGGAACACGCGATCATCCACACTATTGAGAAAGTGCATGAATGTGATCAGTGTGACAAAACATTTGATTGTGCTTCAGCCCTAAAGAGCCATCTCAGAGTTCATTCACAGGAGAAACCATATTCATGTTCTTTGTGTGGAAAGAGTTTAAAACACAAACAAAGTCTCGAGATTCACATGAGGATCCACACTGGAGAGAAACCGTTCACATGTGATCAGTGTGGGATGGGTTTTACACAATCATCAAACCTTAAGGAACACATGAACACCCACACTGGAGAGAAACCATACGAATGTGATCAATGTGGCAAAACATTTTCGAGGTCTACAGGCCTGAAGAGCCACATGTTCGTTCATTCACAGGAGAAACCACATTCATGTTCTTTGTGTGAAAAGAGATTTTCACGTATTCAAAGTTTAAAATTTCATCAGAAAATACATTCTGGTGTAAGAGATCATAAGTGCTTTGAGTGTGGGAAGTGTTTTATTAACTCTATACGTCTGAAACAACACTGGCGGACTCACACTGGAGAGAAACCGTACAAGTGTTCACACTGCGACAAGAGATTTCGTCTTTCAGGACACGTGAAATCACACGAGAGGATCCACACTGGAGAGAAACCGTATCACTGCACTCCATGTGGGAAGAGTTTCACTCAAGTATCTTCTCTACACAGTCATATAAAATACAATCACAGGAAGTAGTTCATATTCAGATCCAGCACTATCAGGTCTAATGTTGTGTCCTCACCAAACGTCACAATAATACCGTCAAACAATAATATCTCTTCAGTATAAATCTGCCCTAACCAGTGGTTTCAACTGTGAGATTCACATCAACTCAAAGATGGAGTTCCTTCCTAAAGACAATCTGGACTTTTTATTCTTGAATATAATTTGCTTTGTGGTATAAATAAATATCATTTTACTTTATTATAAGTAAAATATTATGTTAGTTTTTTTTTATATCAATGCACTAGTATGAAGGAAAATAGTTTTAACAGGCTCAAACTGTTTATTAAACTGTTTGTGTTATTCTTTTTTCTTTTTTTGTGTAGATCCGTCTAATTTAATTACATTTTGTATTATTTTATTGTCCATTTATCTATTGTCTACTTATAATTCTTGCATCAAAAACAGCTAATTTAATCATTTTAGGTACATTTAAAATTCATTAAAACATTGTGATTGCTTTGGGCTTTAATTTTCTCGATAAAGCTTTTAAATGCCTATAACATCTTTCACCCCACATATGACTGCTGTCTGCCTACATCAGTAACTGTTTTACACTTATTTTTGTTTTATGTTTTTATATACAGATATTTTATACAGTTTTTAATAATCCTCCGTTCGTCCGTTGATCTCGTCTCGCGGTGATGACGTCATAATTCGCGCGCTCCCATCCTATTTTTCTGAGGTAAACACTTCACGCGATCAAATAATTGTTAAATACTCTTTTAACACGGTTTAAAGTACATTTACACGGCTGTTTCTGAATGGCTTTTATAATGTACACCGCTCTTCGTCTGTTAACTAAAACACTTTAAGACGACGAAATGTATTTCTCATTCAAAACGATAAGCGGCTAGCGAACGGTAAATCGAACTATATTTAGATTCATGTCGGCGAATTACAATGTCTTTATATTCCTGCGATATTACTGTATAATTTGAAAGATAATAGTTAAATAGAGCGCTTTCAGCATTTTGCTCTGACTGTAAAAATCTGTTTCTTGCAGCAAATACTTATAATAAAGTGAGATGATCTGCTGCTGATCCTGAATGTCTTGTCGAATGAGTGTTGATAGTCTAGGGATCATCACTATTATCAGAGCAGCTGAAAAGCCTCTTTATTTCATGTCAATAGATCCTGTTTTCACTGCATTCATTATTCTGATGTCTTCAGATCTGTAAATTGCCACATTTAGCTCGTTTTATTGTCAACAGACTTGAACAAACGACAAGATCTGCTATTTTGATCATCTACTAGAAAAAGCCCAGGTAAGTCTCATAATAGCATTTATTCAATCTTTGATGAACCATGTTCCATATAAAAACAAATAGTTATGTCAGACTCAATTGTTGGGTCATTTGTTTCTTTCACATTTTTGTTTTCTTCTAAGTTTATTTTCTCTTTTTTTTTCTTATTTGCTATCTGTATTATGTGCATTGTTGTACTTTTTCTGTAACATATGTTAATGAGAGGTAAGATCCTAGGAAAAAATATTTGGATGAAATTTCTTGAAAATAAAAAAGGTATAATTTGTGAATTCATAAAAACACTTTCACCTGGTTTCACAGAAATTGCATAAGCCTAGTCCCAGACTAAAATGCATTATTGAACTGACATCTATATGTAATAGTATAATATTTTATAATAGATGATTTATAATATTTAAGGTATTCTGACGGTCTGAACTCAAACATTTTCTTTTTAACACAGAGACCCAAAATTACCTCTGAATAACTATAATTCCCAAAGTTTATAATATGCACAACATTGTGAACATATGAATGCAGCTTCCTAGTTTTTAACAGTATTGTTCTTTTCATAATGCTCACATCAGTTGACAAATAAATGATAGAATATTCCCATCAGCCTTCAATATACCTCATTTGTGAAAATCAAGTAAAAAATGCAATAAAATTATGATTTTATTTTCATTTCAGGCGCAATGGAGGAAATTGAGGAGATTGGAGAGGAGAAACATCATGTCAAAACTGAAGAACAAACTCCCCCACAGACTGAAAGTATTTCTTTGAAAAAAATAGACAAGAAATATTTCATCTGCCATAAGTGTCTGAGTTGTTTCACACGACAAGAAGATCTTCAGGAACACGAGATCATCCACACTATTGAGAAAGTGCATCAATGTGATCACTGTTGGAGAATTTTTTCATGTGCTTCATCCCTAAAGAGCCATCTCAGAGTTCATTCACAGGAGGAACGACTTTTATGTTCTTTGTGTGGAAAGAGTTTAAAACACAAACAAAGTCTTGTTTCTCACATGAAGATCCACACTGGAGAGAAACCGTTCACATGTGATCAGTGTGGGAAGAGTTTTAGACAATCGTCAAACCTTCAGGAACACATGAACACCCACACTGGAGAGAAACCATACGAATGTGATGAATGTGGCAAAACATTTTCGAGGGCTACAGGCCTGGATACCCACATGTTAGTTCATTCACAGGAGAAACCACATTTATGTTCTTTGTGTGGAAAGAGTTTTTCACGTCTGCAGAGTTTCAAATTTCATCAGAAAATACATTCTGGTGTAAAAGATCATAAGTGCTTAGAGTGTGGGAAGAGTTTTATTACCGCTACACGTTTGAAACAACACTGGAGGATTCACACTGGAGAGAAACCGTACAAGTGTTCACACTGCGACAAGAGATTTCGTCTTTCAGGACACGTGAAAACACACGAGAGGATCCACACTGGAGAGAAACCGTATCACTGCACTCCATGTGGGAAGAGTTTCACTCAAGTATCTTCTCTACACAGTCATATAAAATACAATCACAGGAAGTAGTTCATCTTCAGATCCGGCACTATCAGGTCTAATGCTGTGAGGAAATAATACCGTCAAACAATGAAATCTCTTCAAAATCTGTCCTAACCAGCCCCAACGAGCGACAGGACAAAGAAACATCTAAATTAGTCTCAGTGAATAAAGTTAGTCTTCAAGACCAGCAGTTTCAACTGTGAGATAATTATTCTTGTATATCATTTTGCTTCATGGTATATATAAATATCATTATACTTTATTATGAGTTAAATGTTATGTAAAATGTTTATACTTTTATGAAGGAATTTAGGTTAAAACTTTTCTTGTTATTTTCTTTTGTAGAGAGATGTCACATTTGTTTACACTTTGTATTTTCATTGTTATTTTTCATTGTTAATTTTTTTGTCTGGTGAAAAAGACAAATAAACATTTGATTCTTCTTTAATTGTCTTGTACTTCTTCAGAAATACTATTTGCAATTAATTATTCTGACAGCTAATGATTTTGACTAAGTTGACAGACCAAGTTAAACTTTAGCTATAGCGTGAGCCTGAAGGTAATTAGGAATAATAAATAAAATTGGCCAAATTCACTAAGTATTCCTTGATCTAATTCACTATTATTTCAATAGCAATGAAATACAAATTAACACACCGGGTTTCACGTTCCGTTGAGAGAATTTATTATGTTTATAAGCCGCTTCTTTCGTTAATTCATATGTTCGGTAACGCTGCACAGTTTTACATGGTTAAAAAGCATTTCGAGAGCCGGTGCCTGCGCGCGATCCAGTTCTTTGTGTTTCGACAGCCAAAGAACCGGTTCTCGGCCGGGAAAACTGGTTCCAAAGCGGCACCAACTCTTTGCTGGACTAGAACCGTTCTTTTACCACGTCGGGGGCTTGGCCGGGTTTAGATGTGTTTAAACATCTTTTCTGACCATAATAAAGGATCGCAAAGCCAGGAGAAACATTTGCAGAAACACGATGGAGTCCGCCTTTGTAATTGTTATGCTTGAAGTTGGCGCAAACGTTTCTATTTTTTTTTATTAAAGCAAAGAAGAAAAACAGTCAAAATATTGAACAAATAAATGGAAAGAAAAAAAAGACACTAGACAGGGGTATAACTTATCAGAAAAGATTACATATCAAACGAAAATATTAAAAGATTTACATATTTTAATTGTTTTTAAAGCCTTCTTGGTACACGAGTTAGAGATGATCCGAAAGTAATGTTGTACTTGCAAGCGTTTCTAGCTAAGACGTATGGCGACGTACTCAGTGACGTAACGACGTCGTTCCCTGGGCGCTCTTGTCAGTGAAAAAAACAAACTTCGCAAGTTGAACCAACTCCGAACCAACTTTGAACCAGTACCAGTTCCGAACCAGTTCTTTTTTGGTGGAAAAAGGGTAACATTGACACCAGCAAAGGGAAGGAAAAGCACTGCCTAGTCCAGGAGGAGGTGAGAGCAGTGGTCGAGGAGGAGAGAACCTGCAGAACAGTAGGAATGAGGTAACAGGGTGCCTGGACACGATGGGAGAACGGGATCGAGAGGAAGGTGACATGGGCGGAGCTACAGCGGATCAAGTTTCTTATCCAGGCGGTATACGATGTGCTCCCCAGCCCATCAAACCGTAAAGGAGGATATGGGGCAAAGTGGAGTCTCCAGCATGCCCACTATGCTCCAAGTTTGGAACCCTAGAGCACATTCTGAGTTGCTACTCAACGGCACTGGGATAGGGAAGGTACAGTTGGAGGCATGACCAAAGTACTAAAGGCCATTGCTACAGCAGTCGAGTGGTCAAAGCGCTCCCGCCCCTCCAAACAAGCCATCGTCTTCGTCAGAGCTGGAGAGCGGCCAAAACCAGCCACAAAACATCTGCAGGCATCCTGGCCACGCCGAGGGACTGGCGGTTGTTGGTGGACTTGGAGCGTTGGAGCGGCAACTCAAGTTCCCCAACCAGGTTGTGCCCACCTCCTTAAGACCAGATGTCGTTCTCTTGTCTGAGTCCACCAAACAAGAGCTTACAGTCCCTCGGGAAGACCGCTTGGAAGAGGCGTTTGAGAGGGAGCTCGCCAAGTACGAGGGACTAGTAAGCGAGTGTCGACTAGCTGGATGGAGAACAAGGTGTCTCCCAATAGAGGAAGGATCCCTGTCCAGAGTCTTCAGTCTGTCTGGCATTGATGGGATGAGGAGGAGAAGAGCAATCCGCAATACCACTGAAGCGGCAGAGAAAGCCTCAAGATGGCTATGGCTCAAGAGAGGAGATCTATGGGGCAGGGTAGCTAGATTTGCCAACTGGACACAAGCTGGGGTCTGATCAGCCACAGCGGGGTCACCTGGAGGAGGTGGAGGGTGTATGATGTTGAAAGACCAGAAACACCCAATGATTCCAGGAACATCACTGAAGATGTGTCCAGTAGCATACACAGCCTTTTATCTATCTATTTATTTATTTTTTATCAGTTTAAAGTTTAAAAACACCAAAATTAAATAATATTGAGAATGGCAGATTTTTGGCATAAAACAGTCAAAATCTCTTTTATAGTTTCTGATAAACTTTTTTATTATTATTTTTCATATAACTTTGGTAACAAGGTTGATGAATGCTGTCATTTTTTTATGTAGCCATTGTTTACTTGCACTTTTTAAGGATTTGTTAAAATGTACAATAATACTACGATTTCAGATGTGATGCTGGAGAATAAACTGTCTGATAAATTATTTTTCACCCTACACATGACTGAGATTGAATTATTCTTTACTTTAACTTTTAGATTTACTTTATTGTATGTTATAAATATTTTGTATGTCTTTTGAAAGAATTGGCGCGTTTATCCTGCATCACCGCGCTGACGTCATCATTAGTTTCCTTCCTCGTTCAGCGCGTTTGTTGCGTCTTCTGAGGTAAGTTCTGCAGGTCAGATATTTCGCGTATTTACACACCCATAAAATACACATTACACAGATTGTTTCAGCAACATTTACGGGCTTATTTCTGAGTTGTTTTAATCGGATAAAGCGCCAAATGTGCGTCTTTTCTGGCGTCTGTTGACTGATTTAGTTCAGCACGAAACGAACATCTTTGGAAAATGTTGAAATCATTCAATCATATTTAGAGTGTTAGTGTTATTGAATGTATGTGCTCTGAAATTTTAAGTAGCGATCTGTGAGGGAATTTCATGTGGATAGAAACATTTTTTGCTTTCCTGATGTGGCAATAAATTAATGATGGACATTTCAGTTACGGTTAATGACTGGAATCAGAAAAAACAATCTATAAAAATGTGTGTCACATTGTTTTAGTTTGTATGTTCGTGTCAGATGTGAAAAGTAATACTATAATCTTTTAAATATAGATGATTTACTATTATTTAAGTTTATATTCGAACTCCACCATCTGAGTGGTATTTTAACGACAGACACCCAGATCTACTACAGAATGCAGTATAATGCAGCATAATTTATTTTTTAGTGGAGTTATTATCATTATTTTCCCAACACTCACATCAGTTTACAAATAAATTCTGCAATTTTTTTTTTTAAATGCATTTTAATAGATTTTTTTTTTTATTAAAATGCATTAAAATTGTTATTTTTATTTTCATTTCAGGCCTGATGGAGAAAAATGAGGAGATTGGAGAGGAGAAACATCATGTCAAAACTGAAGAAAAAACTTCCCCGCAGACTGAAAGTATTTCTTCACTGGAAAGAGACAAGAAATATTTCATCTGCCATAAGTGTGGGAAAAGTTTCACACAACAAGAACACCTTAAGAATCACATGATCATCCACACTGGTGAGACACAGCATAAATGTGATCAGTGTGGTAAAACATTTTTGTGGGCTTCAGACCTAAAGAGCCATCTCAGAGTTCATTCACAGGAGAAACCATATTCATGTTCTTTGTGTGGAAAGAGATTAAAATACAAACAGAGTCTTGTGTTTCACATGATGATCCACACTGGAGAGAAACCGTTCACATGTGATCAGTGTGGGAAGAGATTTAGACAATCATCAAGCCTTCAGGAACACATGAACACCCACACTGGAGAGAAACCGTACGAATGTGATCAATGTGGTAGAATATTTTCGAGGGCTTCAGGCCTATCGACCCACATGTTAGTTCATTCACAGGAGAAACCACATTCATGTTCTTTTTGTGGAAAAAGATTTTTACGTATGCAGAGTTTAAAATTTCATCAGAAAACACATACTGGTGAAAGAGATCATAAGTGCTTTGCATGTGGGAAGAGTTTTATTACCGCTATGAATTTGAAACTACACTGGAGGACTCACACTGGAGAGAAACCGTACAAGTGTTCACACTGCGAGAAGAAATTCTGTCGGCCTGAAAATGTGAAAAAACACGAGAGGATCCACACTGGAGAGAAACCGTACAAGTGTTCACACTGCGACAAGAGATTTCGTCTTTCAGGACACGTGAAAACACACGAGAGGATCCACACTGGAGAGAAACCGTATCACTGCACTCCATGTGGGAAGAGTTTCACTCAAGTATCTTCTCTACGCAGTCATATAAAATACAATCACAGGAAGTAGTTCATCTTCAGATCCGGCACTTTCAGGTCAGTGTCCTCACCGAACGTGACAATAATACCATTGAACAGAAAGATCTCTTCAGTATAAATCTGTGCTAATCAGCCAACGAGCGACAGGAAAAAGAAACATGATCTAAACTTGTTACAGTGAATAAAATTCATCTTCAAGAGCAGCAGTTTCAACTGTGAGATTCACATCGACTTAAAGATGGAGTTCTTTTTATTTTTAATATTATTTGCTTTGTGGTATGAATAAATATCATTATACTTGATTATAAGTAAAATATTATGTTATTTTTTATGATGCATCCAAGCGTGGATCATTCATTTCAACATCCTCATTCTCATATTTAAGAATCTGTAATCTTTTATGCTACTGCCCACTGACATGCTTTTAAAGCTATTTTTATGACCTTCAAACACCTTAAAATGCTCAAATGTAGGTTTGAGAAATCCAAATTTTCTTGATATCGAATCATGTTATCTTATTACCCACCCCAGCCCCTGATGTTTCGGGTTCAGGCCCTTTTTAAAACCTAGAAACGCCCCTGGTAATCAGACCGTTTACAAATATATATTAATTTGTTTGGAAATTATACATTTAGGAATATAGAAAATATTAATTCTTAAAAAAATATTATATTTGGCAGCTTTTAAATGTAAAAAATACATAAAATTATAAATGAAGTAGTAGATGTTTAGTACATATGAATGAATACATATAAATATAGCGTTATGTGGTTGTCAATTTGGACCAGAAAATGTCTGGTTACCAACATTCTTCAAAATATCTTCTTTTGTGAGAAGAAAGAAACTCATACAGGTTAGGAACAACATGAGGGTGATTAAGTAATGACAACATTTTCATTTTTTTGGGTGAACTGTCCTTTTAAAATTCAAATACGGGGGCGTGGTCTCTCCTTACACCGTCATCAGAACTAGACAGCGGCGTGATCACGTGCTACTAGCAGAGAATACTCCAGATCCAAGATGGCGGCGTACATGAGAATGTGGAGATCATACCGTCCAGCGTCCAGAAGCATCAGCACAGCTTCATCAGCAGGAACGGTCCTGATCAGAGCCGGTTTAAACGCGTTATTCCCGCGGGATCCTCTCAGCGGGAGCCGCTTCATCCACATCCAGCGCTCATATTCCAGTATATCCAGCAGAAAGTCGTTACACAACGCGAGGGTCGCAGCATCCGCGGTGAATGACAGCTGGAGGCGCGTGCCCGCGGGCTCCGGGAGCCTCGGACTCGGGTGTCAACAGAAGAGGTTTCTCTTTGGGAACCAGGGAAGCGGGTTCTCCGGGGGCGACGGTGCAGAGAGTAGCGGGGGAGCTGAGGATGAGTCCGGGGGTGATGAAGGTCCTTATTCTCCTCCTCCTCCTCCTCAGATGAGCGCGCTCACCACGATGCTCGTGCCCGAGGTTTTCCCGAACGTGCCTCTCATCGCCGTCAACAGGAATCCCGTGTTTCCCAGATTCATCAAAATCATTGAGGTGATGATCTCACTGATCCATGCATGACGCAATCGTGGTTATGGAAAATACAAGCCTTTAGAAATAAGTAAAAAGTATTTTATGACATGTCACTAGTTTGACATTGATATTTAGAGACATTGTAGTTTCCTTTTTTTGTTTTAGTGCAGTTGTACTACAGTGTTGATGATGTTTGCTGGTGATTTCATCATCCAGTGAGTGAGTGTGTGTGTGTGTGTGGAAGAGAGAGAGAGAGAGAGAGAAGTCCAGTCAAGCTTATTTGCATATTTGTGAATATTTTGTCATCTGAAGGTAAAAAACAAGCAGCTCATGGACCTGTTGAGGCGAAAGGTTCGACTCGCTCAGCCGTACGCAGGTGTGTTTCTGAAGAAAGATGACAGGTAAGTGCCTGTGCATTTGACAGTTTGCCGACTGTAAGTTGATGTTGCGTTGATCGAGGGCGTGTTTATTTCCCAGTAACGAGTCCGATGTGGTGGAGAGTCTGGATGCCGTTTATCGCACCGGAACATTCGTGCAGATCCACGAGATGCAGGATCTCGGAGACAAACTCCGTATGATTGTGATGGGACACAGAAGGTGACGCTCGAAATCACAGCTTTGAAAATGGCGGTCTCAGGAAAGTTGACCTCTGACCTCCCCCCCCCCTCATGTTCTCCCAGAATCCGCATCAATAAGCAGCTGGATGTTGAGCCGGAGGAGCCGGCGTCCCTGGAGCTGGAGGCTGAAGCCGAGCCGCTCAAAGCCGCGCGCCGGAAGCAGAAACGTTCCCGCAAGGATCCGGCGTCTACGGCCGAGGCCATGGAGGAGAAGGTGCGGGAGGCGGAGCTTGTGGTGGAGGCGCTTCCTCTTCCCAGCGTCCTCATGGTGGAGGTGGACAACGTGATCCACGAGGACTTCCAGGTCACAGAAGAAGTCAAGGTCAGCCTTACTTTACTTAGGGATGCAATTTCGGCCGATACCAATAATTCTATAAGTCTGAAAGTCAATAACCGATAATTCCTTATGCCTGAAAGCCGATAACTGATAATTCCTTATGTCTGAAAGAAACCGATAATTCCTTATGTCTGAAAGCCGATAACCGATAATTCCTTATGTCTGAAAGCCGATAACCGATAATTCCTTATGTCTGAAAGCCGATAACCGATAATTCCTTATGTCTGAAAGCCGATAACTGATAATTCCGTAAGTTTGAAAGCCGATAACCGATAATTCCTTATGTCTGAAAGCCGATGACCGATAATTCCGTAAGTCTGAAAGCCGATAACCGATAATTCCTTATGACTGAAAGCCGATAACTGATAATTCTTTGTCCGAAAGCCGATAACTGATAATTCCTTATGTCTGAAAGCCGATAACCGATAATTCTTTATGTCTGAAAGCCGATAACCGATAATTCCTTATGTCTGAAAGCCGATAACCGATAATTCTTTGTCTGAAAGCCGATAACTGATAATTCCTTATGTCTGAAAGCCGATAATGATAATTCCGTAAGTCTGAAAGCCGATAACCGATAATTCTTTATGTCTGAAAGCCGATAACCGATAATTCTTTGTCTGAAAGCCGATAACTGATAATTCCTTATGTCTGAAAGCCGATAATGATAATTCTTTATGTCTGAAAGCCGATAACCGATAATTCTTTGTCTGAAAGCCGATAACTGATAATTCCTTATGTCTGAAAGCCGATAATGATGATTCCGTAAGTCTGAAAGCCGATAACCGATAATTCTTTATGTCTGAAAGCCGATAACCGATAATTCCTTATGTCTGAAAGCCGATAACCGATAATTCTTTGTCTGAAAGCCGATAACCGATAATTCCTTATGTCTGAAAGCCGATAACCGATAATTCCTTATGTCTGAAAGCCGATAACCGATAATTCTTTGTCTGAAAGCCGATAACTGATAATTCCTTATGTCTGAAAGCCGATAATGATAATTCCGTATGTCTGAAAGCCGATAACCGATAATTATTTATGTCTGAAAGCCGATAACCGATAATTCCGTAAGCCTGAAAGCCAATAACTGATAGTTCTTTATATTTGAAAGTCGATAATCGATAATTCCTTATTTTTATGTATTATCTTATTTAATTTATTACCTTAAATTATCTTAATTTATTCTATTTCAGTTGACTCTTTTATATTATTATTTTAAAAAGTATATATTTTTTTAATGGTTTTAGTTAACGATAATAACCCTGGTTCAGTATGCTTAGCACTTACGTTGAGTTGTTTTACATCAGGCCCTGACGGCTGAGATCGTCAAGACCATACGGGACATCATCGCTCTGAATCCACTGTACAGGTAAGAGAGGTGAAAGACGCCCCATGACTTTTTTTTTGCACTTGAACCACAAATACACACTTTTTTTTTTTTTTTTTAAATGGATTTGAGGAGTTTTGTGGTTGAAATTTAAAAAAGTAACACATCCTTCCCTCTCGAGTCAATTTGACCTACCTTAGGAATGAATGAAAAGCGAGAAATGCTTCAATACACATAGAAAAAGCTAAAAATGCTCTAAATTCAAACTAAAAATACTAAAACTTTTGCCAAAAAAAATATTTTATAATGTGTATCTGAATGCATACTGAAGTGAACTGACTTTAGGACCCAGCAGAACAGCTCATATACTCTATATAGAGATATAAGGCCATCTAGAGTCATGAAATATCATGTTATATTATTAGTTTTCCGCAAGAGGTCTGCAAAGACACCCAATGTAAGATATTTTGAGCTCAATTAAAAGGGTTATGCATGAAATTGTGAGTTTTAAGTTGAAAGAATGTGAGGAATTTAGAAATTAAAGATTTAATTTAGGAAAAAAATATTATCATAATAAAAAGAAATGTTGCTTTTTGGACAAAGAAAGTATAATTTTAAGGGCTTCAGGGTCATTTTGAGCTGGCGAGGGAAAGATGAGTCACGAAACACGAGTGAAGGATGAAGGTTAAAACCACATGCGGTGTGTTTATCTGTGTGTGTGTGTGTTTGCTAGAGAGTCTGTCCTCCAGATGATGCAGGCTGGGCAGAGAGTAGTGGATAACCCGATCTACCTGAGCGACATGGGGGCGGCACTGACCGGGGCCGATTCGCACGAGCTACAGGACGTCCTGGAGGAAACAAACGTACGTTTACGACCCACCAAACCCAGTCTCAGAACCTCAATGTGTGTCTAACAGAAGAACTGTCATTACAGATTCCCAAACGACTCTACAAAGCGCTCTCTCTGCTGAAGAAGGAGTACGAGCTGAGTAAACTACAGCAGCGTCTCGGGAGAGAGGTGAGGGTTCGGAATCGGAAATATCGAAATACTCGAGGTCAGGAAACGGATACTTGTTTTAAAAATTAAAATTTCGGTTCCTTTGTGAGCATTTCAGTATGAGTGTTAACTGTCACTGTCCCACAGGTGGGACGTTTGCCACTATATTTTTAAAACAATAATATCTTAGTAAATACCTTAAATAATATTGACAAACTATATATCATTTGAAAGCTTACAATCTCTAGTTTCCATATTTGGTGACTGATTTTCAAAATATATTACAGAGAAGCCATAATTTATCAATATAAAAAAAGAATATTTTCATACTCATAAAGCGTGTTCAGGCCTTTATTTTAAAATAGCAGTAAACATGAAAAATCATGAAAAAATGGTAGAAACCTCAGTTTGTTTTCATGCCAAAAGTTCAAAAGATAGAATCCATTCAATTATTTTGGAAAAAAAAAGTCTGAAAAGTTTAAAAAATATAAAGAAAAAAATAATAAATTCACCATTTGTGACGTGGCAGCTAGCTATGACTTACATGC